AATACGGTCGGGTTAACTTTAAATGATTAGATACAGTTTATTTTGACACGTATACAGTTTGAATGTAAACATAATTTTTCTACTGAAAAATCTTTACAATTTACTATAATAGTATGTAACGTCATGTAATTGTCATCTCGACAAATAGAACAAAATAAGCATAACGGGCGCTTGCTGTACGCAATTATTACCTACTAGAAAAACATAACATTGAATGGAAGCCTTTCAGGAAAATAAAAGCACGTTCAAGACAGTATTTAATATAATGAATTACTACTAAAACCATGGCACATTGACACGAAAGAATTAATACAAAATCTTACTAAGTAATAGGGGGAGTCCGGGAGACTTGCCCAGATGGGAGAGTTGAACCACTTCTCAAAATTCAACATAATTGCAAGCTAATGAAACATTAACACAGTCGTAGATCATGTATGGAAGACCAATAATGTATGTGTCACTATTGCACAAAATGCCTGGTTTATTTAGCTTTTAAGTTGCGAAAAGTGTTTTGGTCACTACAAAATAAATTTTAAATAATTAGTAGTTTTGAGATACTGGCCGTGTTTATCGATGTAAGTATTGTGTATTATTTTTATCGTTTTTGCTGATTATTCTAGTTTGAAGTATGTAATTTTTTTAACAGTAATTGAATACCTTTTCTGCAATGAAAATTTTATGTCGAAGTGATGAATGCGGGAGAGTTGAACCACTGTTCTTGTTGAAGACATCAGTGGTTAATTATACCATCTGTGGTCCATGATTGTTATACCATAATACTACTTGCACCCAATTCAATATTATAAATGTTAATAAAACAAGTGAACAGAAGAATAGTTTTTATAATTTTTGAGAATAACGATAAGTATCAATTCTAAATAATAAATATATGAAAGCAAAACTACCCAAAAGACTCGAATAGAAAGATGATACTAAAAAAATAAACAGAAATTACTAAAACAGAAATATGGTTTTACATGTTATTAATAAATTTTAAATGGCCAGCACATTTTGTCGTCAGGACGACGTGCAAATATTACAATTCATACGTGTCATCTAAAAAAGAAATATAAAAATGTCAACTTAATTCCAAACAAATAAAATTAACAAACAAACAAACAATAAAATCTTTCCTCTTATAGTATATGTAGATAGTTTAATATGCCAACATAATACTTATTTTCCATTACCTGTATAAATCAATTTTATTAAAAATTTGTTGCTTCAAACTTCAAACTTCACAGCTTTATTTGCTTTAGTGGCACCAAAAGACATGTACCTATTACTTAATTAATAGGAATATACCATTTTTAGGGTTCTGTACCTCACAAGAAAAAATCTCATAAGGGAATCAAAATTGATAGGGTACTTCCCGCTGACCTAAAACTATAAAATTTAGCAAGATTTCTTTTTATAGTACAATTTCAAGGAAAATCTGAATACAAATCTTATTAATATCTAAAAATATACTCTCACCGTCGAAATTTAAAATTGAAGCTAATGGTTCAAGCGATGTGCTTATTTTATTTTAAAAAATCTCTTATTCATTTATCACGATCCATATATTTTTATTTATTTAAAATATAAAAAAGTTTTATTTGATATTAGCACGAAATCGCTCTTGATTAGTTTTTTTATATAAAATTAAATGCCCGTGCTTTGGAAGGCACTTTAAGCCGTTGCACCATGATTTATCCATATCTATCTATAAATAATAAGTATAATCCACACTGGGTCCGCATGATGGGTTAAGACTGGGCAAAATGACAAAGGCAAATTCATTTTGCTTTCCCACAATCCTAAAAGAGTTGTGATGTCACATTTTCAAGTGGAACTATATACGGTAGAGCCGTAGTGCTTTCTATGTGCAGTGAACAGCACGTCTGGTTATACAAAACTGTCAAATATCTAAACCTTTAAACAAAGCGGGTACAATTTGATATAGGTATTGTATCCTGATATGGTAATCTGACGTGCAACTGTGTGTACAATAGGTAATACAGAAGGTCTGTGCCTAACTATCAGAGATATGATGCTCTGTATTAAAAGTAATTGGTCATTAATATTATTAGTAATTATAGGAAACTAGCTATCCGCCAGCGGCTTCGCCCTCAGCGGTTCCCAGAGAACAGTTTAATGGGATAAAAAGCAGCCCATATGTTAATACAGGCTTAGAATTTCATTTAATAATTCATTTGGATAAAGTTAACCATAGTTCACTATAAAACGACAAATTCAATAGTAAAAAATAACGTAACGTTTTAATTCCCTATAAAAAATATTTATACTGTGTATACAAACTTTTACTCCCATTTTCATCCATATTTGCTGTTTTATTCTTGTCGCCTAACAAGCAAATCCAACATCCATTTGGGTTGACTGGTAGAAAATACCTACGGCATTAGGTCCACCGTTTGTGTTATATGTATGTAGCTTCCCATAGGTGAAAGATTTTTTAAAATCGGTCTAGTGGTTTCGGAGCCAATTCGATGCAAACAAACAATAAAATATTTCCTCTTTATAATATTACTAGCTTTCCGCCAGTGCTTCACATACGTGGTCTTGTATTATATATAAAAACCTTCCTTTTGAATCACCCTATCTATGAAAAAAAACCGCATCAAAATCCGTTGCGTAGTTTTAAAGATTTAAGCATAGGACATAGGGATACAGGGCAGAGAAAGCGACTTTGTTTTATACTATCTATACTCCATTCATTATAGCATTAGACTGAAGTTAAATAAGGTTCTTTTTATGGTATAGTTTGTTAAAAAATATTTAAAATCATGTTACTCTTAAGACTGAAGGCTTATTTGCTACATATCCACTTAAGTACCAGCTACTATACTTAACAGTTGTCGTTTAAACTATCTGTTAAAAAAAATTATGAGTATTTGACTAACTTAAAAGATTTAATAACTTTTACAATAAAAAGTGTTCATTTTAAAGAACCTAGAGAACCCTGCTTGGGTTGGATAGTCTCGGCACGATTCTCATGTCACTATAACTCTAACAAATTTAAAACGTTGCCTTATCCCTTCAAACGTTTCGGTTGTACAGCTTTTTAATTTTGTCAGATTATGATGTATTTATAATAGTCAAAATACGTAATCTGGGATTCTCATTAATTGTGAATGTTATTGCCTTTCTTGTTGTTTTACCGTATTCCGTGATTGAGTTGTTATTGTATTATTGTTGTTTTCTTATAGTTGAGTTGATCTTTTTGAAGTTAAGTTTTGCTAAATATGGACGATTCCGGTGCAGGTCCGAATGGCCTACAACAATTACCTCTGACATTTCAGGAAGTTTTTCCAATATCTTAATCAATAATCTAATAATATCTGAATAAATGTTATAAAAGTAATAATAAAAATTTCATTTTGTTTACCTTTCTTTCCTGGGCATAAATATAACTAAATTCTATTCTAATTATACACTTACAATTAGAATTTATCAAAACAACAGATAGATAGTTATAGTTCCATATTGGCTTGGGAGTAAAAGATGAATTTAGAAAATTCTAGGCTCATCGCAAAAGAAAATGGAAAATTGCCCAACTCTTTCAGACTACCTAACGTTCAAAGTTTGAAAAAAAAATTATATATATATTTTAAAATTTATCTTGAAAATAAAATGTTCTGCACAGCTGCTTCTGTAATCCTCTTTTTTCTTATGTTATAATGAATGGAGTATAGTGAAGTATAGATCTCAGACGAGGGCACGCATAAAGGTCATATACAAACGCACATCTATTAGAAAATGGAATACCCCGATAGAAAAGAGAGGAGAAAGAACAAAATAATAAATTCTGCGGAAACACTGTGGAGTGGCTTTCGTTGCATAGTGCATAAGTGTCGAGGCCCGCGATCGATATTCACTGATTAAAAAATTATTATCTTGAGCTACTACGTGTTTGGGAACGTTATGCCGTTAGTCCCGTTAATACCCTCCAATCCGCACTGAGCCAGTGTGGAGGACCGATTTTCCTTAACCATCCATAAGAAAGACAGGTTCCGGAGCTCGAAGTCGATTTCGAGTCGGTTTTTAAAAGAATAACATAGCTGATAGATATTTGAGCACCATAGTATAAAAAGCATTTTTCTGATTTATATTGATTAATACAACAAATCATTATGTGATTCAGCTAAACATTATCACCGTTTCCTTCCACATAGTCAACGGTTCCTTTAAAAAGTATTTGGTGAGTATTTGGAATGAAATGCGCAGGGTTGGTCAAAAGATACTGCGTTGAATATACATAGTTTACTAATTTTAAATTATTATTATTAAGGCGTAATATGCTTTTTTAAATAAGGCGTCACCCTTTATGACGTAAAACATTTTTTGACAGTTTATTAGGTAAGACTTTTTTGACAGTACATTATATTACTGGACTGATTTTAAAAATTCTTTCACTTACGGAAGCTGCATCATACACGGGATTTTATTTATTAAGATGACGCGTACACCCAAAATCAATAATTTTCAATCGGTGACGTACAAAAAAAAAATACTTCCAAGTCAGCTATAATCAAAAATGAGAAAACAACTTCAACTTTTTGTAAATTTTCTAGGTTGTGAAAAAAAAAAAATTAATCATAAAATTTGTTCTCGATATCTTCACGTAAATATGCTCTTTTTATAGGTCAAATTGATAAATATATAAATCACTTTTTGGCTCTGGGAATTACGCAGCATCTATACTATTTACGGGCGCAATGAAATAAACACGTAGAGTCTTGGCTTTACACCAGTCTTAAAACTTCCTCCCTCGCTTTGTAAGAAAATATAAGACATTTTCATTCCCTAACTCATGATAATTTATTAATCTCGCTGAAGTTAACTGTGTACAGCCCTGCAAATACTACAATCGGTTAGTCACTTCACCGCGTAAATCAAACTTATGGTCTGCTCCAATATATATAATGTAAACGTAAACACAACTTGGTACTCCTTAGTTGGCTGTGGAACAGTACACGCATTGCTCACTAAACCTAACAATGGTTATTCGTGCAGTTCTCTTTTTGGCAATACTCGGCTGCATACAATGCAAAAGTGAGTCGGTTTTTTATGTCCAATTTCTCTCATCAAATTTCGATTTCATTAGAACTTTTACTTTCCTTTAACGGTTATATAAAAAGTATCACTGGAATCGTTTAAATTTTGAAACAAATGTATTTTTCCAGTATTAAATCTTTCATGTCAACAAATAAGGAGTTTTGTTGATGGCCATAATAATAGAAGACAACAGTTAGCTAATGGCAAAGTGCCCGGACAACCAGCAGCTTCCGTAATGAAATATATGGTAAGAAGTTCAGTGATTTCAGTTTCTCATTTTTTTATAAGTTATGCATATACAGAGTGATCTAAGAGAGAGGGTAGTATAATACACCCGTGTAGGCGAAGTCGCTGCTGGAAAACTAGTAATTTAATAATTTATATTTAACTGAATGAATACAAAATCGATACCGCTGATAAACAAAAATTTGAATGCAATATAACGTTTTAATTATTACTTATTAGTACGGTTTAATTATTCTATTTTCAAATCAATTTACAAATGTTAAGAAATTTGCTTTCGTATTAAAAAACAATTTTGTCTTAATTTTAAAGTGCCTATTGTTTATTTAACACAAATGTACCATTGTTTATGGTATCAATGTCGTCTCGAGAAAAGTGTTTGCCGATGTGAAAATGAAATAATATCATTATAATAAAAATGTTATGTTATAATCTACTCGCAAAGGATTGGATTGAAACAAGGTGTTTTTACTAGCTGTTATCCTGCACCTTCACCTGCGTACATGTAAGTAGATTCGGAACGTATTGAAATAAACAATCAAAATTTTCCTCTTCATAATAAAAGTATCTATGACCAAAAATCATTTCTTATCGCCACAGACCGAACCTAATTTTAACAATATAAAATCCATTATCAAGCATTATTATACTACCAAGTATTTTCATTCAAACAGAGTTTCCTAAACGTTATTTATTTTGCTAAATACATATAAGTAGTAACTTTAGTATGCAGAACGAACGGCTTTTGTTGATTGCGATAGTGAAAATTGTGTTATGAAATAACGAGTGAAATGTAAATATTTCACGGCTTGTTTACAATTTTTTTTATCAATAGATACAATGTTATAATCGTTCTAGAGAAATATTTACAGCTAAAGAGTTTAAATAGTCTGCGAAACTTTTTTCTTTTTTACATTAAAATCGCTCTATTTTAAAAAAAGAAGGCTCGTTGTTCCAAACAAATTTATTGATTTACTTACGTTGCATCGTAATCTCCTTTGGGTCACCTACTTACATGTACATTTTCTCCGAAATTATCAAACCGTAATTTCGAAGAATGTGCTGCAGCTGTGTCAGACCTACAAATAGGCAACCGAGTGAGCATATAAGGCAATGGTTCTAAACCGGTCCTCCGTGGACTAGACATTTGTCAGTGATTCTAAGCCTTTCAGTTATTACAGCCCACCCTAATTACTGAATGGTTAAGAAAATTACTGACACAGGGGTTCCGTTATTCCGATTTCTGATGTGGAATCCTTAAAAATAGGATATTGCTTCGGATTGATATATTGTTGTTCGGATATAAAATTATATTTTTTTAATTTTGCGTCTTAATTAATGGTTTTTGTTTATAGATTTGGGATAAAGAACTTGCTGCCAAGGCGGCCAAGTGGGCATCTGTGTATCGGCAACAACATAATCCTGACCGATCAGTTGGTGAGTCGTTAATAAAAAACTCACAGGGTCGGATCTATCTAAAGGATCGATGGGCTTTAGCCCAGGGCCCGTAGATACAAAAAGCCCACAACCCCGCATAAAACACTACGATACGGTACTTTTACATTAGGAAACAGTTTCTAAACAAATTAACCCAGGGCTCCAAAAATTCACGATCCGCCCCTGGTTATTATTATAAAATATTTAGAAAAATTCTTAGTTTTAGTGATAGTGAATTCGTAGTGTATGTTAGATGCAAATTTTAGGCGCGCGATCTTTTGTTTCCTTGGATATATAAATATTTTTTATTATTTGGCAGAACACTTCCAGTGATTTCGTAGATTTTGATAAAATTCTGTTGATATTGAGTCCTTATAACGTGAAATTATCTTAGTCTCGAATATTCATGCCATTCACAAAACTTTGATATTAAATATCTGGCCTCCGAATTTCGTTTGGAATTCTTAATCCAAGTTTTTTTTGTATTTATTGTGAATGGGCACAATCATTTTAAAGAATACACTTAGTATTCTTTAAAATGATTGTGTAATTCCAATGACCATTATACATTTATTCATGCTCCCACATTTCTTTCAACAATCGAATGAATGAACCGTGTTCGTATAAAGGTGAATGTTCATTTCGTACATACGCACATAATAGACGCACGGCAGGCAACGGATTATCTCTAACTTTGTATGAATTTCAATAGCACTACTGACCCCACTTGACCGCACGTCTAGAAAACAATTATTTTTAACGAAAATGATTGATTGATACATGAGATTTCCTTTAAGATTAGTTGTCCCTTTATTCAGTCTTAGAATTGTCCGTATATCACATTTTATTAAAATCTGTTCTATAGAAAAAACTACTGAACAGATTACTAAGTTAAAAGTAACAAACATACATACACACATTCTTACAAACTTTTGCATAATTTGTAAAGTTGTATGGAATACCTTAATTCATCAAAATTCATTCTGTAGTTTTTGCGTGAAAGGGTCATGTGCATGCGCACTACAGCAATACAATATTGGTTCGTGTTCCCAGGTTCTGGTCGGTGGCGTAGCACTGGCGAAAACTTGTACTGGTATTCCACCAGCGACCATAGTTACAAACTGAACCCCGACAGCGCTTTGAAAGCTTGGTTCGATGAGTTCAGAGATTTCCTATACGGACCCATCATGAGAAGCCACTTTAGTAGTTCAACGCAAATCGGACATTACACGCAAGTAAGAGAATTATTTTATTTTTTTGTACCATTGCTTAAAAAAATTAGTGTATTGTGTTTTTTTTAAATAAATATTGATCACTTGCTTGTCAATTTTAACCCCAAAATAAAACATCTTTACGAAATTTACAGTAAATACATCATGACTATTTTACAGAATCCCGCCAAAACAAAAAATATATGTTTTAAATAATATATAACGGCGGGTCGTCAGAACAGGCTATTACGAAGCCCAAATAGATAGTCCATATCGGAGGACTATCTTTAAAATAACACTGCAGGCGTGTATACCAACGTGGATTTGTTACATTTTATCACTTTTCATATGAAAATATAACGAGATGAGCGTGATCTCGTCGGATGTCTTTACTCCTCGGCGATCGGAAACAGAATGTGTGTCAAAAATGGCGGCAACTTGCTTTTTATTAACGAATTGTCAAAGTCAGTGTCACCATTCTAATAAAATTAAAATTCAATGATCGCGCTCTCTCTACAATCGAGTAATTAAGTAATCGAGTAACTAGCAATTCAAAATAAAAGAAACTAAATCAAACGATCTTCGTAAAGGTGATGCGACATATATATATTTAAAATATATAAATAATGAATAGGTATTTTATACAGCCTTGATAGAGCGAAGTGTACTAATAATAGGTACACCACGTAGGTTTTATCAATATTATTTTGTTCACGTATCTCACATTGTGAATGGTAATTTTAAAAGTTGGGAATAGATATAGACTATTAGACCGATGGGGGAATACGCGCGACTTATATGAAGCTATAATGACATTGGTGATTTTTTGTCATCTAAACTTATTGTTTCTGTCACTGGCTCCTGCCATTTGTACGGAAGCCATCTAATTGTCACGTGTTCAAGTGCGCGCATTACTACAAGGGTTCTCAGGCGCGGACACAGGAGATAGAAAGTCATGGTGATAAAAAGTTACTCGTTCGATACTAGCTTTTAAGCCTGGACGTAAATAAACCCTATCTATCCCGTAGATAGATGACGGCGAATTGAGCGTAAAAAATATTTAATTATTTGCTTGCAAAGCAATGCTATCATTGTAACTCACATTATAAGCAATATAAAAGATAAAAAAAAAATTATAATTACGCGAAGTTAAACGCTATCTTTACGGGTAACTTTTTTATTTTTACTGTAGAGAAAATTTTATAGATGTACATATATATATGACTTGGAGATTCATTTCCTGATATTCTAGCCTAGCCTTAATGCTGGAAACGAATGGTAAGGGTTGAACTTAGAATTTTAAAATAAACAATCCAAAGGTAGACTATTATAAGTCAAAAATTAAGACTTGAGTTTTTCCGATAAGCTTATTGCTTACAAGTTATTCGTCATTGAAAGTGTCATAAAAAACACGAATGGCGACGGGAAAGATGCAATACCGTATTGCGAAAACGGATAACGATGAATTTTTTTTGTCGCTATTCGTAGCCATATTTTGAATTTTTAGTATTTATTTTTCTCATTTGGATTTCATTATGATTTGTAACGAATTTGCAGATGGCATGGGCAGACACGACGCACGTGGGATGTGCTATTTCACAATGGTCCAACGATGGTTGGAACAAATACATGGTCGTGTGCAACTATGGACCTGCGTGAGTATTCTATACACTGTTTAGTACTCGTGAAAATTAACGTGACACCTCAAGGCTCAAGGCCTATTTGTTCCGAAAACGAAATTTCCTCTTGCTTACAAATGCTAGTATTAGCATTCCAAAAAACGAATTTTTCAACAACATACTAATAATAAAAACGGTTCCAAATTTCCGTTCGAGGACAAATAGAATAGGCCCTCACAAATAATTGTCAATATTTGCTATAAAATAAGAGAGAGGAAAACTATAAAAATTATTAATTTTAGGGATAACTTATAAGTTAGTTAACATTCACATATTAACTGTGACTGTGATTCTACATTTTAAAAACCCTTTAAAATGCAGAGTTCATCATTTTTAATTGGTAATTTAAGAGTGATTTCTTGATACAAAACCAATTGACTTACTTATGTATGATATTTTTAGTGTACGTGCCCGTATAATTACCTGTGTCACCGGCGTATAATGTAGCTTCCCATAAGTGAATTTTCTTTTACAATCAGTCCAATAGCTAATTCAATGCAAGCAAATAAAATCATTCCTCTTTTAGTATAGAAAAGATGTAATTGATAATCTCTTTCTATTTTCAGGGGCAACATGTTAGGCTCTCCGCCTTATAAAAGCGGCCGCGCGGCTGGCTATCTCGTCTGCGGAACCGGAGACTGCAGTAGGCCTTATGGAGATTCGTGTTAGATAACAAGACTGATAATAGTATAAAGTCAAACGTACCTATAATATAAGATATAATCAACCTAAGATTAACATTAAATTAACTTATTCACATATAATATATGCATTTTTATTAGAAACTCACGACCGTAATAGTAACAACTTCGGTGGTCAAATGGTTCGTTCGATTCTCAGTTACACATTGGTCAGATCCTAAGTTAAGTAGCTAAGTGTTTGTATTATGAATATCTGAAATAACCAAAGTATCACAACACCCAGACCGGAGTCAATATAGAAAAGTTAATTTTCTATATCGTCCCGACCGGGAGTCGAACCCGGTATATCAGAGATGATGGTACATTGAAACTGGTGTACAAGCTACCAGATCACAACATATAATATACCCAAACTCAGTTTCATAAAAAAGTTAGGTTTATCATATATAAGAATCTATTCGCCACATTATGATAGATGATCTAGATGATTAGACTAGTTTAATGACTACTCAGCGTTATCTGTAGCATCAATACCTTATCGTAAAATAGTTGGAGGAAATTCGGGAGAGTTGAACCGCTTTTCACTTTAATTATCATATTGCCTACGTGGAACTGTACACTATACAAAATCTTGATTACAACGATTGAGATGCATCTCCTTTGAAGGAACGCACTATTTTGAGCAGCCCTGCGATTCTGTAAAATTCAAACCTGAACTCGAATTCACTCAGGTATCAGGTATAAAATAAAACGGAGAAAAAAGCAGCCCTTGCCGAGTTTCTTGCCGGTTCTTCTCGGTACAAGGTCTCCCGCCGTAGATTTACGAACCGATTGCGTAGCTCTCGACTTTCACAAGTGCTTTTGTAACAGCTTAGACTGAATAAATAATTTTGACTTTTTGAATTTTGTTTTTTTATCCGAATTCACTTCAAAAAACAGCACCCGTTCAACCTTGAATTGGTAATAACGTTTCGTGTCAAGTGAAATGAGTTTCGAAATGAAACAGGAATAGAATATCTAAGACACGTATAATCAATCAATTTGATTTGTATTTTTATGGAATCAATAGAATTTATACACTAAATGATGTGAATTCTGACACATTCTAATTTGGGTCTGGATTTTTTCAGAATCGTAGGGCAGGAGTCCGAGTATGATAGAATCGCACTTTTGGGTGGTTGTGTCCACAACTATTTTTAATGTCTAGACCCACCAATTACTTCTCTGCTTCACTGCATTTAATATTTCTCAATGACCATTCTGTCAAAATAATATAATAAAATCACACTTAGCAGTATTTTATGGGTATTCCTTGCCCTGAGTATTTAGGGTATTGACGGATAGAACTGCGCTGGATCGCCGTCCCTTGCAGTCCCCGTTTAGTTGGCCAGTTCCCTTCGGTTAAAAGAAGGTTCGATTTTAAATTGTAATTTTTTATAATTGATTCCTTGCCCATTTTCCTTTTCTAACCCGTTTTAATATCTTCGTTACTAATCTTTTTAACCTACCCGTCGATAAAATATTCGATAATGATAAATTATCAATATGCTAACAAGTTTTCGTATACTTAGTTATCAAAAAAATTGATATCATTTCACTACGACGGCATTTTAATTGATGTTGTCGTTTAATAAATAGATATTCATATATAAAAATGGTAAGTGATTTTATTTTATTTATAATAGTTACATATATTTAATATTTTTTTACTTTAATATGAATTTTATAACTGAAAATACCTAATATACTACTGATATGAATTAACATGACATCTTAAGGCCTATTTTATTTCTGCGGAAACAAAATTTCGTCCATCTTAGAAGTAAGAATATGATTCCAAAGAAACGCTTATTTTATAATTTATGATGCAAAGGAGGTAGAACCTGACAATTGTTCTTATGCACAGATAACCTTCATCGTTCGAAAATTCCAGAATTTTCATTCGAGGACAAATAGATCATCGGTATCATGTTAGTTCATGCAAGTTACAAATATATTTTTAAATCTTTATAATGCACGTCAGACTACACAACATTCTCAAATTTCTTCACAAGATTTTAAACTTCAATGCATAATATATAGAGTTCACATAGTACATAAACCTTATTTTCACAAAAGTGTATTTCAATGCTAGTATAAATATTATCTTAGTTTCTTTTTATAGCGATAAAGTATTGAATAAGAATTTGAAATGTAAATTAATAAATTACATCTGTTTTCATTTCGAATAAAACAAGATATGAATTTAATAGAAAATGCCTAATCGCTTAAAATCGTCCTCTGCATGCAAAACAACACGCATATCAAAAGGGCAAATCCACAGAAACTGCCTTACTTGAACTTACAGATAGAATCGATGGGCTATTGAAGACAAACAGATAGCTCTCTGTGCCTTCCTAGATATTGAATGAGTATTCGGCAACTTTACCATTGTAACCTTATCCAAAGGAATGAGGAACAAAGAGATCGACAACACAACGACCAAATGGGTCGGAGCAATGCTCCTAAACAGAACAGTTAACGTTAGCCTTCACGGAACAACAAAAGATTTCAAAACCCCAAGGTCCTATCGCCACTGTTAAGAACCTAAGTGGTTGATTAATTGTTATAATGAGCCTCTGAGAACGACCTAGATGTACAAGACTACGCAGATGACGTGGTAGCTCTATAATACAGAGATCTCTGAACATCATCGACAAATGGTGCACAGAGAATAACCAATCGGTAAATCCGAATAAAACAACAATAGTCCTTTTTACCAGGAAGCGAAAGTTGGAAAACCTTAAAACGCTTATCTAAAAAGGGACCGTTATATCGTACTCCACGGAACTCAAATATTTGGGCGTCACATTCGACCAAAAACTTACGTGGATGCGCCATATAAACAACAAAACCCAAAAGGCTAAAAGAGTCCTAGGTATATGCTGTCGAGTAATTGGGGCAAAATGGGGAATAAATCCCGAAATAGTCCCATGGATGAACACCGCCATTGTAAGGTCAACTATGACATATGCCAGCGTCGTATGGTGGAAGAAAGCCACACAAGATACAGTTATTAACAAACTAAATAGCTTGTAAAGAACAGCATGCCTCATGGCAACCGGTGCACTGTCTACCACTCCACGCTGCTCTGAATGCCCTGCTTAACTTACCACCTCTGTATTTGTTTATGATAAAAAGCTAGCATCTATAGAGTAAAAGTTACTGGTCAAAAGAACTGGCATTCTCAAGCACTGAGATCTCCATATCAAACAGTCCTTGAGAACACACCTCTAGCAATGACCACAGACGTCATGACTCCGCTATGTAACTTTGAAAGAAGTTATTAAATATTTGAATAAATTTAGAAAAAATATAGGTATTATGAAATATAAATTTATTTTTACGGGTATTTTGAACAAAGTTTGAAGTATTTAAAATTGTTTGACACAATTATATTTTTTATCAAAAACCTTTAAAAGAGCAATTACTGTATTATAATCTCAGAAACAGCTCCAACAATTTTCATGACATTAAGTACGCAGGGGCTTTCAGATGTGATAATTCGATTTAATAGGTTTAATTTTTTTTATTAAACTTTGGTGCTAAGTATAGCTTAGTCATCCAGGTACTAATATTTTAAGAAACTAAACTTTGACGTATCTAATCAAATACGAAATGAAATAAACAACCAGTCTTCTCTGCTAATATCAAACAAAAATTTAATTATAATATACAGTTTTTTATAACAAAAATATAAAAAGTTGAACTTATTAACTAAGTTGAATTAAACTGAGATAATTGATAATAATCAATGAAAGAAAACTACAAAAAATTGATAATAATCAATGAAAGAAAACTACATGTCCCTAGGAGTTATTAGAAATTATAGAGTAAATTAAAAAAAAACAATCAATTTAAAGGCTTATTCAGTTCACTTCACACGTCATTATTACGAATAAATTTGAAAGTAGCTTCTTAAGAAGTACTTAATGTCCGAAAGAATCTTTATTATTCGTCTAATTATTGTGCTGGCCAGATAACTAGTCATTGAGAAGACCCTTTCGAAAATACATGTACTGTAAAATCACTTCACACGTCATTATTACGAATAAATTTGAAAGTAGCTTCTTAAGAAGTACTTAATGTCCGAAAGAATCTTTATTATTCGTCTAATTATTGTGCTGGCCAGATAACTAGTCATTGAGAAGACCCTTTCGAAAATACATGTACTGTAAAAATGTACAATTTCGCCTTTTAACCCCCCGAACTCGCATAAATTCGCGCTGTCGTACTTAAATTAAATCGTTTCTAGGCTCAAGTTCAATCTCGTTAAACTCGCGAGATCTCGCCCATTTTTTGACCGAGATCAATCACGCTAAAAAAGGCCGAGATCTCGCGAGAACGAGATTTCGTGAGAACGAGATTGCATTCCCTACTTTTTACGTCCCCTTTACTCAGGCCCTTCAGGTGAAAGAGGATGGTCACAACCCTCCACGCTGGCTCAATGCGGATTGGAGGGTATTATCGACTACAAATGCAGCCGGGACCAAAGACTTAGCTCGAGATAATATTTTTTTGGTCACCCATCCCGTGACCACCCTTTACGAATGTTGCTGAGCAACAATGTTCGCAGGCACCAGCGCTTATCGACTACGCCACCGAGCTACTCCACCTACGGTGTTTCTTAAATATTCAGGCAACAGATTTGGGCGACTCCTAAGTTGAGTGAAAAGTCCTTTAGTTTATAGGAAGGAGAAGCTTAATGAATATCAACCGAACGGCAATCAGTAAACACCGCTTCGATAGCTCTCCGTCTTTAAAAAATTTAAAGTAGTGGATTTTTCTCTCGTAACAAAGTTCCAATTATATCAAAAGTAAGCTTAAAGCACCAAGAATACGTTGCCGAAAACAATTATTCGTTTTGACTTAACTCTAAAAAACTGTGACGGCTTTAAGTGTACGATCTCATAAATAATACGTTGCGATTTCAAAGCGCGCTTCGCATCGGTCAGTGGTGTGTCGCGTGACGGTGAGTCAGTGTCGAGAGAACGAGACGGACGCGCTGTGCGAGACGGAGCGGCCGCTACCACCATACGCGGCGATAAACGATAAGTCTCATCGCTGATCCGTAAGTTTACAAGAGTTTTATAATACAAGTCAACATGAAATGCTCGGGGTGTCTCAAAATTATCACAAAGGAAGATTACGTCGTTTGTACTTCTAAATTCTGTTCAAGGACGCTGCATACAAATTGTTCTAATGCGCGAAACCTTACATCACAGCAAAAAGAAGTCTGGGTTTGCCCCGACTGTCAAGCTAGCACTAGGAAGAGTGGCGACAACGCTAATACTCCTATCCGCTCTAATGAAAATGTCACACACCGCAAGAAAACCATTGCCACCACTTGCCAGGACACTCAGAGTTCCCCCAACCACGAAGTGATAGCTGAAATTAGATCGTTACGGCAAGATATGATCAACATGCAGTCTGATCTTAACAAACGTTTCGACGACCTCCTGTCCAGGTTTGGCGAGTGCGAAGCGCGTATTAAATCACTTGAACAGAAGGAAAAGAAAAATGACCAGCTCAAGGCACAGGTCGCCCAACTTCAGAGCCAACTTAATAAACAGACTCACAACGCTCTACGGTCTGAGATAGAAATATTAGGGTTGACTGAAACTCCCAGGGAAAACCCTTATCACCTTGCCTTGATGACTGCAAATAAAATAGGGCTTAAGCTTGAAGAACACGACTTAGATTACGTCTCACGAACTGGCACACTAAACAATGGCAAACCTGGCGGGATGCAGCTACCTCGACCACTGGTGGTCTCCTTTACCAGACGATCCAAACGAGATGAGCTACTCAAGGAAGCGAAAACTCGACGTAATCTTGATAGTCAAGAAATAGTTGGACCGGGACCGCAGCGAAGGGTGTTTGTAAATGAACGACTTACCTACGAAACTCGTCATCTTTTTCGCGTTGCACGGAACTGGACTCGTGAACACGGCTACAAGTTTTGCTGGGTGCGAAATGGCTCCGTGTATATCAGAAAACGAGAAGGACGTGAAGGCTCTCCGCCAATTGCAATCCAAGATATCAGAGACTTGGAGAAACTCTCAGGGATACACTCCGCAAACGAAGCTAAAGAAGACCACCACTAACCAGCTTACCTTAGGTTTTTTAACCCCATTTATTTTTTCGTTATGTCTCATTATAATAGTTTCATTTTGTAATAACTTTTCTAGACTTACTAATTGTGGATACAGTACAATAACACATACACTGTACACTTCCTCACTACATCCAATATCACACATGCTACACTATACTTTATTACACTTCATAATACACACACTGCACAATCTTTCATCACGATCAAAAACACACGTGACTTGCATGGTTGCCGAAACTTTAAGAGGACCATATTTTTGTAAAAGACCAGCAAACCATTTATTTCCTCTTGGAATGTTTGCTAACTATGTAATAACGCACGACTATTCCATACTCTTCTCGATGACCGATAGAATGGCATTCACTAACAAATGTAATTCAGTAACATTAATACAGTTTGCAATTAAAATCTATGAATACCGTAGAACTACTTACTGACATTGACAAGTCCTTTAATGTAGAATGCCATTCTGTACCTTGTCCGGAGGAGTGTGGAACTAAAATTAACAAATACACTATTAAAGGTATCAATGTAAATATTCGCAGTTTGCAGCAAAATTTTGATAATTTTTTGGTGATTCTTGCCAGACTTAATGTCAATTTTGACTACATTGTCTTGAGTGAATGCTGGTTGTAAGAAACTTCAGTAGTAAAGCAGATCGATGGCTACAAATCTTACAGTACCAAGAAATACATAAATAAGTCAGGTGGTGTTACTGTTTACATAAATAACAAATGGTCAGCCAACGTACTTGAGCTTAACATAGATGATGCAAATACCTTATGTGTTGAAATTGCTAACGTTCTGACGCTATTAGCTATATATTGCTCTCCATCTTTCAAAAATCCGTCTAGGTTTTTGTCTTCACTAGATCAACATCTCAACCTAATTAAAAGAACTCCTTGCCTTATTCTGTCTGGCGATATAAACATCAATATCATAGGATCCTCTGTCCATGAAGAAAACACATGCACATATCTTACTCTTTTAGCAGAGCATGGTTTATCATCGTGTGTAAACATACCAACGCATGGTCAATCCTGTAGTGATCACATATTCATTCCTTTCGACTCTCAAGCAGAATCAACCGTTTGTCCTGTTGATCTCACTGATCACAGTGTTACAATGTTAGGTATTCAGACTAAACCTTTGAAGTCTTACTCTAGGAACAGAACCAGGCAAATAGTTGATTATAAAGGCTTGATATCGGAACTTGAATGCGTAAACTGGTCATTTCTGGAAGAAACCTTTTCTGTTGATGATGTAGCTTCTAATTTTACCACTACGCTCACAAATTTAATCTCCAAACATTCTCATTCAGTTAAAGTGAGCCACTCAAGATTCAATATTCAACCTTGGATTACCCCCGGACTAATACGCTGCAGCAAACATAGAGACAAATTGCATCTTGACTCAAGAAAACATCCAGAAGATGCGACCAAAAGATTTATCTACTGCAGGTACAGAAATTTCTACACTACGCTCCTTAGAAATCTCAAAGCAGAATACAATGCTAAAGAAATTAATACACACGAGAATGTACCCAAAAAGCTCTGGCAGTCTGTCAACCGTTTTTCTCATAGACCATTAAATAAGGCTAATAATTCCCTTGAAGAATTTTCGAGTATCCGAGGGTCGCTGGCGGAGTCACTAGAAGCTTGTAATGAACACTTCTCAACGGTGGGTCAAAAATTTGCAAAAATATTACTGGATAAACGCGCCGAAACTCAAGAATCCCTTGCAGGGAAAATACAAATTGAGCAAAGGGTTTTAAACTCGTTCTTCATTTCTCCCACTGACCCCGAAGAAATTCTTAGTATTATAAAAAACCTTAAGACAGAAAGTTCCCCCGGTCTCGACAACGTCAGTAATAAAATACTGAAAAAAATCGGACACTTAATAGTAGAACCTCTCACAACCATCTTTAATCTGAGCATAGAATCTGGCACATTCCCAACAATCTGGAAGACAGCCGCTGTAGTACCAATTTTCAAAAGTGGTAACTACCGACTGATCTCACTACTAGGATTAGTCTCAAAATTACTTGAACGTATTATAAATAAAAGACTCGTGGCTTTCTTAGACAAGAACAAAGTCGTTACGGACCGCCAATTTGGATTCCGCCAGGGAAGATGCTGTGAAGATGCTGTCACTCTGCTCACTAACACCATAGCCTCTCATTTAGATGCGGGATCGAAATGTATCGGTGTCTTTTTGGATCTGGCTAAAGCATTCGATACCATATCAATCCCGATCCTCTTAAAGAAAATGGAAGCCTGTGGTATCAGAGGGATAGCATTGAGCTGGTTCTCAGAATATTTACTGGGACGAAGTCAGTGTGTGAAGCTTTTTGAATCAATGAGTAGCTTTAAACCAGTGGTTTTTGGGGTTCCTCAGGGTAGCATCTTGGGACCCGTCCTCTTTCTGCTTTACATCAATGACATCGCCTCTCTGCCAATTCCAAAGTCCGAAATTTTGTGCTACGCTGATGACACAGCTCTTATTTTTCACGGTGACTCTTGGACTGATGCTTGTCGTAATGCTGAAAGAGGTATGATGGGGGTTTCGAATTGGCTACAACTGAATTTATTATCCCTCAACATATCAAAAACAAAGTTTTTGTGCTTTCACAAGACTGCTGCCTCCGAAGCTCCCTCGTTTGCCACCCTGAGAATCCACAAAGAGAACTGTGATTCGATAAATACCAATGGTGATTGTGACTGCAACCATATCAGTCGTATACAATCCCTTAATTATCTTGGTGTAATTATGGATGAGAAACTCGCATTCAGGGAACATGTGGCTGAAATGTGCAAAAGAGTAAGGAAGGTGATATATGTTATGAAGAACTTACGAGAAGCAATCGACGGCAAGATCCTGAAAACGGTCTACATGGCTCTTTGTCAGTCGCTGATAAATTACTGCATTCTGGCTTGGGGCGGCTCTCCCAGTTCTTACATTCTGCCTCTTGAAAGAGCCCAAAGGGGAGTCTTAAAAACGGCACTAAGAAAGCCCCGCCGGTTTCCTACCGATGCTCTATACGAGGAGGCTGGTGTACTAAGTGTCCGAAAATTGTATATAGTCAGGGTAATTTACTATATTCACAGCTCGGTAATAAACTCTGACGATTACGGCGAGCTTTCCAAAAGACGCTTATTTAGGTTGCATCAGACTTGTACTGGCACTTCTTTTGCACACCGTTTCGGCATCTTTTTATTTACTTTCATTTATAATAAATTTGCAAATCTTTGTAATCTCAAAAACTGCACGGCCAGAGAAGCTAAAATAGCAACCACAAATCTGATTACCTATTGGAATTACTCGGAAACTGAAGCTGTACTAAGGGCTATTAAATAAACTACTTTTATAGTGATACACACCCACACACACACATACTTTCACACGCGCACACACTCTCACGCACGCACACACACACACTTTCACACGCACACACACACACACACACAAACTCACACATTCTCACGTCTTAATATATCCACAACACCTACTCTTGTTTTGTTTTAAAATAATTTAGTTCTTAGTTTGTTACTACCAAAAACTGTGTTTTTTCTTTTTTTTTGTTGTTTTTGCCGTTCCGTTCCATAGTTAACTGTTTAATTTCCCTTCAGGTCAGGCTTCGCCTAGTGATGGGAACAGTAAATGTATTTTTGTAACTTTAAAAATATGGAAATAAATAAATTAAATAAATAAATTATGGTAACATCTATTACACAAAATGATAATATTTTCAGATATTATTAGCATTATTTTTATGTGGCCTTACGAGTTCGTGGGCTGATCTCCGAGTAATAGAGCCGCCCCTACGAGTGGATTTGCCCCCCCCGGAAGTTTCAGGGAGGGCCCCTACGAGCAATGTTGTTACCACTTTTGTCACCATGCCTGTAGACCACTTTGATCCGCTCAATAAGGATACTTTTCAAATGGTTTGTAGAACAATTTAAATATTTCATGATTAAGGTCGGTATTTTATATTTTTTGGTGATATATGGTCAAAAATTTTGGAAAGCATAAATACACGATTATTTGTTTTCTTTGATCACATATGTATGTTAAATTTCTAATTCGACTTCGTTAAACATAAGAGAGCATTTCCGGTCCATGAGCTTAGAAATTTTGAAAAGAGGTCTATAATTTATAGAAAAATCAGCGCATATAAAATATTGATAAAAAGTTACATGTAAAACGAACATAATACTTAACACCTATTTTTTAATTTAAAGTATTTTTTTGGAACCTTGTATTGTTATAACTGAAGCTCTATTGAATAGTTTACTTGTTTTATTAGCTGTTACTCGCAGTTTCCCCCGCTAAGAAAAATATTTAAAATAATGATTTTTCTTATTGGAACAAAATGTTTTTTCCCGAGAAAAACTCGCATCACAATTCAAGTTATCAAATTTCCTTCTCACAAAAACAATTTTCGCTGCATGTGAAAAGACAACATAACGCATACCTTTCGCACATAACGCATTTCACCATTTCTGATATTACAATAAATAAAATAAAAATAGTGGGCTTATATAATTGACAGCGTTACATGTACAACGAAGTTTTCTTCGGTGGTAACGGCTCCCCAGTATTCATACTGGTTGGTGGAGAATGGGATATTGTACCAGCCTGGCTTCTCGCAGGCAACATGTTCCAAATGGCAAGCGAGAATAATGGCTACATAATGTACACTGAACATCGATACTATGGACAAAGTTTACCTTACCAGTAAGTACAGACTGTGAACATGACCCATGTAAAGACAGTCAGTTACGAAATTATAGAAAATTCAAATTTAATAATAATAAAAATAACATTTTTAAGTAAACAAACATCTAAAAAACAAACAATTTAAGATAACATCTAAAAACCACGGAGGTTTGAGTTGTGTTATAAGAGTTTACAACTTTTATTTATTTCCGTTATTATAAAATCGGATCTTTTATATTATTACAAATACAAATATTGTAATCAACAGACAATTACAATATTAGCCTAAAATTATTTACAATGTATTAAAAAAACTAAAGAACTCTTATTCAAACACTAAACTAAAACCTTTACGGCTAGTTTCGCCAAAAGATGAATTTTAATTTACGTTCTTCAAACCGCTAATTAGGTTCACGTGAATAGCAAAATTGTTTTATGATATAAAACTTTTTTTTTTCAGAAATTTCACAACTGAAAATTTACGTTTTCTGAACGTCGACCAGGCGCTAGCAGACCTAGCCTACTTCATTAGAGACGTTGTACGGACACAAGAGCGTTTCGCAAACAGTAAAATTATTCTTTGCGGTGGTTCTTACGCAGGAAATATGGTGTTGTGGTTTAAACAACGCTACCCACATCTCGTAGTGGGTGTTGTAGCGTCTAGTGCACCTATTTTGGCCAAAGTGGATTTCACAGGTAGGTAAAAAGCTAGATTAAAACTGCTATATACCGTCCTTCCCGCGACTAAGTGGAGACCAGGCTCCCTTGAAAAATGTCTCGCATGTCTCTAGATATGTATGCATAATCAATTTCCATATTTTTACCAAGTCAATATGATTAAAATATAGTTTCATTACTTAACTAAGAGCGCCTATAATCTACAATAAACATTTAATAATTAGTTTAATATAATAAAGTAAGTTGAATGTTTTTGCGACTTTTAGTTAATTTTGGAAAATATTTTCTTAATATTTTTAAAAATATTGCCAAATAGTTAATTATTTTTCAGATTTTCAGAAGCTATGTGCAAAGAATGTGTGTTTCTCTAATATGTATTAAGTAATCTACCTATTCAATTGATTATTTGTTTGCATTTGCATTGATTATTTGTGAGCCTTTCAGGCTCCGAAACTATTAGCCCGATTTTAAGTATTCACTTTCGAGAAATTTAATCATATGATGCGGGTGACATAGACTATAATTACCCGACTACGGTGAAGCAAAAAAGAGGGTTATGATTTTGGCTAGTATGTGTGTAGGAATGTTCATCTGTTCCCTTATAACTTTGAAATTACTCATTGTAACTAAACAAATGAGGTAATATTAGAAGCCTCTTAGTTATACGCGTACTATAGGCTGTGTGACGTTACATTAAATTAGCAACAGCGCCCTCTAGAGAGCATAAAATTAGAAACTAAAAATATATATTACTCAATCTTTCCGTGTAGGGATTCAATTCAAAACTATTTTGTTTAAACACATCTGAAAAATTAATTAAATAAAAACTGAAACTACAGCTAAATCAAACTTTGAACAAAAATACTTTATAGCGATAGCTATATTATAATAGCGATGACCAAAGGACAGCGTGGTCGTATGCCACATCAGTTTGTTTTATTACTTTTTGAACTTATTATTATTTTATTTTATATTTGTCGCAAAAACATCTAGTAATAAAATAACGTAGTCAAGTAGCCAAAATGAAACTAGAATTGAACAAGATGAGCCAAGTTTCGCTTACTATGGTGTAAGGTAAGGTCTTACATTGTGCCACAGGGTACCTGGAAGTAGTTCACGAAGCGTATCAGTTAGAGGGAGGCGATGAATGTATTGCGATCATAAGGCAAGGAATAGAGGATACCATAACGGCGATGCAAACTGAAGAAGGTAGAAAATTGATTGATAAAATATATAGGTAAGCAAAGCAACTACCATTAGTCTAGAACTAGAACAAAGAGAATGCAAAGCTCGTTCACTCGATGAGCTAGAAAGTAAAACTTACTATCGCCACTTTCTTCGCTTCGTTTTTTTACCCATAAGTGCTTTCGGGTTATGAATTTAAACAAGTTTGAGGACCAAATGATCGATCGACCATTATCAATCATGATCGATGAAATTTGGTCGGTGGTGAAAGCAGATAACAAAATGCCGATTCGAAGCTCTGAGAAGTGTGCGACAAATGAAAAAATAATGCCTCTGCTGTTTTTGTTTGTCATCGCATATTTATTTGTCTATCGATAAAAAAATTGCATTATGTTCTTTAACTACATAAACATTCAAATAGTTTTTTCTTGTTTGTGTACCTGGCATAAAATTGAGAACACGCTTACTACTACAATTGGATGGGAAAGACCTTGTCTTCCTAAAAAAATCTATATGATACTACATAATCCTTAATATATTTTTCCTGGAACCAATAAAGCAATTAACTCCTTTCTTCTTCTTTCCCAGATTTTTTATCCAAACTATTTTATTTGTCATATATTCTCTTACTTTGCTATTATTTTTTATTATTTACGTCGCAAATCTTTTCAGATTGTGCTCGCCGCCTAATTACGACAATAAGTATGATTTAGGTCATTTCTCCGGACTGATAAGTTGGTCTTTCTCAATCTCGGTGCAATACGGGCGTCCTGGAACGGTGCTCAACGTTTGCAATAATTTCAAGAACAATACTTACGGTAATTGTGTAATAATATACCCAAATTAAATACTACTTACATACTTTTGTTTAATATAAACATAATGGGAGAATTATCGCTGACACTGAGGGAAATCTCTCGGTATAAATAACGAACCTCTACATCCGTGTCTTAAATGAATTTCTGAGAATTTGTTACAGTTTTACAAACGCAAAATCTTGGCCGCTATAGACATAAATATGTTTCATTCCCTATGACTATAGCAATGATAGCTGCATTGCACTTCACATCACTTGCAGATTTTTCCCAAACCAGAGTTTTAAGATGATTCACAGAACACAGAAAAGAAGTCGAAGGCAATCCTTTGTAAGAGAACCGAACTCGGTCGTGTTTTATGCAAAATTTCTTCTTCAATAAAATTGTTATCTTACCGTATTTCAGAGCAATACTGACTCTACCAGTTTGATTAGAATCGATATAAAAACTTTTTAAAATATAGAACCAACTCCAAACTTCAACAAGTTATAAATAATACTTACCTCAAAAGTTACTTATTGAAGAAAATGCTGTCGTATACAAATATAGAGTCAGGCGGGATTTTTCAGTAAGCTATTAATCAAATTATAGGCGCCCGACTTCAACAGCATTATTCTGAATAAGTCGCTTTTGAGAGAAGAGAATTATTTTCACTTTTAAAGTTTGAAATCGGTTAATATTTTTAATAGGTTAGAGAAAAAGTTTCTGCGCGGTTTATATGAAGATTCAAAACATTTTTTAATAAAGGTCATTTACATTTAACTAAAGTATTGTGACGGAACACACCACAGTAATTCAATAAATAAAGCAAAATGCATCGATTACTTATTAATAATTTTAGCCTAAGAAATGATCCTGGAAAGAATCACCACTTCAAATATTTCGTTACATGTAGAAATTGACTTGGATAAACAACACATTTTAGAATAGGCAAGGCTGAAAAGCCTCTCATGTCAAGTAAATTATGGATTTTAAAGTGGGGTTTTAGAAGAAACGGAAACTAACAAATTAGCAATATATTTCATCATAAGTGACATGTAAGGGTGAGAATTATCAAGTGGGTTGTGGTGTTTCAAAATGTGTTCTAAGAAGAAATCATTATTTTAGTTTTTGTGATTGCTCAGGCCAGGGTTTGACATAGGGTCATCGAGAGCAGGTACTACTAATTGCTTTAAATTATTACAATATTGAGACACATGTTGAGGGTGCAGGCGTAGGACGCTTGACAACTTAAATCAGTGGAATGTTCTGGAAAGAAGTGTTTTATGAAGAAATAAGTGAAGGTATTAAAATACCTCCTTGATTTATTGGTTGCCTGCAATGTCTAAATTCAATAGAAAGGCCAGAAAGATAATAAAGTAACACGAATCTTGCTGTTCTCAAAGGAATATTCGTAGAAATTCGTGTATTTTTGTGCACATGTGTTCCTGACTGAAATAAAACTATTTAAAATTGGACATCATTTTGCTATTTAAAAAGTTAAAATATGATGGCAGATATTGTGTCCCTTAAAACAATATAGCTATTTCATACAAAAAATAACAATAAAGACAAAAGGTCAAAACTATTGCTTCCAGATGCTAGGGTATTTTAGATAATTAATAATAAAGTATAAGTGTTTCAAAATGACCCTTAATATCAGGGATTATTGTTCATATTGGTTTAGTCTTAAGGAATAATTTTGTATGTCAATTAAGATAGTTACAATAAGATAATAGAAATAGGCGTGGTGTGAGAAATGTTACGGGGGTAGCAAATGTTTTAAAAGAGGTGGAAAATGAAGTTGAGGGAGAGTCTGGGAGTCTGGTGGAGGCCGAGAACAGGATCGTAACTCGGGATTCTGTCGGTTCGTTGCGAGTTTTTGGGAGTTTAAGGGAGTCAGGGGAAGGTCGAGAGCGGAATCAGAACTCGGGCCTTCTGAGGGTTCGTCACAAGCTTTACGAGATAGTTGATGCAATTCTTAGAGTTGTCATAGTCTTGCTATCAGATCAGTGCGTCGCGAGATTTGATAGGCAGGTCTGAATTGCTTAGAAGGAGGGTGAATTCCTTAATATATGTTAGTGCGGTGCGAATATATACGTAGGTTACATCACGAATTATAAAAATCTTTATTAAACCTTAAGTATACCGTACCAGTTCGACGCGGGCTTATTAAAGTCAGTGCTTTATGATAATTAGAGTCAGTTTGTCTATTAGAATTTGTCAATGGTAGAGTTAGTGCGGTTGAAAACTCTACATTTAGGGTAAAATAGGAATTAAAATCCTCCGTTGGACTCGGGTTCAATGCCTCCGCCTTGAACCGCAAGTAAGTGGGTGTTTGGGACGCTAGGGTCTCATTAGGTTGTTAGGAATAAATAAGATTTGCTAGGATTGTGTTATATTGTATTTTGTAATATTAAAAATTAAAACTAATATTGAGAGTAAAGTAATAACGGCAACTTAAAGATATATTAGACTGTTTTAACGATTTATAGATGGCCAATATGAGTGGTATACATTTAAATATTGTATACGATATTAATGTTATATTTAAGGGATAGCTAACGACACCTAAATGGTGAGAATTAACGACAAACAGGGCAAAGCGGAGTAGGTCTAGTAATATTATTATTATGCAGTGCATAGTTTACGTACACATTATACAAGATTTTATATCTAAATAAATATAACAGCCTTATTATGGGAGAGACTTTACCCGGACATACGACGGCTATTTCATAGACTATATGCATAGAACAGATACATTAGTTGAGATAATTCTCAAATACATGTTGAACATAGGTCACTACTTGTGTCTGTAATACATACATTACTGTACGGTCTTCAGTTGACTACTTTAATAACACTGGGGACATTTCAGAAATTATATATTTTCTCCACTAAAAGAAATATAGTTAACTTACCATACAACATTTTAATAAATAATAATAACAATAAATTCCTCATTTTATGAGAGACTATATATACAGCTAATAAATAAATAATATGCGCAATGCATAAATCTTCATGATTCATTATGCTGGCGAGCAAAATACTGCAATCTTATAAATGTCCAACATAGGCCATGACGCACGTCTGTTCTACACTATAAAGCTACCTTATTGTGTTGCCTAGCTTAATAATGCTGGTAACGCTAACATACATTTCTATATTTTGGTTAGATAACCAAACAAAATATTACAAATAATTATAAATTCCTCATTATATGAGAGACTTCTGCTGAACATATAACAGCATACTTAATAAATTATATACACAATGCATAAATATTTACAATTACTTCAGCTGGCGAGCTAAATACTGCAAACTCTACAAATATTCATCGTAGGTCATGACATATGTCACCCTACAACACACCACTACCTTTCCTGAGTTGCCTAGTTCGATAACAATGGTAATTCTTATAATTATGATTTATATTGAAATAACAAATGCCTCCAGTTTGGCTGCTGATACATGTGGGTTATGGTCGGCTCCTTTTATTGGTCGACAGTCGGCTCATATATTGTTAGGATGGCGGTCGTCAGATATACTGGCTTACCATTATGCCATTAGGGACTTATTTCCACTCAGTATATCGGCGTCTATGCATGGCGGTAGACTTGCTCCCTTGAAGCCCTGTAGAGATCTACATTGGGTGGAGGACCAGTTGAGTTCCTGTGTAGTTCCCCGGTTGCTGTGTGTGTCGTTTCGCATTTTTACTATGTTTGGCCAAGGTCTTCATGGTGTCTACAACCCTACTGTGAACAATGAATGTGTGCCCGATCATACCATTATGAATCATGCTAGTTACATTGGATGTAAATGTAACGTCTATAATTAATTTTATTATGAGTTTAGTGCTGGGTTGACTCCTCCTAACTCCTTACCATTTCTTTCCTTGGTTAAGGGGCCGTGATGGTGGGTCTCAAGCTGAGGGCGTGGTCGGGGCCTGAAAGCACCTTCAACACAAATAATGTGTATATATTTTCACAACATCCTTCTCATTGGATTCATTTATACATTTACCTTCTAATCTTAGTCCTAATACCTTATTCCTTCCATACTTTTAGTTTACCTTTATTAAATATTTCATTTCTATGTTAAATACAACATTTCTATTATAATGTAATGTAACCAGTGTTATTATGCTCAACTGTCATTACTTTCTCTTACTAAAATCTTATGGTTCTATACTTCACAAGGTACTTAGGGATTTATTAGTTTTAGGTTAATCGACTTTATTTAGTAGGTAGGTAATTCTTTTACATGCCCTCAATAACATATTCTCTTACTGCTAACAATCGCCTACAAAAAAGAACCAGGGTTACTACACACAACACAACGTAGGTCCTATTAGACGATCACTGCCAATATAAATATTTTTATTAGAAGGTCTTATTAGACCGCACATTAAATTGATTATTTACATTTTATATATTATTAAAGAAAATTAATTATATAGAGGGAAGGGGGGTACCGTTACAGTATGTAGGTACCATTTTGTTCGATACATTTTGGCCATCTTGTGGGTAGAGACATGATTACATTGCTATAGAAATTTTGGGGTTTCTGATCAAAAAACTGCGACAAGTGGAAATCTGAAGGTGTACGGTCAGGACTATACGGCGGATATATTAACAACCAAACTCTCTTGAATTTTGCAGAGTAGCAAAAGATGTGTGAGGTCTAGCCTTATCATGATGAAAAATCACACCCCTTCTATTGATTAATTCTGGCCGCTTTCTGTCAACTTTTATTATTAATCACATCAATTAAGCAATAGTGTTCAGAATCGGTTTTCCTGCCAGGCGGTAATAGTTCACAATTAATAATACCCTTCCAATCTCACCATAAACACAGCAACACCTAGTTGTGAGTTAACCTGGGTTTCATCACAGTTCGTGAAGCCTGACCGACCTTTGATTACAACTTTCTTCGCACTTTCTTGTCGTACGTGATCTACTTTTCATCACTCATTATCAGTCTCTAAAAAAATGGTTCGGTTTCATTACGTCGTATGAGTACAGGTTTTATTAGGTTTCTTTCAGTGAGCTCGTGAGGTACCCAATTATCAAACATTTTTGTGTAACCCAGCTTTATTCAAATGCGGTAAAACTGTTTTGTGGTCAATCATCAGTTCTTCAGCTCCTTGCACTTTTAAAAAATGACATCTATTTCCATATAGAAAACGCTTAAACCAAAGTGTTACTCTCACAGAAACTGCACTAGGTCCATAAACGTCACATTTTCTTTTCGCGGCTTGCGTTGCATTTTCACCTTTAATGTAATTAAATTTTAAGATGTATCGGTTTTCTTAACTACATTCACTCATTTTGACAGTAAGATAAATACTAAAATCACACATTTTTCCTAATTTGATTTCGGAGTTATCTTATTTAAAATTGAAACTTTTTAATGATATCAAAACCAATCAGGTAAGTATAAATAGTATAGCCAGAAAGATTTATTGCAAGTTTATGCATACTATATGCGAAAAGACTTTTTTCCTCGACCTAATTTTTCATGCTTTTTTGTGCAATTGATATTTTTTATATTTAAGTAACACTAAAATTATTAAGTATTTTTATAAATAAAAATATGTAACGTAAAAAAAAGAGGTTTTGTTTATTTGCTCGACATAATTTTGTTTTTTGATTTAAAAGTCTTTCATCTACATAATACGCGTTGGATATAGGCTATTATTTACGCAATCGAAGTTGTGGAGAAACAGTTAATTTGAAAAAAATGGTTCTAAATTCAAGAAAAAATCGATTAACATACCTTTCATAAAAATACAAATACTCTTTGAACATTCGGACTTTGGATGAATTTAAAATACGCTATCTTTTGTTTTTTAGCTGAAATACACATAGATATTATCATCTAAATATTTAGGTGATATCTGATGGAAAGCGTAATTTGTTTTAATCTTAAAAAAAGATAACTACTGATTCGATTGCGATAAAATTAAGCTGTCAAATAAAAAATAATGTTGAAATCGGTCAATAAGTTGTGGAAATATCGGTCGAACATATAACCTCCGCCTTTTGGATTTTGAAGTCAGCGAAAAATAGATCACGAGTCACTTATTATAAAACATTGATTTTAATTTTAAGTATTGAAAATTCGATCGTGAAGAATAATTTTTCAGACTTATAAAAATTAAAATTTTAATCTTAATAGTAAACATTATTAATCAATATTTATGATCTCGTTGGTCGTATTTAATACTCAATATTTTATTCTAGGTTCGACTCCTATGGAACAAATAGGAGGTTATATCGCTGCAAGCAGAGGCTTAACTACATGTTGGAACGTAACATACGATGATTATGTTAATATTCATACCAGTAACACGAATTGTGAGTATAAGATTAATTAAATATTTGAACTTCTTGAACATGATTTATTAATTGATACTTTATTGATAAAAACTAAAGAAAAAGTTTGTCAACAACAAAATTAATCAAACTCATTCATTCTCCATACAGAATAAATGAGTACATACTTAAAGTGAAATGATGTGTTATTGCACCAAAGATCAAAAAACACAAAAAGTTAAAAGGCCCAGCAAAAAAAAGAAATTAAATATTTCGATTAATATTATTCTTAATCTAAAAACTTATTATTATTATCTGTACAATTATTATCTGTGTTGTTATTGACATACTTATATTAATAAATCAAAATTATCCTATCACATACAAATTCAGGCAAACAAAATAGGGCAGAAGACCCGGTTTTGGCCATTGGTTCTTTTTTGACCATTTGGCAAATCAAGGCGTTCTAGCTAACGCATAGGCAAACGATTCCTTTCCCAGTGGACTTTTGGTGTTGTGGTATTTTTTATTTTTAGCGGCATTTTTAGATTGTGATACGTTTTGACTATTCTCCTTTGCAGTTGCCATTTAAAGAGCATCAATTCAATTTCATCTCTTTTTATTTTAATCTAAATTTGTTTATTTCAGCACGCGCTTGGCGCTATCAAACATGCACGGAATACGGATACTACCAGACGGCTCCGAAAATTGGCACTGTGTTTGATCCGTTAATATGGCTCGATGTCGATTTTTACGTTGGTGTTTGCAAGAGAGTTTTTGGTCCGAAGTACGTTTTAAGAAAACTTATTTCACATCAATAGTCCAAGATCCCAGAGCGATCTGATATAACTTATTTTTAACAGCATAGAACTTTCAATTCTAAGTAGTCTCTACATGTACTTTTAATACATGCGCAATTTCCATCGTTGAGAAATTGACGATACTGTCCACTCAAGTCATTATCCTCATCATCACCAGTTATATTGTCGTTGCTGATAGGATCACTAAAAAATACGGGTAATTGATCACCATCAAACCAATGAAATTGATTAATAAAAGTTGGTTGTTTTTTATTTGCATTATTCCATATGCTAGCAATGTAATTAGCTTGGAGAAATTGTTGAAATAACTCAGTTTTGCATGGTGGTAAATTGCTTGCATCTAAAATTTTTTTTTTTATTAACTCTTCATTAATATCAGAAACCGAGTATATATTTAAAAACAGCTGAAGCCGGGCAGCATCAATATCGAGTATACCAGAGACATTATAAATTTGGCAGATAATTTTTTGTACTTGTTCGAAAATATTTTTTTATTTTTCATCAGTAAACGATTCTAAGTCTCCGAATTGCATAAAAGCTTGCTGATATTCATGTTTCTTCATTATTATATTAAATGGCCTTTGTTTATCTTTTTTGAAAAAAGCAGGATTTAAGTCACATCCAGTCAATGCACGAATCCTGGCAAACTTCTACACAAAGACGATCCCGAATACTCGTAAATCTTTGTTAAACCAATGTATCTTTTGGTTATTACCAGTACCTGCACCATACCTTCATATCATCATTTTTCAAATTATGCATATGTAACAACACCGAGTCACCATGGTTGTCTCTGATGCTCATGCAAAAGTGCTCTCGCGCTCATACTAATGATTGCATAATTTTATTGTTTAGGGGATGTTTGGTCAATACAATTTGTCTGACTGATTGAGCTTTGTAATAGTTATCTTAATAACATATTTGAAAATCAGACGTTTATTTAAAAAATAAGTAAAGTCAATTTATTTTTTACGGAGCTTTAAAGCGTCTGACAAAAGTTCTGGCCCATGGAAAGCGTCTGACACTTTTAATTTTACTTTAGAATAACATTCTACATAATATATTTAAAAATCAGACATTTAAAAATAAAGTAAAGTAACGCTAATTTTTAGTTACCTTTCTCACCTGGTACCTACCCAGGTGCCACCGAGCGAACTCTACAAGTACGTAGGTATTCAAAGTACAGGTAGAGACTACTTTGAATCGAAAGTTCTATGCTTTTAAACATAAGTTATGTCAAATCGCTCTGGGATCTTAGTCTACAAGAAGTGGCACTGGCAGTTTCAATGATCCTATTAATATTATAAATGTGAAAGTTTCTTTGTTTGGATGTTTGGATGTTTGTACGTCAATCACGCCGAAACTACTGAACGGATTTTGATGAAATTTGGTATACAGATAGGGTGTTAGCTGACTTAGATAATAGGACTTTTTATCCCACTAAACATGTCCCAAGGGTCCACGTGGGCGAAGCCGCTGGCGAAAGCTAGTAGTCTATTAATCTCTAGGTAAACAAACTGTGTAATTAAACGTTGTCAAGCATCCTATGCCACAACTTAAAATGGAATGGTTTGCAAGTGAAATAGGGTATTTGACACTTTTGTGTTTACTATTTTATATCATTTTTTGATACATTATAAACACGCTGCCAATATATTTCATGGGAATATGTTATATTTTCGATGAAAATAATTGTTAAGGTTTAAATAGCCAAAATTGCTCAAAACCACTGCTCCATGTAATGGCGTTGAATAAAATAAAATAAATATGAACTATTTATTTACGAAGTAAACAAATAGTATTATAGAAGAAATTTTGAAATTAAAATTTGTTTTCTATTTGCATCTACTCTAGTGTCTTGATATGACAGCTTCCTGTTTACGTGTGACGTCACACGATGGTAAACGTTTTCGTAGTTTATTTAAATTCCTAAAAATGTTGCATTTTCTTTGCGTTATTTTACTAAATCTCAACATATTTTGTCTAAAAATTCTAAAAAAATAAGGTTTATTAGATTATTATCCAACAGGATTATTATACAATATGCAACTTATTTTCAATAGTGTCAAAAACCCTATTGCTGTCACTAAACTATGCTGCCACTTCGGTGTGAATTCACCTTATGTGCGGGCTTACGGTGTCAAAAAATATTAATAAATTCTAGTTGTTCCCGCGAGTCCATTTGCGTGGAAAACTAAATATAAAGAAATCGGACATATTTTTGTCCCATCACTATTAGTGCCTAAGCCATCATAGATTTAATTGAAGTTTGTCAAAACACAGGCCACGTCTAGTAAGCAAACTAAAAGTAAGTTTAAAAAATACGAATGGGGACACATCTTCCCTATAGATGGAATCGAATCTTATAATTATTTTAAAGTTCTCTTTCTCTTCGACCATATTGTAAGTTGAATTTATTACCGATGACGTCACAGGACCTAACTAAATTGTAAATTGACTTTCTTCATTCAGGTTTGATGAAGCATTCGTATATAACGCGGCAGACCGCGTGAACACAGTCTTCGGTGGTCTGAAACCAGATGTTAACAACACTCTTAACGTTCACGGTTATATCGACCCCTGGCGGGCCTTGGGCGTCTACGAAGAAGACTTGAAGGAGAGCTCTCCTACTTATACAGTTCCCAGGTATGGTTTACAAATAAATCTAAGCATTGCGCCGCTTTGGTTTTATGTGCGAGCGCTAAACGTCTTAATGAGTCGCAATCGGATATTGTATCCACATATGAAACTGAATTGACCGGTTTATTTTTAATCATAAGTAAGCTCCAATTCCCTCCGAACATATTAACCGGTGACAACAGATTTTACCCAAATAAAAGTTGTGTTTAGAATAACAAATTTTAAGTCCTTGCGCCACTGTCTTGGATTCGGAAATGAATTTTAAGTCCCAAATTTATCAATCGCTGAAAAAATAAGGACAAATTGCCCTAAATATTCTATCTAATGAAAGCTGCAGCAGTATATTTTAGCAACGTTTACATTTAAGGAACCATTGTCAAACTCGAAGGGATAATAGTGGTACCAAGAATTATTAAATTTAAAAAGTTTTGCCACTCTCAGCTTTTATTGACACTCTACTTTCGGAAATATGAGTCTTTGTTCGTTGTGGTTACCGAGATTACTCAGGGTATCAGTTCCACGACTCGCCTCTATGTCCACGATAGAGCTCTAATAATTTAAATGACAAGGATGGCGAATGTTTTGGACACGTTAAATAGTGATCGCAAAATTCAATAAACACTATGAAAAAAGTGCGAAATAGGTATTATAATAATGTTTATTATTTTCTCAATAATTACATCCAAAAATAATGTTATAACACCGTCATGACCTCATTAAACATTTCTTTAAAAGAATGACGCATTGTAACAGTAAAGGTTTGCCATCCCTGACATTCGATATATGCACAATATGCAGAGATAACGTCCCGTTTCGCGGCGAGTCTGGTAATTTATTCTAGGGTACCGGCCTTAGAGTGGTGATAAGTATAATTCCTTAGTAAAAGTAGATTTTCTTGGACCTATTATTAATGCGATAATTACAATTTATTTACTGCGCAAACAGAATACGTCATTTTTGCATTATATATAGCAAGTTAGATACAGTATATAAGATACCGCTCATTATAATATCTAATTTAAGCTTTATTTATTCATTATACTAATCGTAACTAGAGGAATCAGTTGGGTTAATGCAATAAATCTATGCTCAATCTTCTAATAAAATAGCATATCTTGGTTTAACAAAGACAAACACTTATCTATCTATTCTCGAGATTATAGTACGAAAGTGAAAGTAGCGGAACTTCTAAGCCCACAAATATTCCACTATAAATTCTTCATATTATTGAAGCAAAAGTAATAATGTTTTCAGTTTTAATTGGAATTATATGTATGTTTGTAATGTATTTAGTAAAATTATTCTTGAAATAATAAATTGTATTTGTTCACAGAGCATCTCATGGCTTCGATATGCAGAGCTGGCATGCGACAGACACAATCAGAATATCGCAAATCCAACAACGAGTAAGAACTATTGTTGCAGGATGGCTATCATAAATATTAAATCAATATAAAGTCGAGAAACTTAAAAAGTTTAATATAATACCAAATCTACTTTACAGTAAATTTGTTTCATTCATTTTGTATAGAGGAGCCTACTGTCCCCAAAAAATCGGTCTCAAGTCCCAAATCCCAAAGACTCCCAAGTATCAACTCGTAACATATCAACTATGTATTAAAATTGACACTTTACACTTAAAAGTTCAATACATATCGATATTCAAAATTAGGTCACGAAATGAAAGTTCATCGTCGAAAAATGGCGAGAAATTCGAAAAACGACCAGACTTAAAAAACTTACGCTTAAAAAAATCTACCTCCTAACAACCATCGTGGCACTTTGCACTCAACTATCTTCTTCGATAACTGATGCGTCGTGACGCAAATACAATATGGAATTCGATCTGTTTACCTAGTGTTTGTGATCAATACGGTACTAACCGGTTTTATCCTGAAATGGCACAGTACGTACGCGTTTCAATATAACGCATGGTGAGGATCAAAATTTAGCGAGTTCTATTTTTATAATAATAGGGTTCAAAATATAACGCATTAGGTATTCTTCTCACATTGAACAGGCGACAGGCGCTGGATATTCAAGGATCGCCTGATGGAGTAATACCCAACCATTCTCATTAGTAGATTGATTCGAAATTTAGTCTTCTACGAAAGTACATCAATAAACTACATCAGCTGTATCTTACTGTAACCTTTCAAAGGTTTTATCGGCTGAATTGAAATTATTAAACCCTACGTATAAGGTTAACCTTATATGACTTGTACCGGTACCGGTATGACCATAGTAATACCGGTTTCATAAGCTAATTTATATTTTCAAAATAGTAAACGACAACGCCGAATATAGCGACAAGGTACCGCCCGCCAGGGAACCCATTTCTTTTATTTAGGCAAACTAGTTATTTTTGCGACTAATCCGTATAGGGATTAATCTTATGAAAGGAAATATATTAATTGCTATAACGGGTAACCGGCAAACACGAAACCAGCTCCCTAGCACTTTTCTAGTAAAGAAGTAGGAAAACGTAATTAAAAATGAGATAAAAAGGAAACAAACTTTACAGCCCGTAATAACCGGGAACATTATTTATTAGTTTAAAAATGACACAATCTGACAAATTGATAATCCACAGAAGTTAATCAGAAAACTTAACAGGTCACAAACGAATATATCGAAAAATATAGTCGAATTTATTACTAACCGCCCTACCAGTAATAAGATTAAAATTCTAATTTAATTTCTAATGTCATAAATGTACGCGGTTAGCGTTAAATCTACCGGCGGAATTACAATATTTACTATTGGATAAATGCACAGTACACTACTGCCCTGACCGAGTCGGTGTGTTTTCAAAATGGCTCTTTTCCACGTCATTCCTTTTCGGAAACACAACACAAATCGTGATGTGTGAGCGACGACATTTAATATTTTATTAATAACGAGGCAACTCACTGACACTTATCACAACTAAAATAGGAAGAATGTATGAACGCCACTGACGCATCACTTTATTTGCAGTGAGCGATAAACAGAGGAACCATATGTTCCCCTCCCCTTCGCTAGACTGTGACGCGACCAAGGAAGTAGTCGACTCTACCAAACAAATCATAGCACTTATTTCATAAAGCTCACAAACGAACAATTCGAGATTATTATTGGCAGTCCATCGTTTAAGGCGTTCACAATGTAAACTTGTCATTAAAAACAATAACAATAATAACTAAAACACTGGATAATTCATACTAATAATAAAAAAAAATGTATAGGCAGTATAATAATCATCACATAATCAATTCATGGCTCAAAGTTCCCGTCTTAAATGATAGAACTGCCATTTGATACCCCGAACTAACTCAAAATTCAGCAATGACGGCACCGCGAATAAACCTACGTGTCTAATTATAGTGAATACTTAAAAATTATACATTGAATCCCGCCAATGTAACCGAGCTTAAGCTCATCGATACAAGTTTCACGACAAAACCCGAGCAATGTAAACATTTTATAGTCTATAATAAGGGAGTCTGCGGTAACATTCCGCGCCCTCTCGCTACAAAGACACACGTAGACTAAGTTGTATTAGGATATACTCGTGGAATATTTACAATGAACTAGTTTAATATGTTTCAAGTCATTCAAACAGCGGCCTCGGATTCTCCCATGGGAAGCCCTCGCGGCCAAAGTGACCGTATGTACTCGTCTTTTGGTATATGGGTGCTCGGAGATTCAGCTCCCTGAAACAAAGAGGAAACTATCATCAATTCTACTAATATTACAAATGCGAAAGTTTGTGAGCAGGTATGAAGGTTCGTTACATTTTGACGCAAAAACAACTAAAAGGATTTTAATGAAATTTGGTATACAGATAATCATAAGCCTGAATAAACATATAGACTACTTTTTATCCTGCTTAACAGTAGTCTAGCGACCAAATTGGGTGGAAAGTGTTTGTAATAACCGGTACAATAAGTCGCTTAGACCTTAGGTTTAGAACAGTCGTCTAGATTGTGGAAGATCGTGAGTTCGAGATCCATCTCGGTGTGCCTGGAGATGGTGGATTTTTAAACATTTTTCACTAAGAATAATTGCCAGTATAGCGTATTGAATGCAAACTTGATCAAATATAATAACCGCTTCGGTATCCATCCCACCCGGACTCGGAGAATCGGACAGGCGGCTCTTGATGACGCGCTACTTAAATATTTCTGATTGGCTAGAATTTTTTATATTTCGAAATGTTAGTAGGTCGGCGCGGTACGCTAGTAGGTCTCATATGTTCCGTTCAGCAAAGCGTTTCCGTAAAAAATCGAACCCGAATCCAAATACATTCATGTATTCGAATTGTTACATTAGTGTGGAAATTGTATTGATGCCATTTTTTGTAAAACAAAATTTATTGATTATACGTGTCCCAGATATTTAATCACTGTCATTTCGAAATTAACTTCAATTAAGTCAGGAAACAATAATACCAATTGGAGGTTAAGCGGATGTCACTTTCAAAGTCAACACGTAAGTACATTCGAATGCTGGTAAGGATTTTTACGGAATCGCAGGGCTGGAGTGGATTAAATAAAAAAAATAAAAAACACCGACCAATGCCGATCTTAAGTATTCAGTTATAATTCCGCCGGTTAATGAATAAACCGCATTCAATTGAACCGGTTAAAACCGGTCGGGGAAGGAGTAATAGTTTCTTTTTACTGTGAATAATTTAAATCATATCCTTCTGGATTTAACATTCAGTAAAAAGGATGTAATTGTATCTAAAACTTACTTGACGATCTTTCCGGGGCGCAGATCGAAGTTGCGTCTCACTATCGCCAGTAATTCTTGCTGCGTTTTGTGCGAGGTGCCGTAGTCGAACACGGAGATAGATAGTGGCTCCGCTACACCGATAGCGTATGACACCTACCACAACACATAAATAATGAATAATCATACATCAAACCTATACTTTTTTTAACACAATTTGTGGCTAATACATGTTTAGATATAGAAATGTAGTTTGTATTCATGCAACTATTATTTTAAAATCTACAATTATCGATAGAATTGTTGATTATCAAACAAACGACAGTGCTGTCGACATATTCTAGAAAGCTTATACTTTCATTAGTTTTGTCAAAAAAGCTTGTCGCCGAACAGAGAAATTCATACAATGTCAACTCGGCAATGCATATCTCTTTCAATCGTACGCCAACACATAGCTACTGTGCTCGCACAAATGCATCTAACCAAATTTTGTCACAGTAAAGTGAACCAAAAATGTTTACGATATCTATCAGTACGCAGGTCAACGTACTTAATTGTTCGACGACCGTCACTATTCATCATCATCATCATCATCAGACCTTTTTACGTCCCCACTGCAGGGGCTCAGGCCTCCCTTATGGATGGTTAAGGAGAATGGGCCATGACCCTCCATGCCGGCCCAAAGCGGATTGGAGGGTATTAGCGACTGCAAATGCAGCCGGGACCAAACGTGCCTTGCCTTGTGAGTAGTTCGAGATAATAATTTTTTGGTCACCCATCCCGTGACCGACCCTAGCCAAAGTTGCTTAACGACCAAGATGGCAGGCCGCGGCGGTTATCCACTACGCTACCGAGCTACCTTCACTACTGCCGCAACACAAATATTATATTGCGGCTCTACGAAGCACGGAGTAGCTCGAGATAATAATTTTTTCGTCACCCATCCCGTGACCGATCTTAGCCAAAGTTGCTTAATGTCAACGATCGCGGGCCGCGGCGGTTATCCACTACGCCACCGAGCTCTCGTCACTACTGCCGTACTACAATATTGCTCTACCGACCCGGTCCACCTGCACCTGTACTGGTGCACTGGTGAACTGCACTGTAATGGTACCTCTACCCTGTACCCACCTGCACCATGCAGCGGCGGCAGAGTCCCGCGCGCACTAGCGACTTGGCGACCCAGCGCGCGGCGTACGCGGCGGACCGGTCCACTTTGGTGAAGTCTTTGCCGGAGAAGGCGCCGCCGCCGTGCGCGCCCCATCCACCGTACGTGTCCACGATGATCTTGCGTCCGGTCAAACCAGCGTCGGACTTAACAAAAATTTAATATTGATTTTATTATTATAATCTGATTACTTATTTTTATAACTGTTATAACAAAGGAATTCTCTTTTTACAATGAATCTTTTTACAAAGTATTTAAAAACAAAAATTAGTTCCCGAAATCAATCTAGATGTTGCAACCTTTCCGGTTTTCTTCAAATTTTAAAAGTAAATTAGTTTTATAAACTCAATAAACAACTCATATTCCATTTGTACTTTTTCGTATTTGTATTGATATTTAAGTTTCAGACTTTCCAAATTTTACTTTTTGAATATCTTAGTTAAAAGGAACAGAAATGACCGTCTTTGGTCCGTTTGTTTCCTGCAAAAATCAACTTTTGCTAGAATCACCATCTAGTGGAGATGCTTTTTTAGTGTTTTCGTTTTTTTTAAATACTACCTCATTGTCATTTGCAAACAAGTCAAGAACCAAATAACATTTTACAATAAAACAATCAATCCATCATGAATAATAATAATATTAATTACCTGTGGGCCCCCGATAATGAAGAGTCCGCAAGGATTGATATGTATCACAGTTTTTTCATCGAGATATTGTGCCGGAATAACTTCTTTGATTACTTTCTCTTTAATCTCGTCTCGTAGAGTTTCTAGTGTTATCTGTAATGCAAAATATAGTATATAACACTAAAAATGTTTAGTTTACTTTATTACAGAAGAAAATGACACAGCTTGACATATCCCAACATTCTAAATATATATAATAGGAAACATCTCATATTAAATTGAGTGTTTACACAACCTAATTGTTATTATATGTGAGTTTGTGCCCAATAAGGATTATTTCAAACAGAGTATCTTTACAGTGTTTACATAACACCTAAATTTGATAATGAAATATCAACAAATAATTATCTTAAATACCCAATTTAAATTGATACATGTCAGTTAACATTAATCTTTTACTCAATACTAAATTTATTAATTACACACTTAACTGATCTAATTTTAAGTAAATTATTTTAATATATTAAATTGGTTTATTAAGTTAGCAAACCATTTAACCCTTATTACCAGATAATACATGTTTATTGTAATATTAATTGTCAGTCACCTTTCATCACTTAAAGATACTGATAATCATTGACCATTGCAAGTTAACAGTTTCATCACTAGTTCATTATTGTGACCAACAATGAAAATATTGATAGTCACCACTAAATAATGTATAATTTTTTCTCTATTTATTCAGTTCATAATAAAATTATATATCTACAAAAATACACTACATTAAAAATACACAAAGAAACTAAATAGTAGAGTAAATTGGGTCTCTGGGAATATTAGGACGCTGTATGCTGGACTACAGGTTCCTATTTCAGCAACAGTGGCGTAATTTATTTTGTTACCTATGTTTCGAAATTAACTTTAAAACTAATACTAAAAAACTTTAATTACCTTCTCAGAATGCTGAAGAGAAACAACGACAGTGTGCACTCTCTGTGGTACCGTAGCTCCTCCGACGAAATGATACTCACATGTGACCTGAAAGCAAAAAAATAAGTCAAAGAAATTGCACAAGTAAAAATTATGTGATAAACCTTATATAGTTGTGGCACGGAGAAATGGGGTTTTGATGAAACTTGGTTTTAGACAGCCTGTATGTGAATAAGACAATGACAATACAGGCAATGAATTTGACAGATAATACAAAAGGTGTTTGGTACAGTCAACATCACGTCAGATTATACAAATCGCTTACAATTCTTTACTTGATTTAAAACTTGAATGCTTTGACAGTAGAGTTTAATATCAATGGTAACCTAACGAGCAGCGGTGTGTAGAATTCTTATGTATTTTCTTCTGCTTCCATTTGGTCTAGCATCAACAAATAGATTTAAATTGGCAATAAAAAGGTCATTTGTATTTAATGAAATATTCCAAAAGGTGTAACTAATAGTTTTTAAGCATCATAAACCTCAACTCTCATTTTGTATTCCATTTCAGTTGATAATTAGTAATCGCTTACAAGAGCTTAAGTTGGACTGAAATTAGATTACATTTCTCAAATACATTTTTTTTTAGAACTAATATTTAATCTGACATAAATGTGTTGATATTAATTTTAGAAATGGAGCAATAATAAAGAACCTGTTATTTTTGTCTAATGGGTTCTCAAAAATCACTGACACATGTTATACATTTTGGTGTTACTTTACATCTGAAGATAAAGTTACATAAATATGATCAGTCACAGCGTGAGAGCACAGTTATATAGTGCTTCTAGTCTTTCAAATTTTAGTTACAGTTATTATGATACTATCAATAAAAATAAAATATAAAATTTCAAAATCAAATGGTAACCATAGAACCTACAACAAATCTAAAAAATACATACTAGTTCTAATAATTTATTAGTATATTTCAGTGTCGCATATAGAAATATGAAATTGCATTGTGATGGTTCTCGAAGTTAGACATCTGCCTTTTTATATTTAATGATTTTTACTTCAGACTACATTTACACAAGCTTTAGCCTCATTGGGATATATTTATCATTAATCATATATAAGATTACATCATTACTGTCTGATAAAGTTTAATAATATATTTTACCAGCAATCAAATATAAAAAGTAATGACCTTATGTTTGTAGATTTCATTTTAGTAAGAACTTATATAAAACTGATAATGATAAACAATGTAAAAAATAAATATGTAACACTTGAAAAAGATATATTACTGAGGTTGTGACCTAAAGATAAAAACAGATATTGAGAGTTGAAATGTTATGAAAATGATAGTTATTGTGAGTTAAGTAGACACATAATTATAATAAAACTTACATAGCTTAAATTGAAAAGTACATTCTGAAATCGAATTTTAGGTTGTGGTGTTTCATACTGTCAATGTTTACAGAGAGAATTATCAGAATAATAAGTTTAAGTATAATAATGAATTTAGTACCTGTGTTTTGGAGTCAGGACGAGCCCACCAAAATTCTCCATTTCGCCTCAACTCTGCAATCTTCTGGTTGAGTCTGTGTGCGAGCACAACTGTGAGGGGCATGCATTCTTCAGTTTCGTCAGTAGCATAGCCGAACATCAAACCCTAAATGAAAATAAAAATGAGTATGGTGCAGGGAAATAAATTTATTTCACTGTGGTACAGAATCAATTATAATTTACACATGCATTGTGCGATGAATGTTAATGTTGTTTAATAAATAACATTATTAGGGATGGATGGAAGTATGATATATGGCAATTGTATGTCAACCCAAATATTAAAGATGATGTGTTAAAACTAATTAGTACATAGTTTTCACACATTTGTACTATTTTATAACGTTTGTGAAAAGATTAAATTTGTTCTGAACTTAAAGTTTTTAGTGAGAAGTGTTAAGAAACACTTATATCCCATGCATTCATAAATATATTATCGACAATTTTGTACTGTCATCAGTGAAAAGCAAGCTCAGCAAGAACTGCTTTATCTCCCTGCTAAGTGTTATTACAATGGAATTCAGTTATTATTAGAATAGGATTACTAGAATAAATTTTAAACAAAACTTTACAATAAAAAAAAATTGTACTGTCATCAGTGAAAAGCAAGCTCAAAAAGAACTGCTTTTTCTCCCTGTTAAGTGTTGTTACAATGGAATTCAGTTATTATTACAATAGGATTACTATAATAAATTTTTAGCAAAACTTTACAATAAAAAAATAATATCATGAATACCTACCTGGTCTCCGGCTCCTACTTCTTCCTCATTCCTGTTTTCATGCACCCCAGCGGCAATGTTTGGTGACTGCTGGTCTAATGATAGCATCACACTGCATGTCTTGTAATCAAACCCTGGCCCCAATATGCTTTAATATTAATAAATTACACCAATGATTTGTAAAAAACCCTAACTCTATTCGGTTTAAAAGTGGACCCAAAATGGTTTATAGTGGTTCGTAGCCTATGCAAAGTGATTTTTGATACCTCGAGTAATGCTTCTGAAATGGAGACCAATTAATGATTTTCCTTCAATGAACACTGGTGGAATATAAGAATTATTTTAACATGCACAGAATGATCCCAAATTTTATTGAATGTACTGAACCCATAGTAGGTATTTAATCGTGCAAGAGGCTCTTCAGTTTCCTTTTTATACCTGGTCTCCAGCCCCAATATCTATCTCAGTCCGTTCTTGGTACACCCCATCTGCTATGTTAGGACTTTGTTCTTCAATTGCCACTAGCAAGTTTAGTGTACGCCAATCAAAACCTATTATGTATGGAACAATATTCATTCATTACTACAAGAGTTACATATCTTAAGATGTGTAACACTAGTCTCAGCATTTGGCTTTAGGCCAATAGTCTTATTTGCTAACAGTAATTGATGATTTCAAGGATGCAAACTTACCTTTGGAAGAGTCATCGTAACCAATGTGTTTTACTGTCTCTCTTACAACCTTTTGGTAGTCAACATTTGCTTTTGAAGTTATTTCACCGCATAACAGGACCATTCCCGTTTTTGTTACGGTTTCTGTTGATAGAATAAACGTTGAAATGTCATCAGATAATTAGATTCTGTTGAATATGTACTTCTTATAAGAACTGTTATTGCAGGACTTACCACATGCAACTTTTGCGTCAGGATCTTGCCTGAGATGTGCGTCTAATATAGCATCACTTATTTGATCGCACATTTTATCTGAAATAGGCACAAAGTTGTCAATAAATTAACCTAGACATAGTGTACAATAAAGTCACTTTGGCGTAGGTATCACTGGGTAAGAATTTCATCATGATCTGTGCAAAACCACGTGTAGTGCAATAATTATTTTGATTATAATTTATACTATTTGATGGAACACCGTAACTTATAGTATGATAGCTTAGTATGAAGTCAAGTTACACAATGTTATTTAACACTCAAGTTTAATTTGCAACGATTTTGAAGTCTTTTCTGACGCCTTTTAAAAGCTTTCAAGGTCTTGTATTGGTTTTTTATCTACGCACATGTCCAAGGCGGCCATTTTTCGGATCGCACACCTGCACCAAGTGATTAGAGGAAAACTAACCTGGATGTCCCTCGCCGACAGATTCTGATGTGAATAAAAATACTGAGCCATCTTCCATATCAAAACTGTGTCCATTTGTTTTTGCATATCCATTCATTTTTGATGTCTCCGGCATTCTGAATTTAGAGTTAGCTCACAAAAATAACCCGATAAGATCCCCCTGAATCAACACTGTGGAAAAGAGGTCCGGCGCGCGGTTGCGCTGATATTTATAAGGCGATACAGATGCGACAATTCCACAACTTTTAGCCAATGACGTTGCGGCAATTTTTGACAGATTTCGATAAGCAGCGATCCTATTGGCTATAATTCTATGTTTTGATTTTAATAACCTGAAAAGGATAAAAGGCCATTAAAAGCCGCCAAATTTGAAAGGCAAAAGCCAGAATCCAGAATCCCATCAAAAAATATTTTTTCTTGCTGTTGCCAGTGCTTTTTATGTTCTTATAATTTATGTAGGTTTAATTAGTTATTCAATTTTTCTTAATATCGAAGTTGCTTGTTTGAAAATTTAATCTGTTGTATAATTGAATAATATCAAAGATGTAAATTATAGCAATTATAGAGTATAGCAATTTAATAAATTAATACCAAACAAATAATGTATATTTAAATTAAAAAGTCGGTCGAAACATCTTAATTAGTTAAAGGGAATAAAGAAAAGAATTTATAATATTATTGTCTAAATTAAGGTAATTACGCAATGCATTAAAATAAGTATGTAAAGAGAATTATTTTAAGCCAGAAATTTCTGACAAATTACTTCATTAATTATAATTCAATAAACTAAAACCAAATTTAACCACCAAAATGTTACAAGTATTTTTTTAATTAGGATCAATTTTGAAAACACTTTTAGAATTTATTAAGTTAACAATTTTAATGACATTATCATACCTACACTACAAAAAATATTATGAGACATTTTATTTTCAAACTTGATTAAAAATTTAATTCTACTCGTCAAAAACACTTTCCTTTACTTACTTTAAACTTAATATATAAATCAAAAACTATTAAATCAAAGTTCACTTTCACTACACAGTTTATTATTAAAATGAGATACTTCAACACAACACATTCGAGCTTAACGGATAAAGTTAAAATGAGGATGAGTCGTTCAGTACATTAAGTACTTATAGATGACATAAATTATCATCACCGAAGAATATTTGCTAGTCATTTTCATAGACAGAAGACAGGATACAATTCACACACACATTTAATAAGTGCATAACAGGCTTGCCGTGTCTAACAAAAATATGACTAAATGTTTAAGTCACATTTGATTCATCAATTATGAAGAAACACTGATTAATTTGATAAAACAATGAAAGTAAAATACTATTTGATGATTTCATCACCTAAAAATAAACTACTCGGTTGTCAGATTTTTATGTGTATATATACTAGCTTTCGCCAGCGGTTTCGCCCGCGTGGTCCCTAGGGAAATGTTTAGTGGGATAAAAAGTATCCTATTATTCGGCGTGATTTACGGACAAACATCCAAACAAAGATACTTTCACATTTATATTAATATTAACAAAAAAACTTTTCTTATAAATAAATTAAAATTAACATAATAGTCAATTTTGATCTTTTCACATCTAATTCTCATACTTAAATTAGAGTAGATATCAAAGTCTTGCTGTGTTATACAATCGTCGTCTTTACATATTTCTGTAATGTGCCAAAAGAAGCTTCCCCTGTGTAACTGCCACATTGCAGCGCTGGTACAGTGGTCTTGTATATGAATAACAACTAAATCAATTCTCCTGCCCTCGTATCAAGCATGACAAGGTTGAGACACTAGAGAAACGAGTGAAATGTTGTATGCGTATCTCACTATCGACCTGTTTCTCGAGTTTCTCGAGTACTTTACGCTCCACATTATAAAGACTGCACTAGTTGCATCAATGAGATGTATATTTGACAAAACAGAAATGAGATGAAATCAACGCGCCCGTGAAAAGATGGATATGGACAGGGGTTTGCTTAATGTGCGATAAATTTTCAACAAATTTAAAAGTTCTCGATAAAGCCCTTGATTACAAAGTAACATAAATAATTATATATTTTCCCTGTAGCAAAAGTGGCATAATTTTATAAAGAAAAAATGAAAATGGTGAATTACTATAGTGGTAACTTTGCAATTTTTTTCTATTGAGAAAATTATACAACATGCTTTAACACAGTCGCTGATGATTCAGACCTCACACGCCTTACATTTTAGGATGAAGGTTTCTCATTTTCAATACTTATTCGGACTTACTTCTTTGTATAAAACCAATTGAAATTAAGTCTTAAATAAAATTGAAAAGCTTGGAATTGTTGCAGAAAAAGGCTTTGAAGAAATTCATCTTTAAAAACAACGGTATTTAATTATTTCAACATTTAGAGACTACATGAATTTTAAATAGTAAGGTAAGTACCCTCATTTTAATTTTATAATATTATGGACAATTTTATATTTGAGTAGATTTATTTCTGTAATGCACATTTATATCAATGAAAACCACACGAACGACAATAAAAAAAAAAAATTAAAAATCTTCTTCAAATTACTTCGACTTCAAATTAAAAACACTAAAAAGCCGCGCTTCTAATACCGCGTTTACACATATGAGTGGCATGGTGTAGCGGTTTACATTGCAGATCACGGTACAAAACACAATGTAGAGCAGTTAGAATACAACATACTCTAAAATAGGACTCGAAGTCACGACCTTACGCAATCCAGGCGAATGCTCTAACCACTGGATCATCCAGAATTTTAACTATCCCCAGCGCGGAGTCGCCGGGTTATGTGGGTCTTTTCGTTGCGGACCCGCCCCCCTTAAGAAGGGCTAGGGGCATACTACCGATGTCCCTCTCCTTGAAGACGATGCAAGGGGACAACCTGAAGTTCATTCCTGCGCCGTTCGCCCCCATTGTGGTTCAAGGTTCAAAGGACCCGCCGCAAGGGCCCTTTGCGGATTGTGGTTACGATTCAGGAACATTTGAGTCATACCCTCCCAGACAGGGTGACCAGTTAGCGCGCAAACCATCTTGGCTATCACTGTCGAACGACCAAAGATGCGTTACTGAGCAATCTGCAATCCTTACCCGTCCAGTTCGGTAGAACCGCCTAGGCTCAGTGGTATATCAGTGTACTTAGGGCTGGATTTTTAAGCATTTTTCAATAAGAATATTTCCCAATAAAGTACTGTGAAAGCAAAATTGACAAAAAATATAATAATTAAAACAAATTCTCATGTTAATCGAAATTTAAAAATATTTAGAATATTTCTTAAAATAACATCGTGAATTCAAAATTGATAAAATATAAGAACTATTTAGGTGTCTTTTTAGTGTAGGTACTTAAGTGAAAATATTTTTATAACAATAAAGGCCTTAAGGTGATCCAGGTTTTCCTTTTTTCTATGTCTACTGAAGATGGTCATTATGTTGATTAAGTTTTCTTGAAGTTCTATATTAATATCTCTCAAAGATTAGACGGGCTGTTATGGTTCCACATCAGGACTTCCGACTTTGGAGGTCTTCAGAGCTAATCACAATTCAGTCTTATAGTCAGAATTAAGTGGGTATCTTTAAAACTAACCGTTGAGCATATTCTGTTAATTTTTCTTCTTCCAAATTGATGACCAGACTTTAACCAAATTTCTATGGGACTACATGGACACTACTCTTTTGAATGCAAATTTAATTTTTCAAATCGGAATATTACTACTGGAGATATGCGGAATATTACTACCGGGATATAACATACATAAAAAATAAAAAATTGTTGGATTGAGAACCTCCTTCTTTGTTTGTTGCATACTTCGCGTTTTCTACTATTTAACACCTAATATCGGCAGTTCTTAAAAAGTTATTTAGCTCCTATACTATATTGCTGATTTAAATTAGCCTTATAAGTGAGCGTTTTAGAAAAATAAAGTATGACCTCAAAGAGCAATATTAAGATCTCGAGTGCTGCACGTGCTAGGAAAAAAAACAACGTTTAAATTTTCAACTTTAATGCCTAATAAGTAAGCCATTTCTTGTTCAAATTGAAGAAAACAACATATTTTTCTATTATCTGACTGACGGACTAAAGAGAAATTCTTTTTTTTCCCAGTCGTCATCCCTATTACTAAAAACCAGAATCAAATAAATAGTTAAGGGGGCTCTCATACAACAAGGAAGAGAGGTATACAGTAGTTACTACAGTTCCCTCCGTGAAAGAAAAAAGTAAAGGATAGGTTAGGCGAAGAAGTTCTAAGTGGACTTGCGATAAAAAAAGTAGCAAGTTATTTATACAATAAACGTAGCCATTATATTATAAAGGGGAAATATAAGATGTGAGATTAATATTAATACGTGTTAGCATAACATTAACGGCAGTGTTTAAGAACCTAACTATTGTAAACTTTGATAAACTTTAACTTTCAAATATTATGTCCACGCAATATTATTATGCCGATTAAATATTTTGCAGAATCAAACTAAAGCTGATGCAACTATTTTATGATTGTAAGTCATTCGTTATGATTCGTTATTGTAGATACGAAAATTACCATATGAATATAAAAATCTTATATATTATGTAAATTCTGCAGATATCAAATGATGATAAACATTTTTAGAGTAACTTGTGCCCAGAAACATAGAAGAAATTATGATACCTAGAATGCGGCATCAGAAACTAAGTAACAATAAAAAAGTAGGTTGGTGAACGTTTGCCTGTGACTGCGTTCGAGTAGTATAATTGCTCTGGCAACATTTTTAATTTTTAAGGATAGGTACTTATCTTACTTTGAAATAATATAGATACAAACTGCTATGATTTACATGAAATACAGCCAGACTTAGTTCGAAATTAAACTATTTATAAAAGTTACTCATTTCAATTCTTTTATCGCAATAAAAGGTATGGTCATGTATCATTTAACAAAGTTAACTCTATCTCTTAACTCAAATTTCATTAAATTCAGTGCTTAGGTGTGAATGTATAACAGACAAAGTTACTTTCGCGTTGTAAAGGATTGAATCATAGAGAAAAATCGGTTAAATTCAATTATGTTTCCACTCTTTTAAAAATATTAACAATTCACAAGCGTTCCTAAACTTTACGGACAGGGTATATAGCTACCTACACAATGCTATATTGATATACATTATAGAAAAATAAAAAAAAATAACAGTCCCAGGAAATTCCACCTAAGGCACACGATAGCTTATACAAGATAAATGCGTCATAAATATCAATTACGTTAGAAGAAATGAAATTGAGTCATTAATTATGATATATTTTTTCGCATGCTACATTAACATTTTTCTATGAGTCACATAACCTGTGTAGTGTAAAGCTAAGGCTGTAAGAACATGTAGAGTTAGAAGCTTGGCTCTGCATAACATCTAAAAGCTTTTCACTGTACAGAGTCACAGGCATAGTTTTGACTATTTATGGTGCGATTTCACTTATTTTAATTACTTACTACAATATATTTAATTTTTTTTTCTTAAAAAAAAGCTTTTTTTGTTGCACATAATCATAGACCAATAACGGACAAAAATTCGTCCATGATTGGTAAGGTTGCTTGGTCGGTTTTATATAAACTTGGAATTTTATTGGCTCACATATCAAATTTCAGCTTTCTAGGTAACCTATCCTATGAATTTTGATGATCATCAGTGAGTGAGTGGATGAGGAAAAGCGGAGACGTATTTTTTTAGATATTAATAAAATCTTAAGTATAAGTGCTATGCACTTGATATTTTCTTTGAATAGTATCATCATTATAGACACCATATCCCTAGAATGTTGTTGATTTCTTGTAATCCAAACTCCTGATAAACTGGCATACAAGTACGGTCCCGGAGATCGTCAATATAATAATTTAATTTAGCAATATATATTAGATTTATTTAACTTATAAACTTTTAAAAATGTAAGACTATAGCCATTCATTGAAAAGAAAACGTTATGGGTGAATAGAAACAGAAGATCGAAAAGAAGGCACCTAGAGTGTATGGTAAACCTACTTAGTTTACGAAAATAAACTCACCTATGTTACGACATTGTTACTCGTACTTATGATAAGATCTTTTCCTGGTACCTCAGCTATATTGTCAATAGTGAGAATCATTCATATAGAAACAACCATTGAGTTATATCTATTGAATGTTGCGCCTGAGAACAATTTATAGCATTGTAGAGTTTTCATAACGTGTATACATCATTTATTTTTTTCATTAAAAAATAACAAAGTTACCTCTAATGTAAACGAGACAATCGTTTATAATGATATTTTTACATCTCTGATAAAAATTTAGAAAGAAGTTTTTACATTTTAACAAAAGCTTGTCAGGTTCCGTAGAGTAATTTGTCCATCCGCGGGTTAGCTCAAAAACTATTGGTATTAGAAAATTGAACTTTGGCATGAGTATACACGTTAATTACACTGACAAAGTGGTACAGTAAAATATAAACAAAAATTTTTTAGGGTACCTCCCCTACATGTAAAGTAGGGATGACAATTTTTTTAATCGTTCATCGTTAAAGAGGTCTTTTAAAACAATGGGGTCTAGGAAGGCCGTTTATCGATTTAGTAAACCATTTCTGACTTATTAAGCTTTAAAGAGCAAATTTTCGTTAGAGTCAAGTCAACACTTGACTCTAAGGAAAATTAACCTCTACTAACTAAACGGTCACTGGTAAAAATTCAAACTTTCCGCAGTACTACGTACATATAACGAAGTTAAAAGGAAAACTATCACACTTCACTTTGCTTTTGAAGTTAAACAAGAAACGTATTCTTTTAGATCTTTACTGAATCAGAAAGATTTTTTTTATTTGTTCTAGTTGGATGAAGTTATTTTTTTAAGCTTTAATTGCTAAAATTCAAGCGCCAATTTTTGAAAATTTTGCTTACAGATATATATGTACATCATTTTAAATATAATATGGCGAACGACTCAAGATTGTGGACTAGTTATGTTTTAATCTTCTATGGGTAACATGGTTAAAAGAGTTTGCTAATAAAATTAGAATAAAATATCATTACATCTGTACCAACCATCAAAATTATGATTATGTGAGTAATTGTTGATTATCACCATGCGACTGAATAGCTGAAAAAAATTTTTGTGGGTTATCTCGTTATCTAGCTTTGGTAAGCTAGATAACGAGATAACCCACAATTTTTTTTTTAAATATTTTTTATTTAATATTTTTTACATAATGTTTATTAAAGGAGAGATAATAAAGAGAGATAAGAGAGAGATAATAGGTAAATAACTAAATTATAATTTTTTAAGGTATATACATATAATACACATGTAATATACAGATGATGATCCTTTCTGATAATAGGCCGCTAGCTTTATTACATTATCAAGAATATTTTAAATAAAAAAATATAGATTACAACAGTGTTTACAAAAGAAACTAAAAGTTAAACGAACGAAACCGGTTTGGAATAGATAATAATGTCGATAAATAAATCAAAGTGTATCTAAAGTCGTCAACATTAGCAATTCAAATGTCACGTTTCATAATTTAATTCATGTTTACATAAGTATCTTATTCAGCTCTAACTTTACACAGGCATAGGTAACATTATGTAAATAATTAAAAATCGATGAAAAAACTGTATATAAGTAGGTTTTTTATCTAACTTGCAGTGTTAAGTTATATCATTTTAAATCTAATATGGCGGACGGTACATGATGGCGACCTAGTTATTTTTGTATGCACTAAATACACTACATATACATACCTAATAAATAATATGGAAGCCCACACCAAATCAAAGTTTCCTTAAAAAAAAGGAAAATATAAACTACTAAAACGATTTCATTTCACGAACAATATGGTGGACCATTCAAGATGGTGGATTTGTTAACATTGAGCACTCTCAAATACATAATGAAAGGCTTGCAAAGTTTAAAAATATTCTATTGCCATTATCTATATTTGAAAAGGAACATTATCCTAATGAATACTACGGTCAAACCGTAAGTTGGTAACTGAGCAAAGTAGCAAATTGCTACTTTTATTAAAGTTATCTTTTTACATTGTGTCCAATTATATCAATACAACGCTGCATCCGTTGAACCACTGAAGCCTCCTCTTCCATATAAATCTCTTCTACGACTTTTTGAAACGCAGCTGCTGCTTCCTCAGCATCAAAATCGTTAAGCTTTCTTTCGGAAATTATTTTCTTTTGATAAAAAGTCATCGCTGTATCATCATTTTCGTTTTGGTATTTTGGATATTTCTACTAAACAAAGACTACACCCAACCACAAATGGTTTACTACTGCTTAAAGGCGTCATTAAACCAGAATGGACGTTACATAGTGCAACTACCCATACCTCTTAAAGTTACACGTGTTCAAAGAAATGTTCGCATAATATCTAGAATATTGTGTTCCTAATGTTTGTAAATCTACAAATGATATGTTAATGGATATGAGTGAATGTAATCTAAATCATGTAATATTGGTTAGAGGTCAGAGATTTCTGTCGACACGTGGTTTAGACAATTCTTGTATGATCTAAAGATAATGAAAATACGCGTTAGAGAAGTCCCGTTCTGATTGTATATTTGCAACCAGTGGCGGACTGAGGAGGGACGGAGGAGGGACGGAGGGGGCCTCTAAATGGCTGCAGCTATCTGACAAAACCATATGATAAAAATGTCCAAGGGGACGTTGGTGTAAAAGCAATATCAAGTATCTGCCTCGGTTGGAAAAAGTGCGTGCCTATTGCCGCCCCGGTAAACTTTTAATGTTCCATCGAGGAGCTTGATGGCGCAGTCTTAGTGCGTTCTATTGTTTTTAATTATCTTGAAATTATGTCAGTATCTACCGGATATTAAATAGATCTGGTTGAGTCTGAATACTACGTACTAATTACGGGAAATTACGATTAATAATAAATCATATGAATTAAATAATTCTGTGTAAGCAATATCTCGAATAAATCTTGTTATTTATTATTCTCGATAGTTCAATTGCGTATCAGAAAGAAGAACTAAGAAGCTACGTACTTATTGCTGTAATTAAGAAGATCTGTATTAATGAGCTACTTGTCAGATAAGTAGTTTTGTTTGTTTGTATAGAAAACTATTTCTCTAGACGAGATACAGTTACCTACATATTTCGATGATAATAATGTTCATTGAGAACCGATTAGTAGTTTTTTGTTAGTAACCTAGTTAGTCACTAAAAATTCCGATATTGTTATTAAAAAACTAAAACGGACTATAATATATATAATAATACGTATAAAAACAAGTAAGAATTTGAATAAAGTTAATAAATTTTTTAGGATATTGTTCATTATTTCTATCTATAAAAAACGAAAATCCTTTTATCTTTAAACGAGCAATTTATACCACCTCTCATTTTTTCATTCACTAACAAATCAGGTCATCTAAATAAGTCCTCAAACATAATATGTAGGTTTAGTAGGTAGGTCAGTATTTAAATAGCTTAATTTTTTGTTTATAATAAATTTGTAATTAGTAAGACTTTAAAAATATTATTATTGTAAAATACCTAAATCACTTCTAAGTATGGATTTATGATTTATTGACACCGCTTAATAACCGCTTTGTCACTAAAACTGCCGATAAAGTTGTGATTTGTTTTATACATGCCCAATAAGATTTCGATAAATTAATTAATCTACAGATAACAATTGATTGTGAATATAGATAATTTGTAAACATAGGTTTGTTTCGTGTGTTAGTACTCTTGTAGACAGCGAGAGAACAGCCTGGAAGACAATCAACAAAGGCTGTTATGATTAAGTCTCGTGCCTGGAATGTTTGTATGTCAGTTTCCCAAACATATTCTTGGGCAAATAGTGAATAGTGAGCTAAATAATCTGCAGTTGGATCATTACAAATTCAAAATTAGTGCGTACCTAAATTCTGAATAACTGGTGTTTCCCGTCCATTATGTTCTTTGTTAGTGTTATTTTTGTAGAGAATAATGTACCGTTTTGATACATCTTGCGTCATTCTGATTTTATGGATTTTTAATCTTCATGGAGCTAAGGTAAATTGAAAATGGAATGATAGTATGAAATGACGTCAGTTCCAAAGTGTTATCTCTCTTTTTGAATACCTTATGATATTCGATTAAATGCAAAACTGATTAAATATATCTAGTATGAAAACGAAAAAAAAAAACGAAACTAGATTACTATCTAGTGTGATATTAATAACTTATATAGAATTATATTTTTTGATTAATTTTGCATTCTCGAAGTCATACTGAAAAATATTCTTAATACAAATTCGATTCCCATCTCAGGGTGCCAGGGACCAAGTGGATTTTTTAAGCATTTAGTATTAAGAATAATTATATAGAATTTGTAACAATAGCGACATTACTATTAAGAAATAAAATTGAGAAGTTGACATGGCATTCATAAGGCATTCATAAGGCATTCATTGTGTTCATTCATTGTGTGTAAAATAAGTGATTGTGTAGGTACATGTCTAAAAAGATAGTTTCCTAAAACTTCTCTTAATACCTAATCATTCAATAATATATGTTTCTTATACAGTAAAACACTGATTGGCTAAATGATCACAATAAAACAGCGTTGGCTTAATAGATCCTGTCTTTTAGGTGTCCATATTAAAAAGTGCATTGGAAAGTACCAGCACCACCGAGGACTCTAAAAATCCTTACAGACATACTGTGTACGCTTGATCAAAACGTATTATGTACTAATTTAAAAAAATTACGAGCACACTACGAACAAAAAGTATGTTCACGACGAAAATTTGACCTGCCCTTTTGTCCAGCTGACAAAATGTATTTTTGCCATTTAAAGATACTATAAGTTCTTCCATATAGGTTCCATAACCGCTAAAATTGTAGGAAAAAGTCCTTAAAGCAGAGAATACACTGCGCTAAAGTTGAACACGCTAATCTGAATATATTGCCGCATGCGTTTCTATTCTGCTTATGTGAGCGCTTGTATAGAAGAGGATATGTTATAAACCATAAGTTACAGATTTTAGTTTAATCAAACAGTGCGATTTGAGCCTAAAAAAGTTCGACCTGCATTCGTGGATTTCAGAAATAAATTACAGTTAGCCAAAACACACAAATCTTGTAAACAACTTGTATTATGTGTTAAAGCGACGAATAGCGGAAAAGAAACGGAAAAGTATGTGTGGATAGTAACAGTAGTCACAAACATTATAAGAAAATCTACCAAAATAAAACTTATTCATTGCAAAACATAACTCAGCCCATTCAAACACGCCCCTGTATTTATTTAAACTTGATAATTGAGAAACTTATTATTAGAAGTTTTAGTTTGTTATCTAGTCGCTGAATTAAAGACCTTAAAGACACCACTTTATTGTCCTTTGTAAAATGGTAATTTTCCTTTTAGGTAAACGCCTACGAGTATTTTTACGGTGATACGCTCAGCCCTGTCAACGCCAAACTCGATACATGGCACCAGCGCAGCGCAAGAGTTGCTATTCGGAACAATGACAACAAACTTGAATGTGAACGACCCGATTTCTACATTTGTGAGGTAAAAAGCTTCAATACGTTATTTTTCTTACCTTACGGTTTCATGGAAGAAGCTACTAAATATTGTAAAAATGTAATCGCCGCTTAAAATTAATTACCCTTTGGGTACGGAATCCTAAGAAATTGGTTAAAAATACATAAGTTCAGATTATAAAGTAGTATATCGATATGGTTTATAAATATTGAGTGTCTGCCTATGTATATCTGAGGTACACCACAAAATATAGAATGTTGCTATTTGTAAAAATACGAGCCTATACGGTTGAGTTATATTTGTTTTTCACAAATATATAAAAAAGTTAAAAACAGTAATAAACACATCGTTGATGTAAATAGCTTTTTTCCGAAATATTTTTAAATTTGCTTATAAATGAAAAATAAATGTTTAATGAAAAATAAAACTGACAATTTCTTTAATGATTTTCATATTCAAAATATGAAAAAAATTTATTTAACATATCTATTTTAAATATTTTCATTGGCCATTTAACAGGAACATCCATATCTAGTCCCAGTTGAAGTGAAGAAAACATGTGATTATCGAAGTGTGCGGTTTCATGAACAAGTGTACAGATGGGTAGCCGGTCGTGGCTGCCTACTCTTCACTCCGGACTTCCTGTACACAGCTGGGTACAACGATTTGAATTTGAACACTGCTTGCTACTACGGAAATCTACGCGCACCTTGCTTAGAACTTGTAAGTGATACAAATATTTGAAAACGTGATTTAATTTTTGAAAGCTAAATAAAAATAAAGATGTTTCTAGTGTAAAATAATAATTTTATTGATAACGTAAACTACTATCCGACACAGCTGTTGGTCAATTCGAGCACAGGTTCGAGGTTGCGTTCGATTCCGAGCAGGCTGGATGTAAATAAATATGTACTCTATATTGTCCATGACTTATGTAATTAGTACATGTTTCCACTATGATGTGACTCTGATAATATCAGTGATAATATAATATTTAATAAAATACGTTATTTGCATTAAATACTATTTCTAAGTATTTCTTTTGTAAGAAAGAATTGTATTCAGAATACTCATAAATATTTAATAACAATAGCATCGAATAGTAATCACTTACCTGAAATATATAACTACAGTTGTACACATCGTGTTAATATGTGAAAGATTTGTGTTTAATATATTTGGCTGTGAAAATATAAAACTTCTAAATATAAGTAAAAAAAATCATACGACCGTTTCAGTCGTGCCTATAATTTGTCGCTCGAGGAAATTAAAATTAATAGTATATTTTTTGTTGACCTAGTAATTTAGTTCAACAAAAACTAGTTAGCTTTTAGTTAGTTGCGATTAATAGTTTCGGAGATACAGTGCTATGTTTGTGAAACAGCTGCTAGTCTCCCTACATATTCAAGACACTAAGTTACGTCACACGGTGCTACGGTAGCGAAAAACGTATTACGGTCTGGGCAATCTTTATCGTTTCTGCGTTTATGTTTATAGTTATGATAATTAAAGTTGTAATGATTTAAGAAACTAATTTAATGTCGTGTTTTACGTAGCAAATCAGGAAATATTATGTATAGTATGCAGAATTTAAACTTAACCAGTGGAGGATTTAAAAAGCTTTAAAATTCAGTTGCGAGATTTGACGAACCTGCTTATACTGCCAGTTAAATTTAAGTTTATAAAATGACCTCCACCTAATAGCATAATTGTAACTATAGTTCAGTTTGTTTTATTAATAACCCGATCGGCATGTTATCGTCGTCATGATAGCGGTTACGTCATCATTTTCATCATCTTTCGTAAGTACAATTACGTGTAGAGTCACTTACCAACTATACACACTTGAATCTGTTATCAATTTTTTGTTTGTATACTTTGTTTTAATTCTCATTGGTATTATTATCTAGCAATAAAATACAGGAGATTATATTTAATGTCTTCTGATTATTAATCGAATAATACTTTTGAGATTTATTAGGCTCTCAGATTAATATATTTTTTTCTCTTGACCTAAGTTAAGTTATTCAATCCTTTATTTAGGTGTTTAAAATAGCTAATTAATAGATAGAAATTATTTTCATCGCGATCAAAATTTTTCCATAGGATAAACAAGTTTTCTTTCTTGTATTTTTGTAATATTTTCTAATATTTCTTAGTTTTTTTTAAGGCTAAGGAAGATGGAACATGTGGTTGCTATCCCTTCGACCCTGGTTTTGAGGAGGTCGTGTCAGTTGTCAATCAAGCTTTGGTTCCGTCAGCTCATGGAAGATGGGAAAGATGTTTTAACGCTGCCTCAGACTGTTGCAATAACTATATGCTACCAATTGACGCCAATACAACTCCAGAAGGTTTGTTAGGAATCTATAACATTTTTTTCGGCTTCAAACTAAATTTTGAACAAGATCCGTTGAAAATGACTCTCGATCAATTAAACGGTGTCAATATTGTTGCTCGTCTCTCAAATAGTAACAGCATTGTCTAAGGTGAAAATGCATTTCACCCATGACTAGGAACCACCTAATAACATTAAGCAACGTTTAATGCTTTGCTAAAAAAAAATATAGACAAATTAAAGTTATTTGGTTATAAAACATGCGATTTGTAGGACAGTGTGATGCGACATTCGATGGATGGACTTGTTGGCACGCGGCGGAAGCAGGCGCCACAGCACAAGAAGTCTGCTCTGAATTCGCTTACTCCAACGTTGGACCCACTTGCCATCGTAAAGTATTCGCTTAGATTATCTTTCACCTACATAGTTTATTTATCTTATGATTTAAAAACTTATATACCAAGACTCCATGAATTCTAAGGCTTTAAAATGCATGTTTATTTTTTTACTATAGTTTGTTTCACTAACAGATTGAAATAAGTAGAATTTTCAACATACTCTAAAACTAATGATAAAATCTAATTTCGAACGGGCGTTTTTTTTTTTTAAATATATTATAGTGAAAACTGTATCAATATTTACTATAACTATTTCAAGTTACAAACATAATAAATACAACAACGCACAAAATTGTTTTTAAAGAACTAACTTCCAACAGTTTTAAATTATTCCTTTTTTTCTGTTTCAATGGTTAATCTTAAGATTTTCAGATTTCAGTAGCAAGAGGTGTTTCGATAATGCGACATGGGAGCTCCAAACTGATTACAGCACCTGCAGTATCACGCCGCGTCTTCTCCGTCGATACCATTTCCATATAGCCATGTTGGCCTTCTCTATCGCCTCCTGCCTCCCTGCTGTTATCATCTTCTTTTTCTACAAGCGCTTGAGGATGACTAGGGTGGCATTGCATAGGAATTTACTCATTGCTATTATTGTGAGAAATGTACTGGTCATTATTAGTAGGACGGAAGTAAGTCACTGTTCTAATTATTTTTATAGATATAACTGTTACATTATAAATTTAGTTTTTGGGCATGATTTGACAATTTACTATTTATCTTTATTTAGCGCCCACCATAGTCGAGTGGCTCACACGACGATTTCAAAATGTCGTCATCACTTAGGTCCCGGGTTCGAATACCGATCAAATCATTATAGAAATTGATATTTTCTACATATCTTTTCTCGGGTATATGTGTTGTGATATTAACATCGTCGTTTCAGATTTATATAATACAATATGCATTGAATGGCTCTAAAACTACTGGGCCGATTTTAATTTTCTTTTTCACCTACGCGGACATCAAACGCGGGTGAATGACATAGGTTGAAATTTACGTTTATTTATTTATATATTTCACCTAATTTTCACCTTTCTAATTTATTTATAAATTATGTAAGCATATACTTTATCGACCGAGTAGCTACTTAAAATATTATATACCATAGCCCTATAAGGTAACTCTTGAATCTAGATACAATAAGTTGATTCCCTTCTCAATTGCAGCTTTACATAGATGAGATAACAAATACGGGTGATACCTCAATGTCTACACACAGTATCGCATGCAGGGCTCTTAGCATAGCGGAGAGAGTGGCAGGGAACGCTGTCTTTGTATGCATGCTGGTTGAAGGCATTTACTTGCATAGACTTATTGTAGCCGTCTTCAGGAAGAAGTTGAACATCAAATGGTTGTACGCGATTGGTGCTGGTGAGTGGAAATTGGATTTTGGAGCCTTGAATAAAAATGATTGCCAACTTTTTTCGTAATCATAACAAAAACGGACTATCTGCCGTATATTTGTAATTTATCTTAAATAAATGAAACCGAAAGTCCCGCCACTTTCGGTCAGGGCCAGATGCCTCTAATAGGATTAGTCCGCGACTGCACCTGTACGCACCCACCTACGAAATTGGGACCGAAATTGAATTTTTTACAGCTTTTTTCTTAATGGTAAATATCATAATTAATAAAATAAAAACACACGTTGATTATAATCATAAATAAAAAACAATAGTTATATTTATTGCTGAACGTACTTTACAATACGTGACCAAGCAGAAGAATAATATCTATGAAAATTATTGTAGTTCACTTCTAATATTGAAAGAAATAAAAACGGGTAAAAAACGTCCTTCATTGAGATTCGAGCCGATTCTTATAGTTTTCTTTCCTGTGGTAAATTTGCGAATGAATATAGCTTTTTGGCTCTTATTTGCAGGCCAATAAATCAATTCAATAAGCAAAAAGTAATTTATAAGTTTTAGAAGCAGGAGACAATGACTAGCGTATTCGGTCTACGAGAGCGATAGCGCATAAGACCATGCATGTATGGATGACCAAAAATTTACTAACTCAAACTCCTCCCTTCTTCGGAAGGTAGGTACGTTGACTGTCGTTAACATCCACCAAACCACACTGGGCTTGTGGTCTATACACAGTGGAGATTTGTATCCCAGTAGTTATTGATGATAATTTTATATGTCTAACAGTGATCGCCATCATACCAGTAGTAGCATGGGCCACAGTGATGGGTATATACAACGACCATTCATGCTGGGTCATCTACACTGTGGACCACGTCCAGTGGATTCTCGACGGGCCAAGAATCACTATCCTGCTCATCAATACAATTCTCTTCGTGGACGTACTGAGAGTTCTGCTCACTAAAATCAGGAACGCCGAGAATGCTAATCAACTGTAAGTTTCCTTAAACTGTAAGGTAAAAAAGAGTTTGTAAATTGGACAACAATTGGAGAAAAAAAATGGCTAAACATACATAAAAACATGGTTAAAAAGATTTTGTGGCCATTTTTTCCAATATAAACAAACAAACACAATTAAAAAATTACCTCTTTATAATATCTTTCAAAGATATTCGGTCAGTTACACAAATGCCCATTAAAAGTTTAATGACGCCTTTAAGATCTAATGAATTTCAACTTTGAATGGGTAATGTAGCTTTGAACTAATGTCTGGCTGTTAGTCTATTGATTTACTTGTCTTGATCAAAATTTTCAAGAAATATAATAATAATATGTAATGCATTACTGCGAACAACACAAGCAGCAAACATACCATGAGAAAAAACATACAAATTCGGCCTTATTGCTAGCTGGCTATCTCTGCCTGGCAACTTATAAAAATATCAGTTTTACTAATATTTAGGTATATTAAATAATGGCTTTTCGTTATTATTTACTTGTGGCATACACTCAATATAAAGTAACAAAAATTTGATCACTGTTAAATCAAGATAACTTCCTTTAGATTATAGATCAATAATAGATAATAGGTATAATACCTACCAAGAGAATTAGGCGACGAATAAAATTACAATATGGTTGAATAAACAAGACTCCTTGGCGGTTCCAATGTCTACAACCCTTCAGCAAAGAAATGACATAATAAGTATACTTACAGTCATTACAGCCCTTGCTCTCTATGAAGCTTGTATACATATATTTGAAAGGGCTTTTAACATAGATTTACGATCTCTATACCTTTAATAAAAAATCATTACAATATGATTTAACATACACTGTAGTATCAATAATAATATCCAGGGCATGGTGATGTTTAAATTCCTCATGCAAACTTCCACTCCCATTTTCACCCCTTTATTAGCTGTTTTTGGGGTTAAACTTTAGCCTATGTTCACAAATATATGGTGTAGCTTCACGTAGCTCAAAGAATTTTTAAAATCGGTCCAGTAGGTTATTCGATGCAAACAAACAAACAATCAAATCTTTCCTCATTATAATATTAGTATAGATTTGACTTTATATGATTTCTAATTCTCATGAGAAATATTAATAGGTCAATGTGATGGAGTAGTCCATAAGATAGTATATAACTTAGTAAATTAATAAATATAATTAATTATTATTTTCTATAGGAGCACAGCTAAGACGACATTATTTTTAATGCCCATATTTGGATGTCAGTTCCTACTGACAGCGTTTAGACCTAACACAACCAACTGTGTAGGAGAGCAGGTATATTTCTACATCGCCTATTCAGTGGAGGGACTTCAAGGATTCATCGTTGCCATGCTGTACTGCTACGTTAATAAAGAGGTAAAATGATGTTACTACAAATGGCCAAACCTAAGATAAAACGAAAAAGAATTAAGTATAAATCAGTATCTTTTTTAAACTGTGATTTAAGTGTTATAGCTTCGTTTCTTAGGTAATATTGTCTTGTATTAATTTCAGATCAAAATATTGACTATTGCAGTACCTAAAGAGACTTTTATGAAGTTATAAAAGATAATTTCCAAATCGATTAAAATCACTGATGAAAGATTACAGTTTAAACAACTTAAAAGGAAACTGTTACATTCAAGCTTCACAATATAGTAAAACGATCATAATATTTTGTTTACAGGTTCGCATGCTACTAAAAACAACATATAGAAAGACAGAAAGCGCCGTAGTTTCTAGAGTCCGTGGAGACTCTCAATATCCACGTATGAGTATAGATCCCAAATCAGACAGGAGACTTACATACAGCACAGCTGTCCCTTCGCACAGCGTCGACGATCCCAAAGACCATGGCAGAACAATCACGCCAAAACTACACGTTGCCGAAATAATATCAATACAGGCTAGCGAAAGATTAGCAGATATTCTAGAGCCAGTTTACGAAACTATAGAAAGTGGCGTAATCAACGAAGGCTACGACTATTTAGAAAGGTCTAGCGTGGACAACGATTCTGCGTACATAGTTAACAGGGATCCAAGAGGAGACAATTACTATGGCTTCACTAATGTTTCAAGTGTCTCTATAGATTGCCAAGACTGGATTAAGTGTGTTTCGTCGCCTTCAAGCAGCATTTACAACAACTCTTTGAACGATTATGACAATAAATATTTAGATAGAAAATTTCCAAATCCGAAACTGAAAGAGTTTATCGAAGATAAAAAAAGATTATCGGCTTATGATAACATTATCGAAGCAGAAACGAGCCAAGAGAAATGTGTTAGCCCCGATGAAAATGCTGGTTGTTCGAACGAACCTAAGTCTGATGATGAAGTTATTGATAATGAGTATGTAGATTGTTATGATAATATGCTTAACGAAATAATGCAATATATGGAAACTACTGACAGCAATAGTGTTCAACTAAACCCTAATAAGCTGTGTCCAAATAGGACAGATGACGAAAAAATTGTTTTTGTAGACGAATAAGCAATTAAACTTTTCCTATGAGACGTGAAAATATTGGATAAGAGTGTATTATTGTTAAGATGCACAGGGTGGTACATTAGGTTAGCAAAAAATTACAAATATCTGTAATCAATTTTGAACTCTTGCATGCAATGCATTAAGGGATGAAATTGATTGGAGAAATTTATCAGTTTATTTATAACCTTACGTGCTGTTCGTTGTACATAAATATATATTTAACTTTACCTATAAATGTTTTTCTTAGATATTTTACATTATTAATTACGTTTATTGATTTAGAAAATCTAAATTTACTAGGTAATAATTAATTTAAAAAATATTAATGCAATTTTGTAGTAGTCTACATTTGTATCCACATTTATAGATATATTTCATTGTTCGTTATTGAAAATATAATGAGGGTGTCATGTAATAATAAATTGTTAAATAATATTCTTCTTAAAATCAAAATAAACATAACAATATATTTACCAAAATCTTAAATTTTTTATTCTAGAAAATTCAAACTTCATTGACCGCGCATTATTGAAAAGCTCATACCTAATATTGATTTGTGATGCGTTTGCGCAACCACCCACCCGAACTGTTTCGGCATGCCTTTAACGCTAAGCAAACATTAATTGATCTGTCGACTCGTTTCAAATGTAGATCCTTTCCAAGTGCGCTTACAAAAGCGAAGGGGCCATACGTTCTAGCACAGTCTACCTTCGGGTCTTTTAAGAAACACACAAAAAGAAACATTAGATTTTTCGTTGAACGTATAACCGATTCATTAAGAAACAAACCATTTTATAATAGAACAATGATATCGAAGTTATTAGTGGTATTGGTATTGTGTTGGGGTGTTGAAAGTTTTCCGGACGGGGCGCCGGTTGATGCGTGCGTGAAGAATCGACCTAATCAACCAAACCATGGACAACATAGGACACAGCCTTTGAGCACTTTGCCATACAGAGTGCAAGCTTCCTCAGCGACTTACGGACCAAATTCTGCTATTACAGGTAATTAGTTAAAGAAACTTAATAATTGTTGTTATAAATATTAATTAATTCATATTGTAATTAAAAACAAGAACATAAATTTGAATTGAAATTTACAGTTATTTTGAAACAAATAATCGCTGTAAACTTCCATACCATAACCTGAAATATCTTAAGTATTGCAAATATGTCCTTTGGGTAAATTCTATTGTGGAACAGCCTCCCCGCTTCCATCAGGAGATTGCCAAATAAATTTATTAAAAATGATCCACTCCTTTGCAAGTGTTGTGAAGATCATTATCATATATGTATGTCTGTTTATATATATCCATATAAATATATTTATGTATGTATGTATCTATTCGCTGTATATATGTTATTATGTGTAAGTTTATTTATATTTTTGATATGTTATATGTTGTAGTATGTTAATCATTAGTTAGGTATTATATGTTGTAGTCTTTTTCCCAAAAGTTGACTAGGAAAGAGGGCTATTAGCGTTAACTTCACCTTTGATACCATGTTTATATTGGTCAATAAATAAATAAATTATAGATACGTGTCTAGGGATGCGACACTAAGGGTCGCGATATTTGCGAAATAGTTTTTGATTCACAATCTACGACGCTATTTATTGGCAAAAACTCTACGCGTTTGTGCATCTGTGATTAAATTGGTGGTGATTTCGAAAGTTTATATTGTTTAATATTTATATTCGTAATTTAACAAAAAAGTTATTAATTAAGAATAACCATATGTGCTAAAAATCTAAAGTCGAAGAAAAAGAAGTGTATATTTTCGTAGTAGGAACACGAGGAAGGACCACCGATGTGGCTTTTCTACGTAAAATCAGTGTACCTATGAAATAAAGCCCAATAAAATAAAGCTCATTTTAAATTCGTTTAGAATTTGAGAAAATCTTTATGGATTTCATATGAAAATTTAGAGAAACTTCCGAAATGCCATTAATGTGGTAACAATCCCGAGCTAAATGGCCAATCAGTTCAATGAAGGAAAAGTGCAGTGGAAAATAAAAAAGGTTCGATAAAACATCCCCGAAAAGATGGCTATACCTAATTTGCATGCAAGATGATTTTTTCCCTTGGTAAGATATACGCAAAATAACGACCATTTCAGCGTGTTTCAAAATCAGACCTGTCTACAAGTGGGAATATTATATCCAGGTTTTTTTTATCCAACTAAATAGTTAAATCCAACCCATCTTTTGTTATGAAATTAAAATAGCCATTCAGCTACAGATAAAATAACTGTATACCAGCAGAGATGTAAATATCAGATCACAATAAACCTATCTGGTGCCTTATTACACTATTTCTCTTATAGACTACATATAAAATAAATTAAGTTATCATTACTAATATTTAAAATAAGTACCTAATTAAAATTAGATAATTATCAAACGAGATAACTAAAGACGTAGATACGTCGCGTAGACGTTAAAAAATATCTACTCGCAAATCTACACACACACACACACACACACACACACACACACACACACACACACACACACACATAAAAATGTTTTTAATAATTAATTCATTGCTACAATACTGTCATTGATGAAATCTCTACTAATGAGAGCGTAAAATATAGTACCTATATCCATTGCTGGATACGTTTATGAGCTTAATACATGCAGCTTACGCAAGTCACGCAATTCATATGGTATTGTAGGTCACATGAGCTACGACAGATTAACCGGTTCACGTATCTCTGAACGTAACACTTATATCAAATTAGATCAATCTAGAACAAACATAAAAATATGAGAGAATCAATAAATGATAGAGCTAATTATTAGTCTTTTCTATTAATTTTCTGTGCATTGATAAGAAAAGTAGGGGAGACCTAGGTGAGTTGTGACAGAGGAGAGTTGTGACAAGGAGGATTTCTCTCTACCTATTATAGTAAGCGAGATGGCATTAACGCTTGTTTATCGTTCTCGACACCCGCTACACGACTCAGTACCTGTCGACGGTATATATGGCACAGTTGCATAAATATATCGTCAGTGTACAAAAAATTGCGAAAAGTAAGTTTTTCTTCAAAATATTATTTGAATATATATCATATCTTAGTATATGTGCATTGATGTGTTATTTTTTCTTAAGTTATGTAGTTATTTAAGTCTCAATACGTGGCACTGATTTTTTGTATGCGCATCGTGTTTAGAAAATATGAATTATTATTCGGACCAAGACGTCATTTTGAACACCTAGGAGAGTTGTGACAGGCTGTCACAACTCTCCTATCTTACTCCATATTTCTGCTGGGCTATTTTTACAATTTTTTTTATTAACTTTAGATGTTTGAGTAGCTTCTTAAGGTGTGTAATGCCATACCGCATACTTATTTTTTTTGAGAATGCCAAATAACTATACAGAGACTGAAAATCTAAGAATGTTAAGAAGCGTGTCTTAAGCGAAGAAAAAAAAGAAACCTAAAAAACCAAAGAAGACTAATAAGAAGAATAGAACAAGTAATGAAGAAGATGCAGACAATAATTGCTTTTATTTGGTTTGCCTTAAAGCCTATGCAGACAGCAGATCGAATGATCAGTGGGTCCAAAGCCTTTAATGCAAAGGCTAGGCACACGTAGATTGTACTGGGAACGAGCTGCATTACGTTTGGAATAATTGTGAATCTGATTAGATTAAGATTTTATACTAATTATAACAATAATATGATTAATCTCAAAGCGATACCATATTTAGTTAATGAAAATATTATAATTACTTGTTATGAGAATATTAATACTATGTTGTTTTAGTTGATAGGTATTAAAAGATGAATAATCAAGTCAAATCAAATCAATCTTTATTGTTGATCGCAGGTTATATAAAGATATTGGATGCAAGGACTGAATAGTTACACCGTGATCTGCCTAAAAGGCATACAATATTAGTAGGTTAGTAATTGTCAACTAATCTAATCAATAACATGTTATGTCAAAAATTCAATTAATTCATTAAGTATTTATACATTTACAATGTACTGTCAGCAAGATAGTCGTTTACACTATAATATGCTTTAGCTACTAATAATTTACAAAGTTTTCTTTTAAAAACATTACAATTATCCAGATTATGTATTGTTTTTGGAATTTTATCAAAAATTTTTGGAGCCATACATAAGATACTTTTGTTCAACAGAGCTGTCTTAGAAGGTATCGTACACAATTTGTCTCGATGACGCAATCTCGTCTTATTTTCGAAAAGTTGTTGATTCTGTTTGACAAAAATACCAACTTCAATATATAGATTGATGGCAGGGTCATAATATTTAGTTTAATAAAATATGGCCTACAGGTATCCGTACTCTGTAAATGACATATGCTCCTAACACATTTTTTCTGGGCTCTAAAGGCAGTTACAGAATCAGTCGAATATCCCCAAAATATAATGCCGTATCGAACAGTTGAAACTACGTACGCGTGATAAGCTGTAAGGATCGTGCACTGATTCGCGATTCTACTAAGTTTGTACAGTGCACAAGAATACTGGGACAACTTTTTGCAAACATGTTCAGTGTGTGTTTTCCAAGTCAAATTTATTATTATAGTACTGATTAAAGTACTGATTTGATAAAAAAACTTGCTTGATTTATTTATGTCGTATGTAATGGTATTTTTATATCTTATAGCTTAAATACAATGATGTCACAACTTACCTCGGTACCTGTCACAACTTACCTCGGTGGTAGGAGAGTTGTGACAAGGGGAGTGGACTTGAATTTTGTTATTTTTTTCAGAAACTATTATACTTTAATTAATTTTAGTGATGGTTTTGAAAACAGAAAGAATGGCACTAAACTAATTTACACGAGTCATAACTGTGGAATGTTTCTTAAGCGAGATAGAGCCCCTTATGTAAAAATTGTCACAACTCTCCTAGGTCTCCCCTACCGCTCAATTATTCTTCCGTGACACTCGGTGCCCAAGACGGGATTCGAATTTCTAAGCGAGAACTTACTTATTTCTATATGTTGTAAATAAAATATAAATTAGACGACATTACATACCTAAACCCTCCGTATTGTGGAGTATCTGAGACAACGAAGATACCACAACAGCAAGACCTCAGAAATGGTGATGCCTTGAAACCTCCCTGCGATTGCCCTGCGATTCTGTAAAAATGCAGACCCGATTTCGAATTCACTCTGTACTCACGTTATTGAGTATAGAAATTCTATTGATTCCATTTTTTGTATTCAATTTCAAAACAAAATTGAATATACGTGTCATAGATATTCTATTCCTATGCATTTCGAAGTTCACTTCACTCATACCACGAAACGTTATTACCAATTTAAGGTTGAGCGGATGCCCCTTTTTGAAGTGAATTCTTCTTTCGGACACCTGAGTGAATTCGAATTCTGGTTTGGATTACAGAATAGCAGGGCTGATCTAAAAAGTAGAATTTGGACAAACAATATCGTTAACTGAAAGAAACCAAAATCGTTAGATTATATATATATTTTTTATAAGATTATTAATATATTAGCAAAATTATTTTTTTCGTTATTATTTTCTTATTCGAATATAATAAATTTATAGTATTTTTATCGAGCTATTATTTTTTTCCAATACTGATTTATAATAAAAACTTTTCACATTGTCTTTTTTACAGTGACAATTGAAGGTGCCGAACCTTTCAAGGGTTTCTTTATTCAGGCCCGTTCAGTGGACACGGACGAGTGGCTTGGCTCATGGGAGGAGGCTCCTAATACCACTATACATCCAGAATGCTCCTCAGTTACCCACGCAGATCCCAGGGATAAGAGTAGAGCGACATTCGTTTGGCGAGCACCTGCCAATTCACAGGGACGCGTCTACTTTACGTAAGTTTTACACCGCCTTTCCAAAAAACAGGGAGTTGTATAATTCATTTCAACGTCACAATATAATTCTTTTCCAGCTGATGCGTACCGTAAGACTGAAACAAAAAATCCTGATTGTTTGTTTATCCATCAATCTTTCCCATCAGTCAAGGCTTCATTTTAACAAATCAAGCAGTTTCAGTTATGCGGTAGTCACAGGGCTAGCTACATATTTAGCCGCTGCGGCCAAAAATATAAACCGGCCTTACACTAACACCGACCGTTATATACTTAAATCAAGAACATGCTATTTAATGTAAGCCTGCTGAGTCTTCTTAGTAAAATATTGTATAAACATTTTTTTTGGGCTATTTAGTATTTTGACGACATTTTCCCCCGAAGAGAATAATTGAGGCGAGCCGAAGATCACTCTCTGTTTTGCTTCTCATTTTCACCACTATGTGAAATTTTAATCGAGCCCTGACCGTTTCGGTTTTCAATAGATGAACTACTCAAGTCGGTAGTTCTAAGATTTAATTTTTTCATCAATGGAAATGTGCGTATTCTTTTAATATCATCTTATTTATGAATGCATATATTTTACCTTTCTGAACAAAAAAGTATACTTCGACCATAAGTATATCTGTAGGTAGTTGAATGGTTTCAAAGTGTTGTCAACGCTGAGGTCCAAGGTTCGATCCATTTCTTTTTCTCGGGTCTGTGTGTTTTCTTACCTTCGTTGTCTCAGATACTCCATAATACCACATTTACTACTCATTTTTGAATCTTAGCCGTGTATGTGATATTATCTAATATTTTACGAGTATGTTTATATTTTATATCACTTATATAGGCATCTCTTAACGCTCGGGGTGAGGGATGACACCCATTTTAACTTCAAAGAATAAATATTATCCCCGCTTAAAAGACAACTTCAAATATTTCACTTTAGCAACCATTACTGTTTAGGAATCGCGACTGAAAAATGCGAGCAAGCGATAACATAAGTAATATCTCGTACCTGGATCTTTGTGAACTTTTGATTAAAATCTCTATAGAGGTATATTTTAAGTTGTTTACCTTGGGATGAGTACCATTATAGAATATTAAAAAAAAATAAGTTGTTGAAATATTATTACATAGTCATAAAAATAATTTTGTCAAGGATCATGAGGTCATTAGGCTTCAGTCTGATAATAAGGTCGTTGCCCCCAACCTCAAGCCTCAGTAATGCAGTCTCCTTTCACTAGACTTTACTTATGTTGCGTAACCATAGTTATCCGCCGCTGAGCGATAACTTAACCTTGGTTTTAAACTTCAAATAGCGTTACAATTAAGTTGATTTTGATTGTGACCAAATAACGACGTTATAGTCACCAAGCTTAGTTCCACATTTGATTATTCAGGTGAGGTCAATTAATACAGCAATATAATTTTTTAATGGAACTGATGATTCATATTAATATTGGGATAGGTGATCTGTTTCAATGGAATATTATTAACATTAAAATTGCTTATTAATTTTCGCTTCATATATTGGCGTGTACAAATAAGCGTAAAATGTTCTATTACCAAAAAACACAGAAAAGAACTCTGAATTCTCATGTCATCCGGCATTCATTTACGAAGTGAAGAAAATCTGCTTCATCTGCTTTTAGCTTTTTTAAATGAAAGGTAATTAATACAACCTTTCATATCAAAAATGATCTCGCGGTCATATTACAGAACACTCGCCCGGTTAGCGAAGGTTGTAGACTCCAATCCCGTCTCGTCCACATAAGACAGTTTATTTTATTTTATTTTTTTCTATAAATCTTATTAAGGACAAATTTCTCCAATTAATTTTACAAGCCTTTATTTGTTCACAGTTAAAGTTATCATTGATTGTACTAGTTTCCCTTATGTAGGAAAATAATGAGCTTCTGTATCCGGAACATCAATCATCAGCTGAAGGAGGCGGACGAAAACAATTTTTTTACACCTTGCACATGAATGACTTATAAGAAACTGACGAATCGGCTCGCCTTGGTGATATGTGCATACAATGCATATGTCGCATAAGTTTTCATATAAACAATTGTACATGACAGTTTGAATAATTATGCATAATTAAAATTATGACATATGTTGGAAAAAATTACTTATATCGCACCCCCGGTGCGACACTGTCACTTTTGCAAAAAATACAAAAATTAGTTAAATATGTAATAATTGTCCTAAAGCCCCCTTTACTTGGTGCGATAATGCTCCTTTTGTAGATGAATCATACGGAACTATATTCCGTATGATTCATCTCATCTGTATCTTCTAAAGTCATTGTTTTGTGAGGTGGCAGAGTTTAAAACTCTTCTCCTGAAAAACTAAATTTTTGCATAAGTGACAGTGTCGCACCGGGAGTGCGATATGTAAAAAACAACAATGAATTATTTTTTGTTTTAAAATCAATTAAAAGTATATTTTATTATTGCAAAAATAAACTTGCTATTTCTAATATGTAGATTACAAGGACCGAAACGCGAGCGGCCATAACGGAGCATAGTGTGACGTTACATTTCAATCAACTAAACGTCGAAGTCTTTGTTGTGATCACTACTCATATTTATTGAAATGCGACGTCACAGCTCGAAATGTCACGTGCCTGATTTCACCGATATTTCAAATCGATGAATAAAAAATTATATTTTTTATATTTTTTTTTTTTACTTTTCATAAACCAGTCAAGCAGCCAATTATAAAATTAATTTTTAAACATACTTCAGTTCGAATGATGAGGATAGACGTGTGATTGCCTTTTAGACAATTAAAGTTAATATTTTATTTTTAATTTTATCTTACAGAGGAACAGTTCTAAAGAATTATGGAACATTCTGGGCCAACATAATCGCTGAAGCACCACAGGACCCTGCACAGTTACAACTACTTGGTTGAGTTCAACAAAAACAATCGCAATGCAATGTTAACCTATGTATTGTTAACAATACTCTTTAAAAATATCGCCATTCAAATAATAGTCACATGTTAATTATACTTATACCATCTGAAGCATTTGCATGTAACATTAGACTCGAGCGTTACATTGGTGAAGGAAAAGAACAGTGTGTTCAAGTTGGACGATTTAATACGAGTACTGGCTAGAATTACGCTTGGGCAAAGTACAGCTTCTAAAAAAGTTGGCATTACAGTTCTATCTTAATTATTAACAAAAACAATAAAAAATCCAAAACAATAACCACAAACAGCAAGAGAAAGACTCAGAAATTAAAAAGCGCAAACACGGCTGTTATGCTATCGCTACTGAGCTCGCAAAACGACAGCGGAACGTATTCAGGGTAGCATGAGGAGAACGGACTTCCGAACTAAATATCAAGTTAATTCATCACTCTTATACGGTGCCAAACTCAATAAATTCACATCGTACGTTACACGCAAATGCATCCGATAAAGAGTAAAAATTAAATATTCTGAATTAATTATGAACTCTACCCTCGACGTTTAAAGGTTTCGAATCAACATAAAAAGAATATAAAATAGTGGTAGATATTAGGGATATAAATTAATCGCAGTAAAAAAGTGGCAAGTAATTTAGCAAAGTTCAAATCAATAAATGACCGATGATTAAGAATTCAAAATGTTACGTTCATGCATCAGTAGAAAAATGGTAATCTTCTCTCTTTTTCTATCCAATGGACTTATCTGTTTACGATGCCTTCTTTATTTTATTGCATTGCATGGCGATATTTTCGTTTTTTTTTTTAATCCATATTGGAATAAGAGATTGTGTAACGTTCAGTTGTTTTATTTGAATGTCAAATAAATGGTGCTTGTTACCCCGACGCCAGATATACACGTACTTATTTGATCACATAAAGTGTTCAAACTGTGTGACTTGGGTATTTGGTAGTTTTTCACATTTTTTTACTTATAATTTATTTGAACAAAATAGTGTTCACTTACGTGAGTACGTGTCTGGCATGGGCTTTAGATTAAACGTGTGTTAATTTATGAATAAATACTTTTTAATTAGTATCTCTTTCATTTCTGGATATAAATGAAACACGAAATGGTGAGTATAAATAAATTATATTATGCGAAATAAAATAAATGCTTTCTTTACAATATAGATCCATTAAGTTCAATAATATATACTAGCTGTATTATTCAAGCAAAACTCAATGATTTAAAGAACCATTTTGTATATCAATAATATCTAATAGGGGTGTAGACGACTTTTTTATATATCTTTATTTTATAGATATACATGAAGTTTATCTAAAAATATAAAAAGTATCATTCGTATAATAAGTTATTATGTAAAAATACATTGAAACTTTAAGCGAAAATGCTATCTTCTTTCATAGCGTCGCTATGACGTCACGCCTTTCTAAAATTAATATCGAGGGGCGTGACGTCACGCGCTGTTTGCGTTCATGTGCCTATGAGTATAAAAATACTAGAATTTACATAATTAATTTAAGCAATATTATAATCGTAAGTGTGATTATCGGTAATAGTATATTGAACTCTACCAGTAAAGGAATAATATGTGTTTATTTTCATTTACTGTCTACACCCGTGTTATGAAAACAAAGTGATACGATTCGTAAAATATTTATTTTTTGTGAATAATACGATAAGTCTTGTTATATTTTCATGTAGATTCACATGGAATAAGTTAACTTTCAATTTGGGGCCGATACATAACGTTGACAATATATAAAAACTCATTTAAAAATACCATGTGACTGGTAAACCGTGTCTTTCAGAGCGTAATATTGGAAATTCGTCATTAAGGGTTATATAATAAGATAACAAATGTTATGGTTAAAACCCATTTCATAATATATATACGCAATGTTAGTTTAGTATTGTGCAATCCATATCGACCTTGACTGAACGATTATTTCAGAGATTCGTTACATATAAAAGTCAAAGCGACCGCATTGCCGCTTGGCATTGCAAAATTAAAAAAATAATTTCATAATAAGGCACTAAGCAGCAAAAAAAAAGTACGAAAATATAAATTATCTTCAATTCAATGTGTTTCATCGATACATTTACATTTAGTATCGTTAAACACAATTCGATCTGAATTACACAGGATTTAAGATGGATTCTTCTGTTTCATGACTGGCCTCTTTATATTCATGAGATCACAGAGGTCATTCCTTATAGGTCTTAGTTCGGTCACGTCCTTTTCCCAGTCCGTTTCAGCGAGTACGGCCATAACCTGTTCGAAACAATTCATCTATTAATTATACACTTACAAACGATTTTGAGGTGTAACTGAACAGGATAAGGTAGAAATTCATTTGTCCATACCATATATCATTCAAAATGGCGTAGTTTGCTTTACTAGAATTTCTTCCTATGAAATTAATGTTGATATTAGTTAACATCAATATGTAACATTATTGATGACGCATTTTCAATAACTGTTATGTAGTTACATCACAAAATTCATAACGTATATTTTTGCGTAAGTCTAATTTATAAAGATATAATGAAAACATAATTAAATGCCATAATACCAAGACGAATGATCGCGACTTGTACGTTGGAGCATTCGACGTATTAGAAGTATAATAATAACATGAATGATGCAACACTCTAATACGAATATTACTGAGCATTGATAAGAATTTTACAAAACTGAAGTCTAGAAACTGTAAAACTTTTAACCCATTTTTAAGTCGTCTTTCTTGAACAAGTTACTTGAAATTAATATGATATAGTGAATACCCCCTTGGATTTATTACACTACTTTATTCTTCCAAGATATCTTTAAAAACATTAGTGTTGGGGAATCATTTAGACACCTCTCTTTTATAAAAGATGTTGACATATATGTTTTTTTTTCTGTGTCCCTCATGTTTATTAAACTAACTAGGTCTACTATATTTTAAAATTAAAATAGCATTAGGTTACATTTTATTGCATATGTATACATATTAAAAAACTTTCACATATATCCAATGATTAAAATACAAATTTTACAAAAAAAAAGATATTTCCTAATTTTAACACTGCAAGATCAATGAATGCGGTACTCCGACCGGATGAGATTTATTTAATACGCCGTCCTTCATTTCTTATCTAGAAACGATAAGAAATAATAGAGCAGTTGGACAATGGTCAATGCCAGCTATCAATAATATGCCTTATTAGTAAGGTAATAAGTCCTATGAACATTGAATTATGAAATATTTAATTTAACGGATTTGAATATAAGATTTTATATTTTGACTATATAAAAAGTACTTTAACACGATATAATCGAGATTCAAAATTAAAAGACTGAAAAAAGTGGAGAGGGCACAAATTAAAAAACCTCTTGCGAAAGTATTGTTCTGTTAGACACATGCTTAAGCAGACCAACAGTGTCAAGCGTTTTTATAAGAAGAAGACTAAGTTCATCAAAGAGGATAGATGTATGTTTAAAGACTTAAGACCTTATTAAGCTAGAGCTGGCTATAGTATAGTATATTTTCTCATGTTTGAGCTTGACTAAGATATATTTTATAAAAACGCGGTTACGTATTTTCATACGTCAAAATATAGTCCTCGAAATACCCTATTTGTGAAACCACAAATAAAAACAATAATAAGTTTACAAATATGCGTTACGTACATTTACAAATGCAATTATTCACACAAACATTTAACACAACGATATTATAAAACTTGAATTATAAAACTATACCTGATCTATATTGTCTTGTGGGACGGAACACACGTCGCCGTATAGAGTTAATGCCTCATAGAGTCTAGCAGCGGCGCATCTTCTAACATATCGGTCAGCGTAACATAAATATATAACCAACTGACCCAAGGATTTGCTGCATACGACACCACCAACCTGAATATACACCATTATAATATTAAAGCCCTTTCAAGTCTTCCCATATACGTAGGAAATCAGAATCTTACAAGGACGCCCAGCAATGATGGTTCGGATGGAGGGAGTCGTGGTAATCATATCCCCTACTAAGCCAGTCAGCCATTGATATTTTAACACCAATGTATGACATTAATATAATACATATATGTATATTTAAAGATAAAAGACGGAAATTATATTGCCTAAAGGTATTCTTTTAAAGCAAAAAAAAAAAGCAGGGCTGCGTCTCGACTTTGTGACCCCTTCTCCCCTTACAGACAAGAAGGTTAGCGTTAGACTGCATACAACTAGGACCAAAACAGCTGAGGGTCTTCCGAAGAAAGAAGTTAACTTTTACATTTAAATTATGCGACAAGCAGCTCATTCAATATATGTCTTTAGTTTCGATTTTTTTTATTATTTTTTTTATTTAAAATGGAGGGCAAATAACTGCGCTCCACCTGATGGTAGGCGGAGGCGTAGTCCAAACGCGAGAACAGCTAGTGAAAACAGTACATTGGTACTGCACTAGCCAACCTCACCTTGCCGACCTGCAAGGTGCTTCTTCACGCCCTGCTTGAAGGACCCTATGTCATAGGAAGGAGGGAATACATGGGCCGGGAGACAGTTCCATTTTTTGTCGCCAAAGAAATGAGTCGCCAAATTTCTTTGTACGCGAAGGAATCGTTGCCACAGTTAGTTGGTGGCAACGCAAACCAGCACGTGTGGTTACTACAGTAAAATAATAACATAAACCTTTATTATATTTGATTACCTGAATTAACTGACACAGCACATTGATAGAATCTAGTAGCTTATAAATATTTTTTGCTCCACGTAATTCTATCTGCAAATACTTTAGAACGTCTGCTGCAAAAGTGGAATTGGGATCTTCTAGAATTGGTGATATTGAACCTGTAAGAATAATTATAAATTATATATAACTATTAGTTTTAAACTCATTAAATTGCTCATAATATAAAAATTGATTTCATTTTATTAAGAAAAAGATACAAGTATTTGTAATTTATTAAAGAAAACACTTAACTAATTCACATAAATCAAGATTATTCTCCCGAGCACACAGAAGCATTACATAACATTTTGTATAATATTATTTTAAATATTTTTCGATAACATAGTAATAAATAACTATTTTACAATAACTTATCGCCTTTCTAGGCAATAAATTTAAATGATACTAGAAATAATTATTTTTATCAAGATCAAAAATATAAAAAGAGTTATTTCATTAGACAAGCTGTCTCTTTTCCATCTTAAAAGAAAGAAAGAGATGAAGTGTACTCAAAATTTACCTGAACTGAGCAGCCTATCAATGAAATTAAAAATAGGTCCTGTGATTCGTTTCACATGTAAATTGTCAGCAAACACTTTGATGATAGTATCACATATATATTTTAACATAGTTTTGTTGTCATGTAAAGTATTGAGATATGAATACAGAGATTGGGTTGTATGTTTGACCTGAAACAAAATTGTATTTTGCAAAAAATGTTCTATGAAATATATTAAAATTTACGATATCACTCTTTTGATAACAATTAATACACAAATAGATGAGTGAGTAATGAATAGAATAAAACAATATAAAGTTTTTAATCACGCAGACCAAAGTCGTGGTAATTTATTGCCTTTATAGAGTTCCGAACATAAAGGGTAAGAATGTGACCATATTACTAAGACTTCACTGTCTGTTACCAGGCTGTATTTCATGAACCATGATAGCTAGATAATAAAAGCTTATGTATATACCGTAAAAAAAAAAATACAAAAAATTAAAAATGATGTTTATTGTATGGGAGCTTACATAGCGGATTGTTACGACGAATTGGGACGATGAATATGCACAGTTACGCTAATTATTCAATCCTTTCTAATATTATAAATGTGATGTAAATCTTTGTTTGTTACGTTTTTACGCTTAAACTAATGAACCAATTTTAATGAAATTTGATACACAAGGACTTTGGGAAAGGACATAGGACGCTTGTGCACTACACTGAATTTTCAGGTCCGGCGGTCCGACTTTTTCCGGTCCGGAATGACATGAAAAACCCGGATGAGTAGCTTGTGCACTTATCCGTTTTTTTCCTGATCGAAGCGGCGCAGTGTAGGGCAGCTCTTTTTGAAGCTACACGTCACTTACGCTAGGTACGATGAGATTTTTGGAACGTCGGTAATTGCGTTCGAAGATGTAGAAAGATACCTAAAGAACGACCTGATCATTTTACAAAAACCATAATAAATTGAGGCAAGACGAAAGCATATTTTTTATTACTATCGGATGATTACTATCAGATGTAAAAACTTATACCCTTACTAATTTAGGGACAGCATTATTTACATACAATAGCTAAAAATATCTGTGACATTAGAATAAAATTACTTGATGTTTAAATTTATAAACATGCGATTTTTTTGTGAAGTTTTGTAAAAACAACTTTAAGCGATTACAGAGAGACTAATCGGTGGCGCCATTCGTAAACAAATTTAGTGCCGTGTAAGCGGAGAATTAATATGCTAAATGAACTTTACGAGATCAGTTGACTGTATTATATATAGGCATAATTTTATACGCATGGTGTAGTTTCTTTGAGCAGAAATACTTTTCCCTTAAAATACTTCTTTTTTTTTAAATTTATTTATGACACAAACAGTCATTTTAAATTTTATTAAATGCGAAAAAGACATTGAGTGCCACTTAATTACTTCTGTTAATCTTCTGTTTATTCTTTATTATTACTTCTGTTATTAAATATTTATCTATACTTATCAATTGTCTAAAAAAAAAATTGATAATGACAAATTTCCAGGCCAACTTTCATGCCCTATTTTTCGTGATAAAATTTAGCCTATGTCCTTTCTTAAAGTTAAAGTCTATTTACTATATTAATTTCCATTAAGATGGGTTCAGTTGTTTAGGCGTCTAAGCGTAACAACACTTATTTATCTTACCTTAAGTTATCTTACCTTTTAATACGATTCTAAAATCTAGCTAAGTATCGATACTAGAACCATATGCTGATCAAATTAGAACTACACCGAGTTTGCCAAAGCATATGCAGTGATATTTACCAACTTTTTAAAATCATCATATAAAATATAGCATTTTATAATCTACAATAAATATCGATTATAAGTTTATTGGAAAATTACAATATTGCCGAAATAAATATCGATTTTACACAAATCGAATATTTTTTCCCAAGCCTATTCTTTATGAATTTTCCGGATCGCGGACACAGCAGTGCACAAGCGTAAATACGTTTTTCATTGCCGCCATCACGGACCTGAAAAAACCGGTCCGGAATAGAGAAAAGTAAAATCCCGGACGGTAAAATTCCTGATAGTGCACAGGCTAGCATTACTTATATATGGCCTGACATATCGGACCTGAAAAAATCGGACCGCCGGACATGAAAATTCAGTGTAGTGCACAAGCGCCCATAAGGTAGTTTTATCATATGTTCTTTCCCAAGGTCAACCGCGAAGCCGCAGTCGGAAAGCTAATACTGTATAGAAATACGCCCCACAATTATTTCTGGACACTTCAATAATATATGTAATGGCTAACTATTGCCTGTTTGTTTTATTATTTATTGTTTGTAGAAATAGTACACTTAAATATGGCATGTAATATTCAAAATCGCTAAATTTATAAAATAATCTCATTGAAATTTATATTATTTTATTTCATGCTCAGCAGTGCATTCACAAGGACGTAGAAATTATAAGCTTATCTACTGTACTGTTGCGATAGGTGCCATAGTAACACATATTTGCAACGGATTGAGATAAATTTATACTTAAAGAACTCACCAAGCTCTCAGTCAGTTCTCCACCGCTTACGATCAATCCTTTTATCACGTTATATCTGTACTCATCATAGTTTAATAGCTGCACAAATCTAGGCATTGTATGCCCGGGGAACAGCCATAGAACCACGTTGGAGTTTTCACTGGTTGTCATGTCTATCTCGTCCTCTTGATCTTTAGGCTTTAATTCCACTTCTTCGGATGGGAATATACGTTTTAGAGCGTCGTGTTCGGGTATATTCGTTATTATTGGGTCACTAAAATCAAGATGAAAATTCATCGAAGTTGAGTTAGCGCAAATCACATTGGGAATTCAAAATATCGAATATGTTAACCGGTACAAATTAAAGATAATGTTTCAGTTTCATTTCCATTATCAGTTCGAAATAATCATGTAATAAGCATAAGCATAGTATATTAAAGTTGTAGATGTTCGGAAAGACACAAAATAAGAGACAAGACATGTAGTTCCAAGACAAAACATGATCATGTTGATAGATTCAAGTTACAAAAATGTGCAAGTTTTCTAACCGTCGATATTTCAGACACTGAAGTATCAACCATTAAAAAACTGTGGCACATTTTTGTCACGAACTCTTGTACTATAAATTTTTTATCGAAGCAGTGCATCGGGCAATTTCAAGGTCGTATTAATACAATCAATTTTGAACTTACCAATTAACAAATTAAGGATTAGAATCCCTTTTGATCGGCTCGTATAAAAATAGGATTAGAGTTCCAATACACATAAGAAATGGTATAAGTTCTTAAACGACTTTTAAATATGCGCATAAACAAACTTAAACAACCATTCATCAAACATTAATATTTGACTTACTTGTAAATAAGGGAAGTAAATATTCTGCCGGCGTGCGCTCTCGTTCTGTCAATTTTCTCGACAGCTTGCTGTGCTATTCCGCACATTATGTCTTTGATCACTTGCGGCGAATTCAAATGTGGAGCCTCCAAAGCGCATTGACGGCAAAGGGACAAAAGGCCTGGTAACAAAACACACGCAATCATACATTAGGTCAATCGCGTTTGTAATTAGTTTTATTGACGTTTTCAGATTCATAAAAAAGGTGTTGATTGTATTTTTAATAAAGATTACCTACTTTCAGAACAATAATAAAGGACACATTCACAATACAAAAAAAAGTATTTTATAGCAACGTTTATAGTTATTAAATTAGATTGTTTTAAAAATACTACCCCCACAGACGAGTGGTTCGCACGCTGGTTTCAAAGTGTCGCCATCTCTGAGGTCCCGGGTTCGATTCCCGGTCGGGTCAATGTAAAATATGAACTTTTCTATATTTACAGAATGAACTATATTAATATTTTTTGTTTTGCAATGTGTGATCTGGATTGAGATTTTATTCGACTAAATAGTGGATCCCAAGCCGGTGGTATATATGAATCTTCATCTTTATTAAAATTCGGTTGTTTTTTAAACCGTTTAAAAGTTGTTTCATTTACTTTTTAAGTTTTTAAAGCGTTATATTTTCCAAATTAGTATAATAATTTATTTTGTTAAATATTTCCTAGTTAAAATTATTCATATTTTCGGAACATACAACATAAACCTACATTTTCACTTGTAGGATACAAGCCTATTATTAAATTTATTCCAAGATTTTCGGTCACCTTGTCTCTTTCGTCGCCTTCTTTTCTGTCACTCATAATCACCAATTGCTAGAGAGAAGAATAGCAGTTGTGCGATAGTATATCGCTGAATCCTCGAAGCGACAAGCGACATGTTATCTTTTTCGCTCTAGCAACCGGCGATACTAAAAGACGGGAAAGGATTTGGCGACTTATGTACCCTTTTTTATGAGACGATTGTAGTTATTTCAGAAAATAATATGTAACAAAGACAAGTGCACCATATCATTGGTGGTGCGCATTAGACGTTTACAGAATCGCTTGTCAAACCTGATATAACAAAACGGAAGTAAAACAGCTAATAGAAAATATATTAAAGCTAAAGCGCAGGTAAAACTGTAAATATAAATTATATTTATAAATATATAATATATAAATATAAACCCGAGAACATACCAGTCATACTAGCTTCCCGCACCCAAGCGCCGATATCCCCTCTCATATCAATGGTGTATTCCGACAGACAATTCAACAGCGCCTCAACGATCTGAGGCACATATTTCTCAACACCGTTCACGATCCCTTGCGTCTGACAGACGTCAGTGAGACCTATCACTGCGTCCCTGCGACCCTCAGCCCACTTGTGAGTGTTTTCAGTCACTTTTGTGCAATCAATTAGAGATTGGATGATAAGGGGCAACTGTTCAGAGAGCACGAATTTAGGTAAGGAACCTGTAACAAAGTTATTTTTATATTGATTTCTTATATTTTCATGAGCAATAGTATTTTTTTTTTCACAAAATTAAATACAAACGCGTTGAAATCGTTTAAAAATTGTTTCAATAAAAGTTTTTTTTAAGTAACTTGTGTAGCATATAGTACGTACTATATTTTAATGTTAAATATAAGACCAGCCTTTTATTTTAAATATAACATACCAATATGACTATGAATGCAAACTTTATCAGGTATAATAATTAGTATATTATAATCAGAGGTCGGAATTAGGTAGAGTTATTTATGTACTTGCATCGAAATGTTGATATTAATGTGGACCTTCCCGGGATCTCTAATGGACAATCTTGGACATCTTTGGACATCCGATGTCATTGATGTAAGTTTGGCAACGTCGTGCGCGCAGTAGTTTAAATTGTGTAAAAGTAAATAACTTTTTATTTAAAAAATCACGGGATTTTTTCTGCTCTTTAAAATTAATATCGGGATTTGAGGCATATCCACTTTATTCGTTCGCTGTATGAAGTCAGTGTAAGTACATGAATAACTCTACCTAATTCCGACCACTGATTATAATGCAATATATCCTGGCAGACTATATAATATCAAAATATATTTTAAATAATATATCTTAAACAAATTTATACATATGCAAACAGTATGAAATAGCTGAGCTAGATTTAGGGTTTCATAATCTAAAGAAACCCTATTGACTCTGCCCTAAACGTAAGTCTGTCCACAGCTTAAGTTTGAAAGATATAATAGAGATGCCGACTGAATTGCTATTTGTACGTTAACATGTCAATTGAAATCAGTTAAAAGAGGTCGAAATCAGTTTTCTGGTGGTTGTCATAAAACAATACTGAGTTTGGGGGATTTGGGAAAACTGAAAATCATCGGTTTACGCACGTTTTTTTTAACACCTTCCAGATTCTGTATAAGTATTTTTCTGTAGATCTATGTCATACAGCCAGTTGGACAAACGTCCATTAAAATTGTCATTAATTTAAAGCAACATTATTTTGTAATTTTCTGTAGCAGTCGTCTGGAAGAGATTGTACTGATTGTTGACCGTAACTGTGAATTTTTGACTACGTACAAATAGGAATTTTTCATTCATTTGAAGGTGTCATTACACCTTAATGGACGTTTGTATAACTGATCGTATATTTCGTTTAAATTTTGATGAAAAATTCAAATTAACCAACTGAAATATTCTAGAGTAATTGGCATGTCTCGGGTTCGATTCCCATTCGGTTTAATGTATAAAATGGACTTTTCTATATTGTCCCCGGTCTGGATGTTGTCGTACCTTCGTTGCCTCAAACACTACATAATACGGGGGCTTTAGTTACTCATCTTAGAATCAGAGCAAAATATGTCATAATTTCTAATATTTATTTATTTCTCTCAAATTAGTCAAGATTAGACTTTCAACTTCTCACTTACCAACAGCCCGCGCGTATCCCATTCTTAAAACTAGTCCGTTAACTCCAGTATTAGTGAGTTGTTCACAGTACTTCTCTATGAGTTCCATTCTCTTGAATTTGGCTGTCTTATCGCCATACATGAGTTTGTCGTCTCGCAAGTACTGATCGAAGACAAAGGGCAGAGCGTGGATTGCCTTCTCGCGAATCGTTTGAACTTCGTGCGATAGACATTCCTCTATCAAGTTTAACCATTCATCTGTGAAATTGAAATTAAAATCATATTTTCATTTAATATTATTGAGCAGTCTCGCTTTGACGCTACTCATTTATATACTTCAGAAAGAGACAAAGTACAAAAATCTCTTTTAATTTTATCATTTATCATTTTAATATTTAATATTTTTCACTTTTAATATTTATCATTGTTACTGAAGCACATTTTCTCTGAGTGTTGTGGTATTCATTGTTCCAGATTCCCAAAATACAAGACTTTAAACTTCTTATTTAATAATAATAATAATAATAATAATGGCTTTATTTCACATAAAATATAGTTTTAACAATACAGTTAACAATGTCTCTTTTTAGATAATAAGTATACAGATACAGATCAAGAGACATTGCTCCTCTAAAGCTGGTATACATATTAATTTTAAATTAAATATAAATTATTTCAAACTTAAAAAAATATTTTAAAAAATCAGCATTTCATTGATTCTATAAAATATTTATAAAACATGCAGGTAGATTAGTAACACATGTTTATGACGGTAGTTTTGAGTAGTGTCCTGTGGTAGTATCATGTATGATTGGTACAAGTTACAAGTTGTTGTAGTTATATTATTTTAATTGTATTATATGTTGTTCACCCCATAGCCAGTTTGATGTTTCAAATGTGTTTCAGTTATAATTCTGCCTTTCATAGTCAAAGTTATTTGTAATCTGAGCAATTAATGATGTCTGATATTTATTCTTCCTATATTTTTTTGGGGGAATGCTTTATGATTGTCCCTGTGACTCGGAGACAGGGGGATGTGTGGAACTCTCCATCCACACGGACCCGCCCGAAGGCTAGTCAAAACGTTGATAGCATACCCAATAAACCCCCTTCTGAAGCAGTCCCACTTTGGGGAGCATTCGGCAGGGACTGTTTCACACTCAGCCCCCGCATCTTTCTTTCTTTCTATACCTAAATATTAAATTAATATTTCTCCACAGTAAAATCCCACGTACCTATAGTAGGATGCGAATGATAAGGCGCCGCTGCCATTGAAAGCAGCGCTATACACTGGCAGCAAGCTTGACGCATCAACTCCCCGCCCAGACCGCGGAACTGCTGTCTACCACGTAAACGAGGGACCAAATCCCTCACCGACACAGATATGGTCTCTGATATGAGGGAATCGGCGGTCTTTCCTGTAAAGTTTATAAATCCATATCTCAATAGGAGAATATAGAACCCAAGGATCACTCCGTTCTGTCAGTTCGCCCAGTCTGTTACAATGCATTATTTACTCTAAAACTGAGTTTAGAGGTTTATTAATGTAAGTTGGTGGAGCAAAGTTGGAATTATCTATACTTTTATACTAATCTTATAAAGACGATAAATTTGATAGTTTGTTTGTATATTTGTTTTTTTTTTTTGCATCGAATAGGCTCCGAAACCAATAGACCGAATTTAAAAATTCTTTCATCATACGAGGTTGACATAGGCTAAAATTTACGTGTGCGAAGTCGCGAGAAAATATTTAAACAGTATTATAAAAATAAACACTCACCATTGGCCAATTTAATTTGGGAAAGCGCATGGACGGCTTCTCCAATTGCAAGAATTGCGCCATGACGCACGTTCAAATCTATAGATTCAGTTTTCTCCACTAATTTAGGTAAGACTTCTGTTGCTACATACTCAGGAATCTAAAACAAACAATATTGTAGTAATTAATGTGACTTAACACCGGAGTATAAAATGATTGAATGCGTGACTAAATAATATCTCTTATGAAAATTTAACTTACTTTAAACATTTTCCTGAAACTAAAAATTGATTAAAATAATAAATACATAAAATAAAAACACATAACCTACCTAACCTAGCTTATGCTAAAATAAAAATGTCTAAATTGACATTTTGATATGACAACTTCAATCTATGATTCCTATTTCAAATAAGTTAAATGAAAAAAAAAATGTATACAAATTAAAATAGTTTTTATACAGAAAACCAATGACCCACCTTCGGTGTTAATTTGTTGAGAGCTTTAGCGGCCAACTCCCGAATGGCACAATCCCAATGTTCAACTTTCAAGTCTACAAGGTGATCGATAAGCGGCTTCGTGTATTCTGAGTATTCGGCTACTTGCGGTGCGATCACAAGGTAAGCATTGTACCTCGGACCGACAGATTGAAAATCGGCTGTGGTCAAAACGTCTATGCCGTGCGGGAACATACCGTGTCTGCCGACGTTCTCTTGATACGCCGCGGAAGCCGCTCGTCGACAATTTATCTAAGCAATTTAATACACAAATATGACATAATAATCCATACCTATCGGTATTCAGTACCTGCTACTATTTAAAACAACAAGAACTTATTTCTATTTATATACCGTAGTTATAGGTCTGGTTTACAAAATGGACGATTCATGATATGCAATATTGGGTTTTTAACGCTTGATACCAACTGCCGAAATAAATCCATTTATGCTCAACTAGCTTTGCACCAGCAACTTCTGTGGAGTCTTGTATTATAGATATAAACCTTCCTCTTGAATAACTCCTTATTTATTTTTATTTATTTTCCTAACTACCCTTGCTTGTCTGGAAGAAATAGCTGCTAAACAACAAGGCCGCCACTTGTTTACTGTTTTCAATATTTTTTGTAATGTGACCTGTTTTAGTAGTGCAATAAAGATTATTATTATTATAATATAATGATGAATGCGCTTCAAAATTCGTCGTGTAGTTTGAAAAAATGTATAGACAGTAGCGGGAAGGGACTTCGTTTTATACTATGTACAGAAGCAAGCTACCTCTCTGTCGAAGCACGCGGTGGCGATGAGGGCGTTCGCTAGCGTGTTAGCGTGCGGCGCCAACGCTTGTGCGTCGTAGGCGCGCGCAAACGCCCACGCGGCGTGACAGGCGGCGTCACGCGCGGCGCGCCCCCCTCCCCCACCCGTGCCCCCCGCGCGCGGCTCGTCACGCGCCAGGGCCCGTACCACCCCCGACACACCCGCGCCCACCTGCTGCGGCGACAACAGACCCCGCCGCGCTAACGGTACAATAGAGATGAGCAAAATGTAATCCTGATTATTGATTTAGGTCAAGCGCGGCGCGACCGCCTCCCCCGCCCGCGTCCCACTCGCGCAAGGCTCATCACGCACTAATGGCCGTACCACACTTTACTGCGGCGACAACAAACCCCGCCTCGCTAACGGTACAATAGAGATGAGCAAAATGTTATCTAGATTAGTGATTTCGTTTGGCGACCTTTTCTATTATGTTCAATCTATAGTATATTATAGTATACTAGCTTTCCGCCAGCGGCTTCGCCCGCGTGGTCCGCTGGTATCTTACTCATAGATTTAAACTCCCCTCCACATTTTTAGGTTCTAGCTTTTATAGTTTAGGTAGCGTGTGCAAAATAAGTAACTTTTCTGGTTGATTTCTTACACCTTGTATCCGAAAAACCCAAATATCTTACGGAACCCTATTGTTTCTTCTAAAATAAAATATAGCCTATGATACTCGTGGATAATTTTTAAAACCGGTCCAGTAGTTTTTGAGCCTATTTATTACAAAGTTTACCTCTTTTTAATATTAGTATAGATAAAGTTGAAAGAATCTAATTTTCTTTTAAATTTTTATAATGGACTAGTTAGCTGTTTTCCACATGCTAGTGTCCACTTGGTCTGGCGATAACAGACCCTGCTGCGCTAACCGTACAATTGTAATGGGCAAAATGTAACCATAATTAATGATTGCATTTAACGACCTTAACATTGGTATGACCATAATATTGGTATAGATTCATTTATTAGAAGAGCTAATTAACTACTTGACAGATTTTAAACATTCTCTTGGCAATGTAAAGCTATTTATGAGTGAGTAACATAGGCTATATTTTGTATTTTAGAAAAGAACTTTAGCAGGGTCCCCACAATTATTATAACAATAAATGTGTGTTATTATAATAATAAATATTTTTTACCTAAAAGATAATTAAGATATATTGGACTTCTGTAACTTTAGGAATACCTACCTAATTTTCATTATTGTAAATAGGCTAGTTGACTGCTTCTTTTATTTTATAAATAAATAGTCCATTGATGTTGGATCCCCGCATGATATTTAACGCCAAAAGTAGCTGAATTCAAATTTCAAAGTTGATGTTGCTCAAATCAACAACAAATACAGTTAAAAGGATAATTTATCCAATCGATTTTAAACCTTACTCTGTCGACAATGAAGTCAAAATTGATTGCAAAATTTTAAAAACTATCTTACCAATAGGTGTAAAACTATCTTACCAACACCTTATCAACTACAAAAGATTATGAACTTGTGCAAAAAACCCATTGACTGTTTATTAATTTATTTAAACAACAATGATTTGACTCGGAAATAAAACTTGACTCACCTAATTCCGCAAGTGCCATGCACCCGCCATGCCAGGCGGTCTCCCTCTCGTTATCAGTGAACAATCCCAGAACACATTCGCATACATCAGCGGCCGCCAGAGCCGGCAATCTCGCACCAATCCGGCCGATACCCTTAGCAGCTGACCACCTTACTACTGTGTCGTCATCACGGAGAGAACACAGGAGAAGTTCCACTACATCTTCAACCTGAATATTTACAATTATACCACTAGTAATTGATTTTCACTGTTAAAATAATTCTATAACACAGTCTCCCAACAGAGAGAATGTCGTTCATTGACCTTTGTCCTTACCGATAGATATTGTTAACATTTTAGGTTCACTTTACTGTGACAAAATTAGGTAGTTGCATCTGTGCTAGCGCAATAGCAACACATATGTGCACGAGTGAAAGAGATATGAAATATTAGCAGATATGTAATTTATTGTACGAAATTCTTTTTGTTAGACGACATTGCTGTAATCCTTCCTTTTAAAATGGTAACGCAATGGTGATACTTGAAACAGGTTATCTAAAGTGCTTAGCCTCATAAACGAGTACCGTACCACATATTGTGCTTTAAGCTTTAAGGCAAAGGTTCTTTTTACGCAAAATGCAACTTTGCGAGTTCGATGGAAGATTTGTCGCGTACCAAACGCATCCATATATGCCACGCTTGACAGATCTTCCGCTAGATTTACATCGACGCTTATATTTTTTTCAACAAATATGGACTATTATTCTTATGATAAGGCACTAAGATCGTGCACTTTTGTATAAACAAGACATGTATTAAAAATGTGCCTTTAAGATTAATTATATGATATATTGTACGGCAACTTTTTTTCAAATTGTAATAAATTAAAAATTTTAATTACCTCTTGAGGAATATCTTGATCGTCATCGTCGACGGGAATAGTTAGGGGTTCAGTGTCGCCAGCGGCCACCACGCCCCCTAAAGTGACGGCTAATGAACGCGACCCGCGCGTGTAACGCCATGATGCCACCCGCGGACGTAAAAATGTCAATCCTTAGAAATATTTTGTAAATGTTTAACTTATCATTAAAGTGTAAATGATTTAATATTATTATATTTTGTCTTTTAAACAAGTCTCATTATTAATTTTAATCATACATTTGGTCTACTTAGATTAGCAGGCAAATAAAGATTCACAATACATATTAGTTAAAACTTACTATAGCAAAACCTTTTTTAAACTTTCTATGCATCCCAAAAGAAGCCCACCATGTTTTAAATACATTTATTCATGTCAACTGTCTTTAGTTCACACAAAAAAATATAAATGTTTTTATTAATATGTCTAAGAATTTCAATTCAATCGGTCCAGTAGTTTTGTAATACTATAGTGACACATAGAAACACAAATAATTTCATAAAAATTCAGTTTATTTGGTATTAAGAAATAAGTTAAAAATTTTAGAGAATAGTAGTTATTTCTTTTTATAATAGTAGTTATAACATATTGTCTTACCTATTCTTTGCACTATCTTTACTCCATATTTCCTCACCAGCATAGCTTTATGCTGTTTATAATTCTGGTTTGTGACCCATTCTAGTAATTTTGGAGCAAATTGCAACAAATCATCTCTCTTGCCATGCTTCAAAACAGCAGCAACAGCTGCCAAAACTCCATAGTGAATTTTTTCTTCCTCTTGTAGATTGGAATGTAACTCACAGGCCCAATCAAAGAATGCGCCCATATATAAGTCTTTGACATCTGACCTGAAAATTATTTTAAAATATTTCTTTATTACATACACACATAAATCAAACAACATATAAAAATTTTAAAATATGCTATTAGACAGATCCATTGCGTGACTCCAGGCGGCAAGTCTTTTTCATGTTTAATGAGAAATGCTTAAGTTATACAAATAAATAAATCTTGAGTTTTAAAAAATATAAAAATATTTTAGATTGAAAGTGTTATGGAATTAACAAATGCAGAAAGAGAATTTCAAGATAATTTTAAAATTAATTGAAGCACAACAAGCAAATGAATGAGCTTTAATTTAAATTGAAAGAATAGCAAGGAGTTCAAGCAGAAAAACTCCTTTCAGCATACCCAACTTCAATATTCGAGTAGGTACTACATAATGAAATTTTTCAATTATGTTTTGAATGAAGGAATTATTATAATTGATCAATTTTGCATTCACAATCAAATCCACTTTGTCACTGTCAATTTGAATTACAACACAAACCCATGTTTAATGTCAGTTTTATAAGATAAAAAGAAATATACAATAATAGAATGTCAGAAGATATTAATAATTTTTTTATTGCAGTTATTTGTCATTCAAGTATTCATTAATCTAATAGTATCTTCGTTCTTCAAGCCAATGGCATAATGAGTTTTTAAATATATTTTTTTCACATGGAAGTTTCCTAATATTTTGTGGCAGCTTATTATACACTTTAATAGCCATACAGTATACATTTTTACTAAAGGGGGTTAAATTAATTTTTGGTATACATAATTTATTTTTTCTGGAATCCCAAGCACCTTTATTAGAATTATGTCAATTTCAATTCTGAAAGGAATACATACCTTATTAAAAACTTAGAAGCTAAATAAGCACTGGCTTCAGCACAAGAATCTTTACTCATGGCATATGTTTTACATATGTTGAAAATTCTTTCCATTACAGTCAGTTTCTTAGAAGAGCCTGGATCTGAAAGTTGTAAACAGACACTGCTTTTAATTTGACTAACAATATTAAATACATTTAGGTATAATTTGAATCAAAATGTCTTTACATTTACCTATCAAAATATAGATTATATTTTGATAGGTAAATGTAAAGAGACTAATTATTATATGTCTATCTGTCACAAATGATTTTCTCTAAATCTATTGGATTAATTGAGTTCAAATTAAGAACACCAATTCCTAAATTAATAATACACAACTAAGAGAGGTTAATTAGAAATTTCACCACCACAACCCCAAAGTTCCCAAAACTAATGTAAATAAATGTGGGAAAAGCAAGAAGATCTTTACTTATTGTACCTTAATTACAGTTAAAAACTCACTCACTCCTGAAAAACTACTTATTAATTACCTGGCTGTCCAGGCGCAAAACCATCAAGCCTGCTCATGTGAAATGGAATGATAACTACAATTGATAGCCACAGCAAAAGGACAAAACGGCTACGCCATGTTTCTTTATCATTAGGATCTTGTGCTTCCAGGAATGATAAAACTGTTAGAAGATCTGAAACCTTTAGTTTTGAAATTAGTAAATATTTTCATACTGTATACAATACCTTTTTTTATTTACATTATACTTATGTACTTACTTCATGGGGCAGGTGTCGTATCACAACTTTATATCCCCTTACTCTGATGATTTGGTACATATAGTTGAATGTAGCATGTTTTAATTCAAATGGAGAATCTTTATCCTTTATAAGACTCAAAAATTTTGACAATATCTTATCCAAATGAGGATCAAGCAGATGAGGCTGTTCATAATATTGTTTCAGAATAGTGTATAATTTATCATACTCTACTTCTAATGATGGAGTATTATAAATATTTTTAAGATTGTCGATCATAGTAAGAACTTCGTCCACTTCAGAAAAATGCTCTAAGGCACAACCAAGACCGATATTGTCACAGTCGTCTTCCCGGTTCATGTCAACTTCTAACCCCACCATTTTTTACAATATTTTGTGAAGAGAAGGCAAAGGTACAAGGTCAACTAAGCTGAAACCTGAGAAACTAACGATGTAAGGATAAAATTATCAGAACTCCATTAGATCAAAGTAAAGATTCCTTATTCATTTCATCACACAAAAACACAAACATGATAATGACAATTCATTAACAAATGTCAAATTTTTAGGGATGTGAAAAAATATCGTTTTTAAAACAATTTTTATAAACAGTATTATTATAAAATCAATTATTTTAATTTAGTTCCAACAACAACAATAGCTTTTTTTTCTTTCAGAGCCGTTTATTATGTTACATCTTAATTAGATCTGTACAAATAAGCCATTAAAAAAAAACATTGAAAAAATATTTTTTGGAAAATTTAATTGAGAAAAATTCCCCATTTTACCTTCAGGCCTGTTCGCTAACTCAGATGACAACCTACCTGTAAATAAACTTAATTAAAAATCATGTAAAAAATATATTTCTTAGTGGAATTATCACAACGCACGGAATTAACGCGCTTTATTCTACACTAAGATAATATTTCCTGCCTATGCTCTTCTTACAGGCATTGATTATAGTTTTTATTTTATTGTAATATGAAAGGTAAAATTGAGTGGGGAAATTTGACAGTTTTGTATAGTATAACATGTATGTAGTGTATGTAGTAAACTGTAATTCGAATTCTACTTGAAGTAAATTCTGTATGGATTGGATAGTCACCGAGATAATATATCATGCCAAAAATCAGTTACAGAATTCCAAAACTATGCGATTACCGATTGCCCACAGAGCATTTTGAATAATGAGTGTTAGGTACATTAAGAAGTTGGGTGTTGATTAAAGTCGATAATATCTTACAAGTAATCGATCATTCCATCTTGTATCGATATCACTATGTTGTGTGCTGAGAATACGAAGCATATTATTTGTTCTGTGATACGAAGTATCTCCTTCTTGGTCTGTGGAAAACTATATAATCTGTGGTCTGTGGGCTGCGCAAACCGCAAACAAATTACAAAAGCAGTATAAAAGGACTGTCTGAAATTTGCTAAAATTATTATGATAATAACACTAAAATCTTATGACTTGATGGGATAATTTACATTCTCATAAAATGAGTAACCGTGAGTAGTCGTTCCTATAATTTCCGTTCATTTTAAAGTCGAAATCTTTAAATTATATTTTTTACTACAGAAGGACGTACCTTAGCTAAGAGGAAGGTGAAGCCGGTGGAACCTCAATCTCTTCTCGATTTCGATCTCGGAGAGGGAGAAAGCTCTGATGACTCTGACTTCAGAATTGAGGATCACCCGGAAGACAGCGACGACTACTCCATAAATAGTGACGATGATGATAAAAGTGTGTATTTATTGTTATTATAATCAAAATGTGGAGGAAATAATTTATTAGTTCTTAATTGTTTTTTTTTAATATATGTGAATTGTTGAACGACATTTTCAAACTTTCAGAAGACAGAGATTCATCTGATGATCAATCTGAATCAGACACAGAAGATGGTTTCAAAAATTCTACAAATAAGCTTGGAGAAGATATATCTGTCACAGATCTTCTTGAAAAAGCGAAACAGCATGAATTTAAGGTTTACTTACAATATCATTTTACAATTTTATATAAAGTATTAAAATAATGTGTATTCATTGATGTTATAACTGAATTTATATTTTAGATTCCATTTGACCTAGCCAACTTACTGATATGTGCTGGTTGCTTAGGATCCAGAAGTGATGACTTCAATGAAATAGTGGAATGTGATGGCTGCGGTGTTACTGTACATGAAGGTATAAATAGCTTTTATCTTTGTAACTTCATAATAGTTTTGAAAAAGCTCCTGTACTTTACCATATTGTCAATTTTCTTTAAGCCAAAATTTAGCTAGCTATATAACTTATATGTCAAAAACTTCTATAGGCTATGTGACATTACATTAAATTGGCAACAGCACTCTAGAGAGCATGAAGTAAGAAAATAAAATAAAATATTATTTGTAGAGTACAAAATTAAAGGGCTTAATTAGCACATTTCAAATATACAAATATATTGATGGCTTTTTGCTTGTGATTTTGCTTTAATACACCTGAAAATCAAATAAATAAGCAACTTCAAAAACTAAATCCCTACTGCTAAATCAAATTCAAAGACTACAGCTAAATCACACTGCCACTAATTATAATAAAGCAAACTGTTGTGGCATATAACTATGCTGTTCTTTTGTCATCACTATTATAATATAGCTATAAAATAAATTTATGTTTCAAACTTTTTAAAGCATGATTTAGCTGTAGTTGGGCATTAGTTTTGAACTTATTTTTTTTAATATGCAATTTTTAAAACATTCTTGATATATCAAACGCTTTATTCTATTTGTAGTAAAATCTAGTAAAATTATATGTAATATCTATATTTGTACTACTTGAGTAAAATAAGTCAAAAGCACCTTTTTAGGTTGCTATGGTGTGTCTGATGTAACCAGTGAATCTAGTACAGTCAGCTCAGCATCAACAGAGCCATGGTTTTGTGAGGCCTGTAAAGCAGGAGTAAAGGATCCAAGTTGTGAATTGTGCCCCAATAAAGGTAAATATCATATTTATTTGTTATTTAATTTAAAAAATATTCCAAGTAAGAGTAGAGTTGCTCACTTGTCAAAGTCAACAGTCTCTTTATCATATCGGTAGCATTAATACAACTCTTTAAAATAGTCTTAATTTTATCCGTACCACATTTTTTGTTTTTAAAGTACTAATGAGGAAGTATTTAAAAAAAAGAAAGCACCAAGCACCACCTCACTAGATGGCGACTTAGCAAGTTTATTGAGTTTTGAAAATTAATTTACTTTTATACGTGAAAGAAAACTGTAAGGTTGGGAGAAATCAAGAAAAGACAAGCAATATCTAGCTTTATATTGTTTTTTTTTTAAATACTTCCTCATTGAAAAGTAGATGAAGTAAGATGTGATTTAAATATGCCTGTGCAGAAAACATACACCTGGTTAATGAATTGAAAATTTAAATTATTATATTTGGATTTTGCATTCATAATTCATAATAAATATTTTTATTAATAAGGCTGATGGATTTTTTACTTTTTCATTTAAAATATATATGTCAATTTAAAGTTAAGAATTTCTCCAACTGTACTTGACGTCATTTAAACAGGTTTTCGTTACTGATTTTAGATTTTTAATGATTAGCTTATAGAAGTTTGATGAAACTAGAACTTTATGGACTTTTAAAACAAAAACAACTTAATTATTATATTTGATCAATTTCGCATTCACAATGCTATAATGAAAAATATTCTTAATGAAAAATCTTCAAATATTGGTAAAACCAAGTACAGCAAATAATGGGCAATCAGATTTAAGTAGCTTGTCAGATCCCTGCAGAGTGTATGACAAACACCTAATCATTGTATTTTAGACATTATGGCTATTGGAACAAGATCCATCATACATTTTAATCTTACATTACATGAATTGTTGACTTTATTAGAGTATTTCTGTGCAAATTAAAATTCACAATGCGTTATATTAGTTAGATAGTACTGTAGTAAAGTAATAAGAAATTAATTACTTATAATACCGGTCATTAGACGCGAATTTACACTGACCTGCGCCGACGTTACGGCCGGGTTGCACCGGCCGTGGTCACGACGAGGCTGGATCAGCAAGTCCGAGGTTGAATCTTCTTCCACGCTCAGATTTTTCATCCAACTACCGTCACAAACAATACTAACGGTGTTCCTATTCCGCACATGAGCCGTATTCTGGAGATTTACCGATTGCAAAAAAGAGATTGCGTTTTAGCAAATACTAGATTCCACGCTTGTGATAATTTATATCCGTCTTCCCGATTGAGGTGATTTGTGCCCCTTTCTAGTAGGTGTTCTGCAATGGCAGACTTACTTGATTGACGGTTTTTGTGTTCTTTAACCATTTCCTCGATGGATCTCTTGGTTTGACCTATATAGGAACCACCACAGCTGCAGTCGATTTTGTAAATATTAATAATGCAGCGCTATAGTTTAGCAGTTAATAATAAGATATTATTATATTTGATTATTATCGATTTTTTTCTAGGTGGTATTTTCAAAGAAACTGAAGTTGGTGCTTGGGTGCATTTGGTGTGTGCACTTTATGTACCCGGAGTTGCGTTTTCAGAGGTAATTCTTTTTTTATGTGTTTTATACAAATACATAAGAGCGCCTCAGATTATCATATAACATTATTTAACAATTTGTGAAGTTTTGGATAAGGAGAAAAAAACCAGATCAAGTCTAGAAATATTAATATGAAAATTATTGTTAATGTGGAACAACCACTGTGGCCCAGTGCCTCTTAATCCTGGTTTTGAGGTTTTTCGACCTCAGAGGTCTCTAGTTAATCTAGCCATAGGATAGGACATCTTATCGATGTTATGACGATATATCGTTTCATTTTACTATTTTGACTGTACTTTAGAAACCAACTTAGTAATTTATCCCAAATTCATCCACCAAAAGACATGTCAAAGTTTACTACTTTGGGTACAAACTATCATCGTGACATTGCTAAGATAGTGTATCTTATGGCTAGAATCAAGACTCAGAGTAAGGAGGTGGTCACACATATGTTGAAAATGAATTTTCTTTATTTTCTTGGCTTAGTGTTTTTTTATCTTCATTGTTTTAGATTTCCATAATACTAGTGATTTAGCTACTTCATTTGGGATCTATGCAATGTATGTGATGTCCAATAATTATTTATTTATTAAACAAATTGGATAGATGAATTATTTGATATTTGAAGCCCAGTTTGATATTTTAAATCTTTTTTCCCAGGTTGAACGCTTGTCTGGTGTGACTCTATTTGAAATGGCATACTCTAGATGGGGTGCTAGATCATGTGCACTGTGTGACGACACCACTCTGGCACGAACTGGCGTTTGCGTCGGCTGCGACGCAGGATTGTGCAAGACTTTCTTTCATGTAACATGGTCAGTTGAGAAACATTACTATTTTTTTTTATTTATATTGTTAGAAAATATACTGGCTGACCTGACAGACGTTGTCCTGTATTGTCAAATAATTTTTAATATTTGCATCACGCATTTTGTCAATTCTATGTGAAACGTCATAGTTTACATTAATAAAGTTTTTATTATTCAAAGCACTAAGGTTAGATAAGAAATAATTTTATATGGTGGTTAAATATTCTAAAATGTTCTTAGTTTATTTCATAATAACCTTTTTCTGAAAATAACAAACACAACAAAAAAAAAAAATTACCAAAATCATTCACATGTGATTTCGTAACCAAGGGAAATAGGGATAAATTTTAAAAACAGTTTTTTAGTTTTTCTATTGAATATAGAATTATAATGTAGGCTTTACCAAAAAATTGTCAATAAAAAGAAATTATTTAAATTAATAGTTAATTTAAATAAATTTTGTTAAATCAAAAATGTATGTAGGTATATAGTAATATGAAATAATTTTTTCTTGGCAGTGGACAGAGAGAGGGATTACTAGCGGAAGCTCATACTGAGGAAGCTGAGCAAGCAGATCCATTTTATGCTCACTGCCGTTTGCATTCAGATAAAGCACTAGTAAAAAAGCGTAAAAGGAATTGGCTTGCTCTACAATTGAGAACTGAGAAAAGGTAAACTACTATAATAAACATCTCAATTTACTGCATTAAATCTACTGTAGGATAAATTATTTATAGTTTATTACATTCCGTTTTACCGACGGTTGAATCTATGAGATGATATCTTTTATCTTAGTGTGTAAAATCTCTTAAAATGTTTTTTTTTATTTATCATACCAAAAATTTATATTTATATGAAATAGTTATATATTTTATTTTGTTTACGAAGCTCTCGGATTTTATTTCAACCTATCATTCATTCGTACAGTCTAACCATATCAGTTAGTGTAAGATTCAAGTCTTTTAATTTGTGATCCTTTGAGCAGGTTATTTTTTTAATATCCAATTTTAACTGTAGGAAATTGGAGTTGGAAAATAACTTGAGTGTAGAAGAAAAACTTCGTATACAAAGGAAACTCGTCAAGTACAGAAGAAAGTATTTACAACAAAAAGAAAACCGTAATCCTCCATGGGGTGAGATAAAAAAATTTGATAAATATGTTATATACTGTAAATTCTTAATTTAATAATATTTTACACTTAATATATTTTTGTTGTCAGTGCCAACACAAAAGATGGCTCGAATGTTATATAGCAGTGCTTCTGCAATGAGGAAGTTTCAACGCAAAGCTGAGTGTATGGGAATCGATACCCATGCCCTCGAGTTTCAAGATGCTCAGGTAGCTATGATCATAATTATTGTGAAGTCATAGGATAATATAAATGCGTAATTGCTATAAGCCACATAGCATTGTAATGCTACATTTCAAATATTTAATTTCGATTGCAAGTTTGAACATTATTTTAATATGACTTTATATAAGAGATGCACAACGTGTTAAGATAATGCCTTGTGACGCACAATTCTCTTTGCCTACCCCGCGATAAATCTAGGGCAGTGATGTCGAACCATTGGTATAATATTTTGGGTATGCCACTAATTAGGAAAGGCAATGAAAATAAGTAATTAATTGAAACAGAAACATTGACCGGTAATATAAGTAAAAATGTTTACTGTTACAGAAAATTTTGATTATAAGTCTTTTAAATTTATAAGTTACGTTTTAGTGTTTTACAATTTTTATTTTTTATTATTTTACATAAATAACATAAAATTAGCCAAATTAAACATTGCAAATTGTGTCCTTGAGTGAATAGTATTTATTTATTAATATTTTTTCAATAATTACAAAGCTAACATTATTTGATGATTCTATTAGCTCATAAAACATTTTGTTGTAAAAAATGGTACGTTGATGCATAAAGGTTCGCCATCCCCGATCTAGGGTGATGAAATAGATAGTATTAATTTAGCGTATACAGGATTGAGATAGAAAGTGTATTTATGTTATAGATGGCAGCACTCAAAGACGTGTCGCGTCGTTGGCACGTGCCGCCTGCGTTTTCGGTCGAATTCGTTGGTTATTATCTCGAGAGGAACTCGCGTGTCACATCCCTACGGAAGTCATTAGAACGTCTTACCAAGGAAAACGAAAAACTACTCGCTGAAGATGAAGAATTAAGAACCAAGTATGATGAGGTAACGGAATCATTCTGTTTTAAGAATTTGATTTGCCAACAATGAATAGGAAGCTTTGAAAATTAATTATGGGTTTTGTAGATAATGTTTTTTATCATTTTTAGCAGACTTTATTTAGTTAGAATCAACTAGGAACTTGAAATTTAAATTATTTATTTCAATAACTAGTTTGATTTTTTAGTGTTCAGTTTTATGAAGTGTTGTTTTAACTTTTTTCTTCAATATATCCTTCCTTGAACTATAAAGAATACATATAAATAAGAAACTATGGTCCAACTTTAGAGTATACACATTAGAAAGAAACTGAATGATTTGGTCCAGCCAAATCAACAGTATTTCTTAGTGCAAAACTCAAGAACCTTTGAGTTTTCGAAATTTATCCGATTCAAGATAGTGTACTCTTATTAAGAAACAAAAAAAAATAATCCAATTTCTTTTTCTCTATTTCTTTCGGTTAAAAGCGCTGTGCTTAAATTAAAAAAGATTTCAGCCATTTCTCTCTATCTCCTCGCCGCCTTTTTTTTCATAGGCATCAAAAGAGAACACGGATGCCCTAACCGAATTGACATCTACTCGTCAAGCGTTGCAGAAGATATATGACGTAATAGTTGCGTTATCACCCAAGAAAGCGGTGCCAGAGATACTGGAAGAGAAGCCTCTATTGCCGCCGGTCATTCAACGTTCAATGCCGAAGGTCACACCGCAACAATTACAGAAACGGTACTTACTCGTTTTAAATCATTATTTTATAGGTGTCATGGACGTGATGAATTCGAATTGAGTAATGCATCAAATCAATTACAATAGTAGAAGAAAAATTTACTATAAACTAGCTGTGACTTTGCCTAAATTATAGTCTGCCTCATCCGGGTATGATGTAGCTCGTAAGATTTATTAAAATCACTCCAGTAGTTTCAGATGCTATTCAATGCAAACAAACAAACAATCAAATTTGTCCTGTCGACTATTATTCTAATTTTAAAATCCATCGCGATTGCTTTCAAATGTATAGCGATATCGATATCACAATCGCTTTTGGAATGAATGATCAAGAAATAATTAAAAACCTTCCTAAACTCGTCGATTTCAGGTAGCATTTTGTTTGACATTTCTTGATAGTTTTCTAAGATATTGCGTCTAACGTTTGCATTAGACAATGAGGAAGTATTTAAAAAAAACATTAGTTCCGGAAATCAAACTAGATGTCGCTACGGTACACTCTTGATTTCTCCATGACTACCCTCCCGGTTTCCTTTCATGTTTAAAAGTAAATTAGTTTTCAAAACTCGATAAACAATTCATATTCTATTTGTACTTTTTTAGTATTCGTATTGACATGTAAGTTTCGAAATTTTTAAATTTCAGTTTATTAATATGTTAATTAAAAGGAACGGAATTGACTGTCTTTGGTCCATTCGTTTCCTGCAAAAGTCCGCTTTTGCTAGAGTCGCCATCTAGAGGAGGTGCTTATTTAGTGCTTATTGTTTTTTTAATATTTCCTCATTTAAATTGACGTTAAATAAACGACACCAATAAAAAAAAAATCGACCGTTATCTCTTGCACATGTCAAATAGAACACGTCAAGAAAGAACTAATTAGAGAGTACAGTATCTTGTTCACGACAATACCGTCATAGTACAGTTCACTTATATGAAGATCAATTCGATGTGCGACGTGTTTCTATTGTAGAGATAGTTCCAAACTCAATAGCATTCTTAATGACAATAGCATTGTTTGCTAAGGGAGGACAACATGTCCTGTAAGTAACCGTAATGAGGGACTCCTAATAATGCATACAAATTGGTAAAACGCAATAATATGCAAGGCGGCTTTTAGCAACACAATTGTTATAATAATAGTCTCAAGTATTCGTCCAATGTGGATGCTAAAAAGCTATCAGAAATATATCAATTTTTAGGGTTCCGCACCGAAAAGTTAAAAATGGGACCTTATTACTAAGACTACGATGTCCGTCCGTCTGTTTGTCCATCTGTCACCAGGTCATGTTGCCGCTATAACAACAATAACCCTTCGTCGCACTCGACTGTTCATTTTTTCGTTCAGGATTACGTGGCAGAACAAAGACTGAATTCTTTTTTTATTATGTTGTTTTCTTCTTTTATTAGTCTAATAGTAGCCATTTAGAACTATCTGTTCTATCGTATCTGCGCTCTCTTCGTTTCTTCGCGCTCGCTTCTATACAAGCGATCTAGCTTAGAAATAATTTTGTCATGGCATGTCTGTCATCTCTCTTACCTGGTATAATATGGTCTATAAGTTTGTTTTACCAATGTGTATTGCTCATAAGAAATAGATATCCGTCACGGTACAAGTTTTAGGGTAAATTTAAACCAAATCAAAAAATGCTTGATCACTTTTTTATATTTAAATATCAGTCTTACCTCCGCGAAATCAGCGGAAACAGAAGACAGTTTCAATATTGACACACTATTCAAATCCAAATTCTATTAGAATAAGGTCGATATTTAAATAAAAAGTTTAAAGTAATGAAGTGTTTTCCACTTGGTTAGAATTTATCCTAGATAAATAAGGATAAGGAAAAGTTCTTATTAGTGACAATATATACTTAGGTCAATGTCTGTGCCAACCGCGGCAGCACTTAAGATGGGCGTTGGTTTTCCTCTTAGCGACAATCCGGACGCTCGCCAAGGAAAAGTGTTATCTACGTCGTTAGAAGGTGAGTTTCTTTTTCAATGTTTTTATTATCTACCGAATTACCTAACAGATGATATCCTATATAAATGTATAAATAAATCAAAGTGAATTTCAGATTGTGTTCATAATCTAAGTTTGTTGTCAAATAGCTCCTGAGAAGTGGTGCAATGGTCGAGAACGAACGTGTATTAAGATATAATACGAGAACTATTTTAGTTTTCAAATAAATAATAAACATTATTATTAAATTGGTGTAATGACGTCACAGGGATTCTTGTAATGACGTCTTAAGAGCAGACAACATTGAGGTGTCAGGTTCCGTCAACTGTCAAAACATAACGTGGGTTGTAACTATTCAAATCACAATTAAATTCATTGTAGTAAAAATGGCTTTGTTCATACAAAACAAAAATACTTTTTAATGATTAGAAGCCGTCGAATTTTTATCCCAGTATTAGAAAAACGTAAAAATATTTTCGATGTATTATAACATCATTATCAGCCGGAAGACGTCCACTGCTGAACATAGGCCTCCCCCTTTGTATTATAACATATTTTAGCGATATTGCATTGATCATTTCAGTACTCAACAATTATAATTTCTATCATTGTCGTTACGTCTCCTATTATAATATTTAGACATCAATAACAAGTCACAAAGACACAAATAACTGAGTAAACACAAAAAAAGCAAACATGTTTTTTTTTTATTATAAAAGGACAAAAACATACTAAACATGTGAAGTCAAAATCTAACAAATCCCATGGGAGCCAAAAACTAAGTGTCGCCACAACATAATTTTGAAAACTAAAATTTCTTCATTTACACATATTTAAATTTGTTTATTTACACATAGCTATCTTCGCGCCATTCCAATGTAACTTTTAGTAAGAGTTTAAACATTATAAGGGCCGGCAGATAAATGTGAAGCATGTCCGCAAATCGAAACATGTCATATTGGGTATGTTCCGATATACACTGCGAGCACTGCGCAGTGGTCTTACTGCCGAAAAATCCGTTCCGTTATGGACTGCCAGTACACTGCTACAGTACCCTATGGAAATTTATGACGTCATAAATTGCCGCCATATTTGTACTGTGAGCACTGGAGATTTCGAGGTAAGGTGCTCGAAGTGCTTTTGATCACGTGATCAGTCGAAACAGAATCAGATAATGATAAGTTTCTAAATAAACAAAAAAAAAAAACCTTACGTTTATTTATAAGATGGATTTAATTGATAAATAATTTTTTTATACAATTTTCCAATTTTCTTTTGAGAAGAGGGAATCTTTATATTTATATTCATCTTGCATTAACAAATTTGAAAATGGCGCCAAAAAATAGGATTAACAGTATACTGGACTGCGTTCCGTTTTAAAAAGTCACCAGTATAACTAGCTATAAAGGAACGGGCTTCCAGTATACTAAATTGACGTCATACTGTTCAGTGGTCGCAGTGTATATCGGAACATACCCATAAGCGACTAGCTTTCCACCAGCAGCTTAACCCGTGTGGTCTTGTATTATACATAACAACTTTCCTTTTGAATCACCCTATCTATGAAAAAGCGCATCAAAATCCGTTGTGTAGTTTTAAAGATTTAAGTATACATAGGACATACACAGAGAAAGCGACTTTGTTTTATACTATGTAGTGATAAAGCGCCCGCATCCGCAATTCTGGGCTCGGATTCTTTGTTGTATTAATTTATTCAGTTTTTTTTCAATGACTCGATAAAAAAGTCGATAACGCTTTGTTAGTGAAAAATACACTACGCGTTATATTTATTATGGCATTACAAAAATGTACAAAACTGTTACATCCCCACTGCAGGGGCTCAAGCCTTCCTCATGGATGGTTAAGGAGGATGGGCCATAACCCTCCACGCTAGCCCAATGCGAATTGGAGAATATTAACGACTGCAAACGCAGCCGGAATCAACGGCTTAACGTGCCTTCCGAAGCACGGGGAAGTTCGAGATAATATTTATTTTGTCACCCATCCCATGACTGAACCTTGCAAAAGTTGTATAACAACAACGATCGCAGGCCGCGGTGCGTATCCACTACGCTCCGAGCTAAATATATGCACATAGGTGTTATTTATTTGGGGTCATCCATAAATTACGTCATACTATTTTCATGTTTTTTTGCTTCTCCCCGCGTTCTAGTCACAGCTGGTCACATTTGTAAGTGATGTCACATACCCTAGTGTGATGTTACATATTTTGCAAGGTTTTTGTAAAGTAACAGTTTGAAGTTCGTGTTTTAACACTTAAATTATAACAGATTTTGAAATGTGACGTCACGAAATTTAGGACCCTCCCCCTTGTCACACAATGTCACTTCGTCGACCCCCTTAACGTGGGACGTAATTTATGGATGGCCCCTTTATGCTATTGGATTTATCCTTATTTTATGAAATGTGTTAGCAACAACCGGCGCCCTGGCGGCGCGCGAGTGTGCTGTCTGCGGCAGGAGCAGCGAGCGGCATTTGATGGCGGCATGCGACACTTGCCGCCATCATTACCATCTGCATTGCCTCAAGCCACCACTACAACGGCCGCCGAAGAAGAGCAAACTCTATGGATGGTATTTATGATAACATATACTATATATGTATATATATATAACAAAATTTAGCTGTTTTTCTGTTGTAAGCGAGTTATTGGTTTATGAGAGTCATAAACAATTTTTTAACTATGTTTATTAATAAGAAATAATTAAAGAATATTTTTATTAAATGTATACACGGATGATGTTTTTGGTTATAACATCCGTTTAATTATGTAGCATTTTGATTGTTACAGGACCATTCATCTAAAAGCCTAGCGTTAACATTAAAAAACTAAACGATGCAAAATCTAGATTAAACTTAGGTTTACTCCAGTCAAATTTCGTTTTCGATTAAATGAAAATGTATCTATTGGACCTCTCTGTATGAAATAAAACAGCTGAGAAAAATCAGCCTTTGCTGTTTCTTCCTTAAAGGCCCCGCTGTAGATTTGCGAAGCGATGGCGCAGCTTTTTTTTTTATGGGTAGGCGGCAGACGAGCCTATCCCATAGACGAGCTTTCGACATTAACAAGTGTTTGTAACAGCCAAGACTATCCAGTCTATTTATCCAAATGATAATGAATTTGAAGTCAAATGAGTATTTGTTTTTTTTTAGTTCAGTTTAGAGAGAGTGGTACAAAAGAATTGTCACCATTATGCCATTTAAAACATTCAACATTTTATATCATTGTGTTTTTGAACAAACTGTTTCAACATATATTCTGTGGTATCAACGACAGTATACAATGATCTAGCTCCGTGAAAATATTAAAATCACATAAATTTTTCATACAGGCAATGTTCCGAATGCGATAAAACTTCCGATTCCGAACCGGAAGTGTTGGAGAAGAAGGTGCCGCGTCGCTCACGTATTCGTTATAGCAAGGACGGTGCTATCATCACTGAGCCACAGAGTCCCGGCTCTACGCCTAATTCGCCTCCCCCCAAACCTAAATTGGAGAAGCCTCACAAAGAAAAGTCCATGAAAGTGGTCACTGCAGAAAATCTGTCGCCAATCAAAGTTACAATTAAGCCATTCGAGTTTAGCAGCGAAAATGAAAGTGGCGAGTTCAAGAAGAAAGACAAAAAAATAAAGAAATCCAAACAGAAGGAGCACGCCTCCGGCTCCGCGGGGGAAAACGAGTCTCCATCTAAGAAACTGAAGCGCAGTTTCACTTCTCCAACTCTTACGAATACTCCATTGATGTCTATCACTCCTATTGTCGCTGACAGCCCTAACGATTCTCATAACGAAAACTCGAATGCGTCGACTAACTTGCCTCCTCTGAAGCGAGATGAGAGTGTCCAGAATTTATCGTTCTCCTCTCTCCTATCTGAAACGAAAGAACGAGACAGCAAAGCGATAGAAAGCTCTATCGAGAGTACACTGGCGAATCTCTCGTCTGATATCGCCACGTACAAAGCGAATAGGAAGAGAAGGAAAGAGAAACATAGATCGAGATATTCGCCGGAGTTGTTACGGTCTCCCTCTAAATCTCACAAGCATAAAAGAAAGAAGAAGTGTCAGGATATGGAAAATCCAGAAATGCCTCATCCAAGAATCACAATAAAGGTACTTGAATTTTAAAATAAATGAATGAATAACATTCATTTATTAAGTTCAGTTACTACATAAATTGTCTAGTAGAGAACCAAAAATATAACTTGATAAAATGTTATAAGACCATCTTTGTTTCAGATTAAACCAATACCTAAACCTGATGGTTCTTTGGACACCCAAATGTTTTACGTCCCCACTAACAGTAATGATGGTCCGCCACCGGCAGTCATCAAAAAGATGGCGAAGGTAAAGTTTTTAATTTTTAATACAATTTAAATGCAAACACTCGATATAGTTATGCAACTTGTACGTCTATGCCTTGTTTATTAATAAACAAGGTTTAGCATTGGAGTTAATTTACACTGAGACTGAACGTAGTATTAGTTTAAAATTAATATTATTTAACAGAGACTTAGCAAAGGTTAACCTACTAAGAGGTTCTAGGGTTGTAATATTTATTCATAGAAGGTAGTGGTTTTGCTTTTTCTCTGTATAATATAAATTTGAACTAATTGAATATGTAATTTTAGCGAAAATTAACGTTAACACTAACTGTAAAGTACTGTAGGAGTACTATTTGGTTTGGTTCAATATAGTCCCGAGGATAGCTGGCATCTCAGAATCAAGTAAAATTATCGACAATCTCGAAGACAGTTATGATATGTTTTTTATAAATTTACAGATATTTTTTTTTTACAAAACAGTATGTAATATTTCCTGTTTTCATATTTGCTTTTGTTAATTAGCATTCGGAACAAGAAGTACCCAAAGAAACACCACCGCCTCCAGAAGTGGTAAATCCAGTCACGGAATCAGATACCACTACACCTGTCAGTGTGAGTATCGATTTTGTGATTTCAAAACTTAATAATTTTCTTAAGTATTCTTATACTGAACATTTTTTTTTTCATCTTTATAAGATAAGAAATTAAGGAATTTGTAAAATTTCAATAATTCTATACAGAAACGATTTTGGGATGATTTTTTTCTAGGAAAAAGTGTGACTTGATATTTGCCCTTTAGTGCATAGGTTTATTATATTAACATTTAGCAAAAGTTCTAAATTCAAAACTTTGCAGGGCGATTCTGTAAAAATCCGAACCGGCATTTGAACTCACTCATGTGTCCGAATTCACATCATTTAGTGAAGAAATTCTATTGATTCCATTTTTTTTCTTTGTATAATAATAAAAAATAAAATTAATTGATTATACGTGTCTCAGATATTCTATTTCTATGTTATTTCGAAACTCACTTCACTTATGCCACGAAACGTCATTACCGATTCAAGATTGGATACAGTTTTTTGAAGTGAATTCAGACACCGGAGTGAAATTCGGGTTCAAATTCGGGTTTATATTTTTACAGAACCGCAGGGCTGATTGGGGGGTTAAAGGTGCTCCTATTATTTAAAGTTGAATTAGAACGTAAAATACTTTGTACATTCACCTAAAATAGATAACAAATTCTTGCAAGCCACCTGTAAACCAGGATGAGAAACAACCAGTGCCTACTATCACAAAACCAACGGTAAGACTAGCTTTAATACACGGATGGTATATACTAATTCTATTAAATATTCTTCTAATGTCTTCACTCTTTGTCGATCCCCTCTCCCTACCCAACGTGTGAAGTAATTTATGGATGGCCTCTTTGTTCACGTGTCTTATTAGTTAATCCGACTCAATTCGTACCTTGTTAATTAATGGTACGGGAGCCCACGATGCTAAATCGGGATTTACTCGAGCGTCATAGAGACCTATTGGGTTGCGAAGCTTAGATTTTTAAAAACTGCCGTATGTTAATCTGATCGTTTCCTTGATGGGGGTGGTTATACATGAGGGTTGAAAATGAAAAAATCGTCAAAAAAATTAGCCACGCTCGAGAATGTCAAAGTGACGTTTTTTTTACAACTTTGTAGCCTTCCCCCTTCTTTACGTCACTCTCAAATTGTCAGATTAGAGGTATGTACACATTTTAGCATGTAACTAGCTCACCTTACCTTAATCTGACGCGCTCGAGATTTTCAGATGATCATTTTTTTTTACTAATCTGATCCTTCGTCCTTGCCGGGCGGCCATTTATATAGGGCTCATACTTGGTCCAGGTACATAACTGGGTACAAGGTATCCCCCTATATATTAATCTGCCGCGCTTTAGTAAATCCCGAAATCCCCGCTTGGGCTCCCCTACTATAAGTATGTTGAGTTCAATCCGATTGGTACGATAGTTGCCAATCATGGATTTTTATCGCCACTTTACACGTGTATTTTGCAATATTTTGTGTCACTCGTCCATTCGAACTGTCTCCCTTCCGGACGTACTTTTTATAGAAGTCGATGTATTTGACAATTTAAACCTCCACCGTTTGACTAGGCGCTACACGTTTGCTTAAGGCGCCACATTTTTTTAAAATAATCAATTAGTAATTTTTTTCTAAGAATATTTTTAGTATAGCATTGTGGATGCAAAATTGATCAAATATAATAATAAATATTAATTTCATATATCAGAACATGAACTAGCAAACAAAGCGCTTTAAGAATGAACGATTCAATCAAGAATTATACAACAACTCTATTTAAAATCTTTATTTTAAGTGAAAACACAGACGATGATGGTGTTTGCTTGCAATTATCACAAATGAAACATTGCCGCGCGGCACAACGACGTGTGCTCTATAAAACAAAAACCAATATAGGTTGGTGATATTTGCAAATGTTATGGAAATCGTGTTTGCAGTCCGATGGGAATGCAAATGTGTTTTATAACGAGTTATTTGTTATCCGTGTGAGTTTTGCGTTTTAATACGATTCGCCTTTTAGTGGTGAGTGACAAGGACATAATGATAGATTGGATATATGATAGTTAAATCTCAGTTTGATTTAGTTAGTATAATAATATCTGTGGCCATTGAAAGCAGTAAAGTTTTGAAATAGCGCTCGTGCAAATAAAAATATTTTTTTTCAGTTAAAAAGAAAGCTTAAACTGCTTCCAAAGTGAGTTATATGAAGCACTCTTAGATGTTTCTGTAAAATATATTAATGCTGAAGCGAAGAGCTAGTAGCTAATGGCTGTAATCCGAAAATAATGAGCGTACTTATGGTGTAAAATGAGTTTACCAATATTTTTTATTACGACACACGACAGTATAGCAGTAAGGGGCCGTCCATTAATCACGTGAGACTCGAAAGGGGGAGAAGGAGTTTGTCAAAAATCACAAATATATATATTTTGCAATATATTTTAATAAATACGTATTTATTTTTTTTTCCTCAAAAACGCAATTATGAAACCGAAAACTGACGGCAAAAATTATGATTTTTTGTAGGTACTAAAAATATACGTGATTTGAGTGGAGGGGGGAGGGCTGAACAAAATAAGTGAAGTCGTGCAAACTTCAAACAAAACGTCTTATCGACAAAAGTCTCTAGTACCTACACATACCTATTACAAGGAATGCACTGTGATAAGTTTGATTAATGATGGCCGGCTGCTCATTTGTATGTAATCGGCCATTTAATGACAAAACAGTCTAGAGACACAAACGTTCAGAGCGTAAGCATCATCGCATCATGTTTACCGATGAGAAACTGGTAATAAGATCAATTACGAGGTCCTTTCTAGTCAATTTTGAAACTGAAAAATTTATACAGTCGGTGTGCGTTGCTTCGACGTAGTAGACAATACACGATATATAAACAATCCTCGATATACTTTTAAGGCTGATTTTTAATTGAGAGGAAAGTTATAAAACTGTCGTGACTCCAATTGAACTCGGTTATAGATTTATTATATTTTAGATATCATAATGTCATACTGCTAAAGGAGAGTTAAAATAATAAAATTACAAGGCGGTCGAAACTTGTTTTAAATAAATTAAATATTTATTTATGAAAGTAATAGGTAGTTTATCTCATGGGTTTGTTAAAACAGACTACAGTTCTCACGAAACGTATTTAGACATCGATTAATGAAAAACCAGCGTCTGCTAACCACACTTTTGTCAGCGACACTTTTAAGGTATCGCATTCGAAGGTATCATGCAACTTCAGCACATTAGTCGTACCTCGAAATGAAAAAACGGAACCCTTACAGCATCACTTTGTTGTCCATCCACCCGTTCGTTTGTCAAGACCTTTTATGTCGCAAATTTTCGAAACTCACAAGGAAATCAAAACCTACAGGGTACTTACTTCCCGTGAACTAAGAATCTTGAAATTCAGTACGAAGCAACGTCTTATAGCACTTACGAAAACCGTATTTTTTTAGTTACATCATATAATGCAAATATTTTTAATAAATACCTACAGGTTTCTATGGAGCCTTCGGCGCGTGAATCCGAGTCTCACTTGGCCTTTTTTTTTTAATATAACCCTTCATGTGCTAATTACATAATATCAATTATGTCTTTTTATGCGTTGTATGAGAGTTGTAAAGAGTTATTGTATATTGGTATAGCGAGCGCGTACGTCTCGTGTCCGTCGCACTACCGGCACGGAGACAGTATCGCCCGCGACGGCCAAGACGCCGATGACGCATTGCGACGTGTGCACGCAGCCCGGGGATAACTCCAATCTCGTCAGGTACGTTATCACTCTTAAGTCCTAAGTTTCTGGGAATCAGCTGCATCTGGATTAATATTATACTGCTAAAAGATGATATACTACGATAGTCGTAGTCGTAGATAAAGATGATAGTCTACCGTATGTTGTAAATATTTTGCTTATATGCCATTACTCTTGAGACAAATATGAATGATAAAAACCTGAATATTATATTATCTATTCGCAGTAAGTATAAGTGTAATTTCGGTTCATATTCAAATTTAAAATAGCTTATTTTTTTTTCGTCTCCTGGAATAAGAAAACTTCGTAATTTAAAAAATATATAAACTAATGGTATTATCGATACCGAAATTTCAGTGTTTTGGGTCTCTAACAGACGGCGTCGTATTTATAAGAAATTATTGACATCGTTAATACTCAAAATTTAATTATAATTTACTCGGTGAGCCGGTATCTCGGTTTTCATGATCTCAGGTTCGAATTCCCTATTTTCAAATCTTACCCAATACTGCCTATGATTAGTCATAATTGTGTATTGATTGTACGTAGATGCGATGAGTGTTTCAAGAGGTATCACTTCACCTGCTTAGAGCCACCGCTCAACAAGAATCCTAAGATGCGGGGCTACTCGTGGCACTGTGCTGATTGCGATCCTACTGTGAGTGTTACTTATTCAATTACTATAATCATGGTTTGTTCTGCAATTTAATACAGAATAGAAAAAAAAAACCAGTAATGTTGCGAAACCGATTTCTTTTGCAATATTTACTTTATATGTAAATTTTTCTGACATATTCTATTCAGACATGACATGTCAAATAAAATGAGATTTTCAAAAGAGGTTTTTCTTTAATTATTATATGACAATTTCATTAAGAGTTAATTTCATTACACAAAAATATATAACAAACGGTTGTACGGATGACGTTGGGGAGATGTATTGAAAACACCAGGTTGATATTAAGACTGTCATTTATTAATAATGTAATTGATTATATAGGAGTGATTATATGGCTACTATTATAGTATACGTATCTTACCTTACATCCCCATGGAAGGGGAAAACAAAACAAAATTAGTAAATACAATATTTTAGTTTTGTTTTTTAAATGCATTACATAAATCTTTATTCAATTACATACGATTACAATGTTTGTTTACATTCTAAGATTATAGGTTTTATCTATATAGTATACCTATTGTATATATGATACGCTAATGTTGACTTATCTAGAACTAATAACAACAACAAAGTATACTTTTAGCTTACATTATGATAACAGATTTATATATTTGGTTCTAAATATAGTTTAGTTCTATTTTTATGAATAATGTCAATTTTTCCTTTTTTTAAAATTTCTACATTTGGTGATAAGTCTCTTATCACAGGATATGGACCTGAATATAAGCTTTGCAATTTATTTCCCGTCTCGTTTTTAATTAAAATTAAATCATTATGTCTATGTTTGATAGGATTTATATTACAATCATATTTATGTTTTCTTTTTAATTTGCTATATATTAAATTCTTGCGTGCTTCTTTTTGTGTTGTTTGGATTCTATACTTTAATTCTAAGGGATACGAGTCAAAATTATAAAGCGGATCGACAAGATCTTGTGACAAATTAGATGGTAAAATACATCGTTTCCCGAAAACTAATTCGTACGGTGTGAAACCCGTTTCACTATGGACAGAGGTATTAAAAGAAAAATTCCAAAATGGTAACCATGAACTCCATGTATATGGACGATTTTCCGTTTGTATTCTTAAATAGTTACCTAAAACTTTGTGCGTATTTTCAAGAGCACCAATGGTTTGATGATGATAAGCAGTTGACAATAATTTCTTGATATTAAGAAGTTTACATACCTCTGCGAATACTGCTGATGTGAACTCCGTACCCCGATCTGTGGCGATTACCTGTGGTATTCCATACACTAATATACATTTTTCTACAAACTGTTTCGCAATTTCTGTAGCACTTTTTGTTAATAAGGGACAGGTTATAACATATTTACTTAATTCACATTGAATTGTTAATATATATGAGTAATTCAAATTATCTCTTTCTAAAGGTCCTACGGTATCAATAAATATTTTTTCAAAAGCCGAGTTAGCCGTTGTCGTGATTTCCATTGGTTCTTTTACATATTTACTTGTATGTTTTTGTTTTTGACATTTATCACAACGTTTTACAAACTTTTCTATATCGTTGATTAATCCCGGCCAAAAATAATATTTTCTTATATTATTAAACATTCGCCTGATGCCTGCGTGGCCACTCGTAGGCAAGAGGTGAAAATCGTTTAAAATAACTTTTCTATCATCTTTATTTTCAATTTTCGTTACATTTTTCAATACACATAATCGTGGTCCGGACCATTTACTTTTTCTAGTAATTTCTTTCGTTAGCTTCTCTATAAAAATATAATTATTTTTATTTTTTAAAAAATATATTTCTTCCACTTTAATTTCACTACACATAACATTCAGTTCTCTCGCAAAAGCGCTTGGCGTCGGTTGCGATCGAGCAACTGGTTTTATATAAATTATTCTTTTCGAAGGAACATAACATAACATAGAGCTTTCATTTTTTATTTCATTTGATTTTCGTAATTGTGTTAAACCTAAGTTGTCTATAAACTGTAATTCTACAGAATCGTCCGGTTTGTTATATATTTCTAAGACTTTTGGTTGATCAGACCGATTGTCATCAGGAACAATAACATCCCTTGGATTCTCATTTAATTTCCTACTCTGTGCTCGCGTCATAACATTCATACATTCACTCAAATCTTTCAAGTCTTTCGATGTTACACACAACCTAGACAACGCGTCTGCAGCCGCATTATCTTTGCCTTTCACGTACTCTACCGTAAAATCGTACTCTTCTAATGTCATTCTAAATTTCATTAACCGACTGGATGGGTCTTTCATACCGAAAAGATAAACAAGTGGTTTGTGGTCAGTTAAAATATTAAATGTTTGCCCATAAAGATATGGTCTAAAATGTTTAACAGCCCAAACAATTGCAAGTAATTCCTTTTCTACTATCGGATAATTTTTTTCTGCTTGATTTAAGCCTCGACTGGCATAAGCTATCGGCTTTCCGTCTTTGTTTGATAAAACCGCACCAACAGCGTAGTTCGATGCGTCGGTTTGTAATACGAAATTGTTTCTTTTTGAGAAATCCGGGTATTGTAGAACCGGATGAGTAGTAAGATTTTCTTTTAAAATATTAAATGAATTTTGACACTCATGGTCCCACTTGAAATGGGCATTTTTCTTGCAAAGTAAATTTAAGGGATATGCTTTTGCAGCAAAATGAGGAATGAATTTTCTATAAAAGTTTACAAAAGCAACGAAACGTTTAACTTCATCGGTATTCTTTGGAACGGGATAATTTTTTACAGTACTGATTTTTTCTGGATCAGGCGTAATGCCTAAAGCAGATACAACATGTCCTAAATACAAAATTTCTTTCCTCAGAAAATTGCACTTTGAAGGATTTAATTTTAAATTAACTTCTCTCAACCTTTGAAAAATGTCTTGTAAATTCTTATTATGATCAATTATATTTTTTCCAAAACAAACTAAGTCGTCCAAGTAAATTAAACATTTTTCATGTGTTAGACCCGTTAATGCTAAATTCATCATTCTTGAGAATGAACTAGGGCTAGTTTTTAACCCCATAGGCATTCTTGTCATTTGGAATTGTCCAGAGCAAAATGCCGTATATTTTCGACTGTTTGGTTCGAGTTCAACATTATAGTAACCCTGGTAAAGATCAAGGTGTGAAAAATATACACTACCTGATAATGCATCTAATATTTCTGTTACGTTAGGAAGAGGAAACTTATCATTTTCTATACACTCATTTATTTTCCTATAATCTATTACAAGCCTCCATTTCCTGTTCCTATTTGAATCAATTTTCTTTGGAACCAAAATGATCGGGCTTGACCATTCGCTTTGGCAGCTTTCGATAATGCCATCTTTTAACATATTATCAATTTGTTTCTTTATTTCATCTTTCGGAGAATAAGGCAACCTGTATGGTTTGACATAAATGGGATCAGTGTTTGGTTTCATGCGAATTGAGTGTTTATAAATAGAAGTAGTATTTAATTTATCTCCCGGTAGATAAAATATATCAGAATATTTTGCAGTCAAATTTTCTATAGAGATTTTTTCTTCTTTATTTAAATGTTCCAAAAATAAATTATTGAATAATTGCTTAACCCTATCTGAATTTAAATCTGTTTTATTAAAATTACATACGTTGTAATCACAAAGCTTTTCTATATTTGGTCTGATGTTACTTAAGGTCAAGTCTTTATCAGTGGTATTTAAAACTTGCACTAATATTTTACCATCCTTCGGACTACTCAATGTACTCGCAATATAAACTCCCTGTTGAATCTCACTTGCACACACTAAACATTCTTCCGTCAGATTCATATATATATAATGTACGGACTCCGATCTGGCAGGTATAAAATATGTACTTTTAGAAGTTGAACCTAGTAACAGTGGTAACTTTATCTCATTATTTGTATTCGTCCAAAGTGTTAATGATTTATTCTCGAAATTTAAAACCGACTTGTGTTCGCCAAGAAAGTCTTGTCCTAGAATACCATGTGCCTTACATGGCAAAGTATCAAAAACAAAGAATTTATGCGTCAGAGTATTCTTGCCTAATTGCAAGTCGATATTTACATATCCTATTGCACTAACTTTTCCACCTAAGCCGTTAATCATAACATTCTTTTTATGGATTGGAATATTATGTTCTAAGACATATGTATACTTTATAGCAGAAATTGATGCACCGGTATCGATCAAAAAATAATATTGTAAGTTCCGAAATATTGATAATTTAACGAAGCATACATTATTACATGATAATATGTGCTCATTATTCACGAAAAAACTGATTTTCCGACATATTGGCCGATGATGTACTAGCTTTCGGTTGGGAGTCTACTACGCCTACATATTCAGAATTAAAATTACGAACAATTTTTGTAGGTTTTCCTCTCGTGGATCGAGTTGTAGTTTGTCCCCGCCATGCTCTTGAGGAACCTCGAAAAACTCGCGTCCGGTTTGGATACCTATTTTGGTCTCTATAATTATAATTGTTGTGATACATACCATGATGATTATATCCACGCTGCCGTTGATTGGTGTACTTACCTCGAGTATATTGATATCTATTCGACCGCATAGTTAGTAGCTCCTCTCTAGCACTCGGATCTAAGGAAGTATCTTCATCCACTGCGGCCTGCACTGCATCTTTTAAATATTCATAATTCCTAGCCGATATAACCGTACCCAATCTACGGTTTCGCAATCCTTCAGCGAATTGCTTTATAGCTTGTTCTTCATTTATACTCTTTAAAATTCTATACTTATTTTCATCGTTTTGAGATTGCGAAATCGTAAGATTAACAAATAAATCAGACATAGATTTTCCATAATCTTCTGTGGTCATATTATTTTGTCTTAAGGACAACAATTTCTTTTGAAGAGCTGTAGCTGATTGTAAAGGCAGCAACCTTTTTCTCATATCTTTTAATAACTCCGTTACATTCGGATAACTTTTTTCTAATTTTAGTTTCGCGCCTTGTGATAAACGATTTTTCAGAATAAAATTAACTAAGTCATTTTTTGCATCAGCTTTTAATTTTGACTCGTAATACTCGATTCCATCTATTAAATGCTTCTTGACAGATAATTCATCTGTCATAAGTGGACATAAATTGAAAGCAGTTTTAAAATCAAAATCCATTTTTAAATCTATTTTTTCTACCTGTCTACACAAGTTATTTACTTCTTCGTATATTTCCTCAAATCTTTTTGTCAACCCCTTAATATTTATTAATTTCTTCTCATCACATGAATAAACTGTTCCTTTATTAAATTGACTCACTAACTCATTATATCTTTCTCTTATTAAATTTGCCTCTCGTAACTTTTTTATTACAATATTTCCCTCTCTTCTCTTAGGACCAATCTTTATTAAATAAGTACGAATTTCCAGTAATTGATGTATAATAAGTTCAAAAGGATTATCCATATAATAAAATTAATAATACAAAGATGCTTACCCTTAATACATTCGTTTATACTTAGCTTATCTAAACATAGTCGTAGCCTAGCGCGCTCATATTAATCATATTTTGCCGATTTACTTGCACAATTGCACATTTTGTTATTTCACTTAGCACTTTCTTTTTTATTTATTTTTTTCACTTTTTCACTTCCACTTTTTAGTAATGATTACTCTGCATCTGCTCCAATCTTGCTCAGTCGCATTGTTTGCACAAAAGCTCTTCTTTCAATACGCTTATTTATACACTTATTTATGTAGCGTGTTAGTAGGAAAATAATTCCTATTCCCAGCATCAGTACCAAAATACCCAGATATAAGTCAGTCGTATAAAACTTGTACTCCCGATGCTCGTCTATTGAATTTTTAAGACCAATTTGGGAAACTTCATGGGTCGTTGGCGCAGCCGCTGGTCTATTTGCTCCTGAATTACACATTTTTGTCTTCTTGGTATTCTTGATAGACGACAAACTCGCGCAACGTTGTAAACGAATTTATTGAATTGTACATTGTTAATTCGTTGGACTATGCATGTAACCCGAGCTCCAGATCGTGGCCTGCCAAAAATGGCAGGGTCGCCATGTACGGATGGCGTTGGGGAGATGTATTGAAAACACCAGGTTGATATTAAGACTGTCATTTATTAATAATGTAATTGATTATATAGGAGTGATTATATGGCTACTATTATAGTATACGTATCTTACCTTACACGGTACTTACGTGTAATATTACTATGTAAAAACGATACTTTAAAAGTTTAAAATAAACTTTAAAGTCTCTAGGGTAGATTTTAGTAAAATTCCATAAAAATTGAGATTTCTTGAAATGTTTTAAAAAATGTTGTATCTAATATATGAATTAATGATAATTGTGTTATAAATGGGCTTTATGCTGCATCAACAACTTAAGTTTAGTGTTTAAAAACATTTGTTTTTATAAAAAATACACTTATTAGAATTCTCTAGTATTAATTGAAAACATTTTTTACAGGACACAGAGGATAAAGATTCAAGCGGAGTCAAGAATTGGTATAAATAAATAAATTTCTCTTAAACAATAATACATTATTGTTTGTAACATCTTATATTTTTTACATTTTGTTCTCTTGGTTTCCAATCCAAAATAGATATACAGTTTGACTTTCTCATCGATCGAATTTTAATAATCTCTTTAATATAAATAAAAATTTGATGGCAATCCATAATAATTAATCTATTAACTGGAAACTACAACACTTCATTAGTTTGTCTTTTAGCCACTTTATTATACTATTACAACATTGATACAATGACACTTTAACAATAAAAACACACTTTTAAATATGTACCATATAGATATAAGAAATTATTCATTTTCTGTAAGAAAAGTGTCAAATCTGTATCTGAAAAATATTTTTTTGGACAGTTAAAAAAATAGTATAACCTCATGAAAAGTTTTGGCATTCATGTTAAAATAACGTGCATTTGTTAAATCATTGCTTTTTATATAATATTCAATAAGTCACAAAGCGGACATTTCATTATTAACGTATCATAAATCGATCAATTAGTTCTTTGACATAAAAAAAAATTATGTCTTCTTTTCGTCTTTTTTATCTTTTAACGATATCAGTTCATCTGTTTGTATTTATTTTTGAAACGTCTATTAGGCTAGTGTTTTTATTTTATAAGTACAAGAAGTGTATCTATCGTATTATATTTTTTGTGATATCAATAAAGTAACTAAATATATGTTATGTCATTTTATTTCCATACATTCCTTTTATTTTAAGTACGATTCTAAAAAAGGATCGTTCCCTTCGGGACAGTTTAGAATTTATTTGAAATAGCTTGATTCTTGACGAAATCTATCCAAAATACTTATTGAAGTTTAAGAAAAAACGAGGATAAAATTATTTAGCTAAGCAAAGTTAAACAGTAAAGTTTCATTATTAAAAGTTTTACAAAGCTTTTACTTAATAAAAAACTGGGAATCTTTTTCAAAGCCGCCTTTTAGTTGACAAAAAAGAGCGAATGATTTATGTTTGTTCATTTTATGGCCAATGAAACTTGCTTGCGACGGATGAGACTGATGATGGGTATTGAAATAAATGATGTTTTGTTAACTCACCTTTGTCAGTTGTGAAGGAAACTTGATCCACAAATTTACACGAATCTATTCCTTTTCAAGCGCCCGTGGGTTATACTTAGGTGTTTACGTTTTTGAAAAAAATATTGAGCTTATATTTATCGAATTGTGTTTTAGGGATTTGTACCTAAAAGGTAATATACTAAGACTTCGCTGTCCTTCCGACTGTCACCAGGCCATATCTATGAACCGTGAACCAATTTTGTTGCTGCTATAACAACAATACTGTTTAGGTATAAAAATTTAATGAACTCAATATTTTTAGGGAGGTCTGATATTTTTTTTGCATTTTTACAGATAATAGTGAGGAACCCTTCGTGCGCGAGTCCGTTTCACACATGGCCGAAGTTTTTGGCGATTCGCATTTGGCGATTTGTTTTTTTTGTCTTATGAAATATTTTCGAATTTTTGGAGGTGTTGTCTAAAGATTATTGGGATCAGTCATTGAACTTTTTCTCATAATTAATTAAGTTATAATAAACGAGTTATGAAGAAAAAATATTTTGGTTGATCTATTCAAAATTATTTCTTTTGACCCGAGAAAGATATAAATAAAGATCAAATCTTCTTGCTTTTTGCCCAAAACCAAGGTAATTGTCACCATTTGATTGAACAGGAGTGTAAAATGTTACATCTTGGGGTAACAGTATCTAAGCAAATGGAATTAACACTGAATAGTAAACACATTAATACACATGGTTTTGGTTTTGACATGATAATGTCCCCTTATAAATGCGAACTATAAAGCCATGCGTGTTTACTCAGGAAATTAAATTTATTGATAGAGTAGTCCTAACGTTCCCTGTGGTTTAAGAAAATATTCATGTTTACTTTAAAAAAAATCACCTCTTTTAATTTATTTATTGGTATTTATTATGACATTTATATTTATATTGATGAATGTTTTTAATAATTTTTTGACACCTTTGCTCGTAAAGCTGATGTAATTCCACCAGTTTTAAATATGTAAAGCGGATCATAAAAAACGCGTTACCAAAGCAAATAGTTAAGTTATATTCCATACAAATTCCATAACAGTATTATTTGCCATTTCGCGCGCTGTTGCTATTCAAATTTCGAACTAATCGCCGCGCGGCGCCAGTCAGTAGGCAGCGCTGGCGCGCTGTTAAAATAGCGGGAAAGCAACAGTGTACATTCACAGTGTTGATCACCCATCCCATGACTGACCCTTGCGAAAGTTGCTAAGCAACAACGATCGATCAACAACGAACGGCCGTGGCGCTTATCCAATACGCTACCGAGCTACTCAATTATAATTTGTATATTGGGAATCGACCCTATACTCAGCGTTCTGTGTGGACGACGCGGAACAATGACATACAAGTGATATCTATTTTAGATTCAGTCATACATTCAGCATTCAATAGGCGTTCCACAAACTAAGGGTATTATGAATTCGATTATTGGATTGGAACTACCGAGAAGGTTTGTTGCTCGCTCGTGCTTGAGCGATGAACGAGTTAATATACTATTGTTTAAAGGTGTATACAGAATATGTAATAGTTACTTAGGCTCATTATACTGTGTAGATTCCCACCGAAGTTTGAAATGAAATTGGTGGTTTATTTAACTCGATAAGTATTTGAGAGATAAAAATATTTTGCCAAGATTAATCGGTTGTAGAGAAAGAGCATTGTTTGTAATGTAAAAAAATATACCTATTTATTGTTAGATTACGTTAGAAATTGTACATATAAAGGTAGAGTAATTGTTGTTCCTCTTCCTTAAAAACGAATGAAACTAAACTTAACAATGCTCCGAGGAATTGTTCGGACTTATACCTGCCGCTACTTTCCGCCATCGTTCCACGCGACAAGAAATCCACGTCCATCATGTGGATGGTTGGAAGTCCTCAACTGTGCGATTTTCTAGAAGTTTTCTGCCTCGCACAGCCAAACTCTGGAACAGTTTGTCGCCAGCGGTATTTCCGGACTGATACGACCTTCAAACTTTCAAGCGAAGAGCTTATTCGTCCCTCAAAACTTATTCGCTTGTAGCTCTTCTAGTGTTGCAGGTGTCCATGGGCGGCGGTAATCACTCACCATCAGGTGATCCGTCTGCTCGACTGCCCCCTATTCCATAAAAAAAACTCGGCCTCATTTTAAATTATTTAATTAACCCGAAGAAGAAATATTTGACCACATTACGCCATGACTCTGATTTCAAGAAGTAGCTTAAGCATTCGTATTACGGAGTATCTGAGACAACGAAGACACCAACAACATCCAGATCCGAGACAACATAAAAAAATCAGTTTTCAAATTTACCCGATCGGGAATCTAACTCGGAACCTCAGAGATGGCGACTCTAAAACCGGCTTGCGAATAATCGGATTCGTATTAAGAGGAGTTTCTTATGTTTTTTCCATATTTTTATTTATTCCGATATTTCCGATAGGAAGAGAAAACATGAGCAAAAGCTAGTTCAAAATATCACGCTTGTTGAGTCTAGGCAACATTCATCATCATTAACCCTTTTACGTCTTTACTGCAGGGTCTCAGGCCATCCTTATTTATGGTTAAGGAGCATGAGCCATGATCCTCCATGCTGACCCAACGCGGATTGGAGGGTATTTACTACTTCAGATACAGCTAGGACGACTTTACGTGCCGTTCGAATCACGGAGTAGCTCAAGATGAGAATTTTTGGTAATTTATCCCGTGACCGACCCTTGCGAAAGTTCCTTAACAACAACGATCGCGAGCCGCGGTACTTATACACTAGGCCACCGAGCTAGTTATGCGACATAAGTAACCAATGCTGCCGAGAATAACTTGCCAAACGAGCGTACGTTGCCATTCCGCATCGGCTTTGTATGTTTGTTTGGTAGAAACTTTGGGCCGAAGTGCACATCTTTCGTCATTAAGATTTGTAACTCTACTATTTAATAGGCTAATTAGTCGCAAGTTGAGCCTTATAAATAGATACGATATTCTGCGCTCACAATCGCAAACCACAAGGCGTTGTTATTTGACCTTAACGTCTCTACGTTTGAGCAGTTGTAACTATAAAAACTTGTACTAGAGGTACTGTTTTTTAAACATCATAGTCATTGAAAAGGAGTAGGTATATCGAAAATGTCAATATTGAAAGTGGCAACTCTTAACAAAATTTGTTGAGAATTCCGTTCACGAAGTCGCTTTGGTGCGGTACAAACTTCTGCGCCTGCTTTCTTTGGGACTTCCTAGTGTTCGGGCTTTACGCGCGCAGAAATTGAGACCTCGTTATCGGAATGTTAATGTATAACTTTGAGTTTCTTCACTTCAATGTCTACAGGAAATCTGTTCTGCGGCAAATTTATATTTATGTACTTATTTATTCATTGCCAGATGTTTTCTCCGAGACTTCTCACTATGCCAGCTGCTTCCATAGCCACTATGTAACTTTCTGTTAGTGAAAGTAATTTAAAAAATCGGGTCAGTAGGTAAAATTGCACCATTTTTTTAAATTTAAATAGTCACAGAGTCTATTTAATGCAGACAATCAAATCTTTCATCCTTATAATACGTATGACTGTTTCATAATAATAGAAATAAACAGGTTTTTAATTGAACTTTTAATAGTCAGTTTTCATTTATTTTCCGTTTATTTCCTCCGTAGTGATATTACTCATCGCTTGAAGCAGCTCACTTTTCTGTTAGGAAAATAGTTTACCGCTACGCCGTAAAGACGCTCATAGCAGGGGATATTAAACTTTATAAAGCAATATGCTTTTAGCTTAAAATATCAAAATTTCATTTCAGCCTTATATCGCCTTGATTAATGACTTTGAACGTGGTTATTGCATTTTTAGAATTATATAGCCTAAATATAGACCTTTAAAATTGCTAAAGCACCCATTGTAACTTGAAAGGCTGTGTGTTTTCGCTTTTGCTTCGAAGCTCACATTG